GCTGTTTTTGTGTAAATCCACCAGAAGCCGAAGTCGACGGACTGACAGAATAATCGACTGACCCACCTTTCTCCTTCCCTAAATCCAACCAATAGTGTTTTCATAAGCACAGATTGACCCGCTCACCCAATTCTCTAAACTCAACCGACAGTTTTAAAAAGCAATCTAGAAAAAAATAACCCTCGCCTGATTTTTGCCACATTTTCAGATTTTACCACATTCTCACCCTGTTATTTACTTGTTTATTTAATTTTTTTGGATTCTATTTGTGTTTTACCTGCTGTTTGTAACTGTTCTTTGCCGGACTCGAACCCCGTCTTCATGGTCAATTCCTCTCTGCATCTCAAGTCCACCAACATACATGGCAAGCTACTGGTAAAACTGGTAACAGCATGAATGCTGTCCACACGGAGGTAAGCGGTCAGCTGGTAAGCGCAAAAAAACAACAGTGTCATATCGCCCTGTAGTGTTCGTTTTAAAGACGAAATGCAGCCATACATACTTCTGGCTACATAATTCGCAATCTCCAGAAATGTGTATAGAACTACATTTTCAGGATGAGCCTATGTTGCAGTTTTAGATATGGCAGCAAGATAGTTTTAGACAGACATGAACGTAATTAATGGCTTTGAACACAACAAAAAAAATCTAACGAATCACTTCAATATGTTGCTGTGTGCATCAAATGTGAAATACAATCTATCAAGCAGTCAATCCACACAAATCGCTGTCAACTGGTGTCTTGAACAAAATTGATTGTATCATTTCACACATTATAAAGGCCTTCTGAAGAGATAAGCCAAAATCTTTCATCAAATAAAAGAAATGACCATTAAAAGAAAAACAAATCACAAAATCGCAAATCCCTCTTCACAACTCAGCCACTGTGATTGATGAATGGCTCAGGGAATACGGAAATGGCTTTTTTTCAAGCAGCAACTCTCTGTGTGGCTTAAAATTGTAGTCCATTGTTCCAAAGTCACACCCTTATTATTACACAGAAAATCGCATCCTTCTCCAGCATCACAGATTAACTGGCAGCCTTCTAATTGCCCTTTGCCCTCTTGCTATTGCAGTTTCAGCTGCTGTGTCCTCTTGTTCGTCCATCTGGATAACAATGAGACGCAGACTTATGCCACAGACAAGCAGAACAGACGGTTCTCAGACGGTGTGTGACAGGTGATTAAATAGTGCAACCCGGAAAAGTTGCTTGAAGAGGCGCTTGCAGTTTTTTGGGGGGTGGTGAATTACACTGTAAATAAATACTGAGTCCCACACAATTGCTTCATGTTGTCCCAACACAAATTGATGAAGTTAACATAACAAATTTAAGTGGATTGAACAATCCCTCTCTCTCTCTCTCATTGAGAGATCTGCTGTCAATTAGGGTTGGGCGATGTCGACCAATTTGGCATCGTACAATGTCTAATATGAAACATCACGATGGACGATGGCATCCTCGTCATTGGTGGCGGTGAATTAATTATGAATAATTAATTAATTCATAACAAATTAATTATTTGTAGCCTACCGTTTTAACTAGCTGACCCGCATGGTCTTTATTTTACCCATAACCAAATCATAAATTAATAAAGATAAGTTACAAACATAATTACCACCTGTCAATCACTTTATCCTCAGAACTCGTGAATAGGTGTGAATAGGCCGAATGATGTGTTGTTATAATGGCATCAACAAACTTGGTTGGTAAAAAAGGTGCACAACCAACAGGAAACAACCAACAGTATCTGAAGTTTTCACTAAAATTAATAAGTACAAGCGTGACAGGTGTCTGTTGGCCATCGGCGATGAACAATGACATTGTCTATCAGCCCAACCCTACTGTCAATAGTTTAAAATAGCATTTTAGAATGAAAACAATTCACGTCCACACTGGCGTATTACCTACCATGTCTGAAAAGCCCTCCTTCCACAATACCGCTGAAAACACACATCACGTGACCACAAACTGTAATGCGCTGCAGTGAAGGCTATGCACGCATCTGACTCTGAGCTCCAGCAATCACGCTAGAGAGCAGTTCATGTTGAACAGTTTATCAAGGATGTACCAGCTAACGTGTCACAGCGTCAGTAGACTGCTTCAATCTTTCACTTTCACGCTGGTACTTAGTAATTTTAGCAAAAACCTCAGATTCTGTTGGTTAGTTCCTGTTGGTTGTTGACCTTTTTTAACCAACCAAGTTGGCCAAGCAGCAGCGACCCGCTCGTGAAAAATACACACTTAGTCCCTGTTTACACTAATACGTCTTAGTTTCAAAATGCCATTTTAAAATAAAAAACAATCCACGTCCACACTTGCGTTTCATTGAACATTTCTGAACAGCCTTCCGTCAACACTATACCACTGAAAACGCACATCACGTGACCACACACACACATGCGCTGCAGCATACGCACACGTTACAACTCCAGGCACTCAGCAGCTGGTGCAAGTATTTCTTTTTCTACTGTAGATATCACCAACCAGCAATCTTTAAAAATATCTTCTTTGAGTTCAACGGGAGACAGAAACTCAAAAAGGAAACTCTCATTTCAAGTGAATAATTTGCTAATGTCGTATAGTGTAATCAGGCAAAACATACAAGACTTGAAAATTGTTTCTACTTCGAAATTTCATGTTTTATTTGATGTTATTAGCCATTTTTTGTGACAGCTTACTAGCAATTTCCGTATTTGAAAGAGTAATCTATTCGCCAAAAATCTTTTTCTTTGAACATCTTTCGAAAAAGTAATTAGCATAAAACTTAAACTGAATTTCTGAATGTATCCACATTTGATTTCAAATACTTTCAGATTTAAAATGGTCAAAATTAACATTCTAATCATAAGTTTATTTCATCACCATAACAATACATTTAGATATGACTCCATCAACTAAGTTGAGTAGCCTACATAAAAGATGCTAAGACTTTACAATAAGGTTGCATTAGTTTAATGTAAGTTCATGTGTTTACTAACATGAACAAACAATAAACAGCACGTCTATAACAGTATATATTCATCTTTGTTAGAGTTAGTTAATGAAAATAAAGTCATTCATTGTTAGTTCTCGTTAGCTCGCACATTATTAACTATAATGAATAGAATTTTGTATTGTAATAATGCATAATAAATGTAGAATTAATTAATCACGTGCATGTTTTGTTCGTTCTTAGTTCACGTAAGTAACGTTAAATTGTAAAGTGTGACCAAAGAAACTCTTAAAATATTTCAATATTGGGTCTTCTTTCAGTTCTTTAAACAATCAATATTTTACTGTAAATAACAGTCTAAAACTCTAAAACTCATTTTTCCACTACAACAACCGTTCGTGGAATGGAAATGGACATTATTCGCCGGTTGTAACATTTTTATTGTCAATAGAGCCCACATGTAAAGCCTCTAAACACTGCAGTCTTGCTCATACTATTTCAGTGACAAACTCCTCAGTGAAAGGCCCAACCATTATGGATCAATAACAGTCATCTAATTATTAATGAGGCTCCCGTATGTAAAGCGTCGCTAATAAACACATAATCACTCTCTAAAACACTACGAGTCTCTTACATAATTTTACACTATCGAGCTATTTTGATGTACATAAGGTTCTGTTTAATGTGTTCAGAAACATCTGGCTGTAGTCGCACTGACATTCTTGTTTGTTCAGCAAGTCTTCGCGGACCCTAGTGGTTAATTAATGGTTAATTACATTTTTCATCCTAAACCCTAACAGTAATAACAGCATTATTTGTTATTGTTGAACACACATCTGCACACTTCAGCATAGATATATGAAATCAGAATCATGCCATCTCGAGCCACATGAGCCGCATGTTGTGATATCCCGAAACTATAAATAATGCATGTAAAATGAGAGCACAGACACTTACCGAATAGAAGAATACTACAATGAGTGTCCGTGCCGCCTTTTGTGTAATCCACAGAAATATGAGGGGGGAAATAACTTCAGATGAATCTACATGAGAATCCCTCGCGAAACTGACGCTCGGTTGGAGGCACGTGGACTAAGGCGTTTCGGACGGTCGTAAATTTAGTAAAACGGCCGTAAGAAATGGACGGATTTTTTGGGGATAATCTCTGCGTTTGTTATTCAGTGAGCAGCAGCCACTGGCGCATAGACTGCGCTCCTCCCGCGGCTCCACCCGCGTGCCCCGCCCTCTCGGCCCGCTCATTGGCGCAGACGGGCGTTTATGCAAATTATCCTCTTCCCGCTGATGTTCAAGAGTCTGAATGGGATGCAATGGATCAGGCGGTAGGAGTAAAACACCGTCATCTAGAGGCCAAACGGTTGAGCGCTTTTCTCAACGTTTACAGTGGGGTTTTTTTCTTCAATTGCTGCTTTCAGGATTCTTTTTAATAATAAACAGCCTATTCCTATTCAAAATTTACAGATGTTGGTTAAAAAAAGGTTGCATTTAAATACAAATACAGTGCATAACATAATATCGTATGAAGGGTCAAAAACCACATAACATAAAAACAATTATTAAATACTGTTTTTTATTTTTTATTTTAAATATTTCTGAAAATACCCAGAATATCTGTGTATTACCACAGATTTATCACCTTAATCTTGCAATCTTTTACTTACATTAATATATTAGTATTCAATTATTATTATTTTCTATTTATTTACTAATTTACTTATATCTTGTTCAATTTTATCTTAAGTTTTTTTTCTGTTCATTCAATCATTTTCTTGTCGGCTTAGTCTCTTTATTAATCCGGGGTCGCCACAGCAGAATAAACTGCCAACTTACTGAAACACCAACTGAGCCAATTTTCGAACCAGCGACCTTCTTTCTGTGAGACGACAGCACTACCTACTGCGCCACTGCCTCGCCCTCTTTTTTCTAATCTGTCATTTTAATATGGGAAATCAACTTGCGTGTTTGTTTTAATCTGGTATTTAATCAAATGTGTGATTATCTATATGAATCATAACTAGTAAGTAGAGTAAATGAGTCAAACTTTTTCAATTTCATTAATCCAAACATATTTAATTGTGATCAAATATTTGATCAAACAAATCTCTTAAACAAGTGTTTTATTTATGCCTAGCCTGTTTGCAAAGTCCAGCTTTAAAGTATGGATGATCATGATTTTCATATTCAAATATCGCTACTTACTTCGATTTTAGTTGGAGTATGACAGTCACTTTTATTGCTAAATCAGTGAAAGATAAATTGCAATTATGGTACAATTCAATTTGTTACATTTAATTCCACTGTAAGAAGCACATCTTTCATCACAGACTTCTTCAAGCCACTCAATTGGAGCTAGAGTCTTCAATTAGTTGCAATGTCCAGATTTTAAAAGCTTTTTTGCAATGATACTAACAGCCTACAGTATAAACAAATATGCTCAGCGAGATGTTCAATTAGAAGTGAATGAGAATGTGGAAAGAAGAGAAACTATCGAAGCACATAGATACAGCAGCGCAGTACTGAACAACTCAACTCCTCACTTGTACACTACCAGTCAAAAGTTTGGAAACAGCAAGATTTATTCAATGTTTTAACAGATACCATTTCTGCTTACTGCGACTGCATTTATTTGAAGAAAAATACAATAAAATTTTCATCAAATAACTATTCAATTTTGAGGTATTATTACACTTTTAAATAGCTGTTTTCTTATTGAATGGAGTTTCAATTTTTATTTATTTCAGTGAGTCATAGATGAATTTCCGTCCAGTCTTCGGTGTCACATCATTCACAAATCATTAAAATATGATGATTTGCGGTTTTATTTATGATCAGTTATTATAGTACTAGTAAATAGTAGTATTATTGGTACTAATACCAATAAATCTTATAATTAACAGTGCTGAAATTCTAAAAGTTTATTATTATTATTTATATTATACTATTTCTATATTTTTACACATGGTTAATATTTTAAATGAAAAAAAAAACACAAATTAAAACTATTATTTTCTTCTTTATCAAAAAAAAATCCTAAAAATAAAATGCATCTTTTTCCATGATACTATGAAGCAAGAAAAAAACATTTTCAGCACTGATAACTGTAAGAATCATTAATATCAGTGTTTTTGTACCAATAATAATAATAGTATAATAATAATAATAATAATAATAGTAATAAATCATTATATTATGATTTTTGAAGGATTGTGGCACAGAAACCTGAATTAATGATGAAGAAAATTCAGCAACAAATTACATTTGAAACTACATTCAATAATTTAGTAATTAAAAAAATTGAATGTTTTAAACTGATTTTACTGTTATTTTTATCAAATAAATTCAGCCTTGGTGAGCAGAATTGTCTTTTTTAAACATTAACAAATCTTAGCCTTTCCAAAAATTTGTCTTGTAGTGTGTAAATCTAAATAAACATCTTAATTGTTTGACACAAATAAGCCACCCAATTATTCACTCCCATCACACATAAAAGAAAATACTGCACATGTAGTGCAGTAAAGTCCGTTCAGTTAATTAACGTCCACAAGAAAACAACTCTAAACCTGGCTGCGTCTCTCCTGTTGCTGTCTCTTGTATGCGTTATAAACATCGAGGAACATGTTTCGGCAGGAAAAGCGGGCCTTCAGCTTGGAGCAGATGAGAAAGGAGCCGGCCATTTTGCGGTGCAGTGAGTAGGACTCCTCTGGTGGAGGAGTGAGGCGGTGGCGGAGCATGACTGGGATCAGGCTCTGGATGCGTTGCGTGGTGCTTTGAGTGCCGAAGTCAAATGCTTCTGCAGATGCGAACGCTTCGCCCAGGATCATAACTGCCTCCACGTGCGCATCCTCAAATGCCTGTGGAAAACAGAAGAGGGATAATTCACCCAAAAATGTGAATGTACTCTGTATTTACTCACCGTCAAAGTGGTTTCTTTCTTCAGACAAACACTAAAGGAAATATTTTGAAGAAAGCTGGAAACCTGCAACCATTGACTTCCATAGTACACTGTAAAATTTTTTTTAGAATAGCAGTTTTTCCTATTTGGTGTGTTTTTTTTTTTTTTTTTTTTTTTTTTTTTTGCTTTGCTTTAAAATTGCATTATGGGATCTTGATGTTTTGATGCTTCTGAAATAACATCTAATCAATTATCTAACATTGTAATCTAATTGTAACCAGGAAGTCAGGTGACAATGGAATGAGGACCAATGCACACCTTTAGTTAACAGAGAATGGTCAGGTAGTCAACGGACAACAGGTACAAACAGTAGCATGAAGGCAATCCAGAAGCATAGTCCTAGCTCAAGTCACAGGCGATAAGATCAGTGCAGGCGGCAATAACAAAGAAGCAAACTATGAAGGCTAGGGTTAAAAAACACAGAAAGACTTGACACAGAGAAAACTTTGTAATGTAACAGCAAAACAAGACTCAGCAAAGAATGTGGGAATGTGAGCTGTATAAATAGTCCATGTAATCAGTTTTTGATCAGATACCAGGTATATGTGTGTGTGTGTGTGTGTGTGTGTGTGTGTGTGTGTGTGTGTGTGTGTGTGTGTGTGTGTGTGTGTGTGTGATCATCAGAGATCCGGAAACAGGAGTGTGTGAGGTGCATGATGGGACATGTGGTTCATAAAGTGACAGAATTGTAGTCCGTGTGATCTTGCATGTTTACCAGCAAGCCTGCATCGCTAGTGATCATGACACTAAGAATATTAAATAATAATTTTTAACATTGAAAGTCAACAGAGCAGAGATAAAACTGCTATCATGCAATTCCCAATAGTAAACAAACAGAAAACACTATGTGAAACACAAAATATACTATACTATAAAACTAATAATTTTAAAGAATGGATTTTTTATACAGTTTAGGAAAAACAAGTATTGTGGAAGTCAATAGCTGCGTCCCAAATCGCATACTTATACACTATTCTACGCCATTTTGTAGTATAAATAGTGTAAGTAGTGCGTTCACACTAAAAACTCTAAAAATAATAAGTGCACTTTAATTACCCGGATGATGCATTGATTCAGCCGCTAAAGTAATGATGTAATGATGGACACTTCACGCACTCAACGACCGCAGGTTTGCTTACGTAGCGGAAGGGGCGGAGCTATCGGACGCACATGTTGAATAACTTTATTTAATTTTGATGGTGAAAGCAAAATTCTTTTACGAGAGTGATTATAGCGCCTCCCGATAGTGATTGCGGCAACACTCACGGCAGGTATTATTTGATAATTCGGCCGTTTACTTAAATGATTTGGCAACCGTCAAACGTCATCAGGGAAACGGTTTGAATTTTCGCTTAGTAAAAATAACATTAGTGTGCCATTTGGGACGACACTACATACATATACTACCCTGTTGAGTGTGTAAGTGCATAAGTACATAGTGCATGAGTGCATAGTGTATAGTGTGCCATTTGGGACACAGCTAATGGTTACAGGTTTTCAGCATTCTTCAAAATGTCTTCTTTGGTGTTCAACACATGGATGCTACATGTTTCATAAAGTCAAATTTAAAACTTAAGACCCTTTTAAAGCCATCATAATGGAATTTCAGACTTACACAAGACTTTTCCGTCCAGTTAAAACGCTTTAAAAAGCATTTTTTTTTAAATGTTATTATAAGGAAGCTAATTTAACTACATGTTTATAAACAGAAATAGAGATGGTAAATAGAGTTAATACATAGAGGCTACTTTGTTAAATCTTTTATTGAGATGGAATGATAGTGATTGGGTGGGTGTCAGCCTGATTGGGTAGCATAATATAGGCAAAGGAAAATTAGGACCAGTTTAAAATGATTTAAGAACTACAATATAATATTTCAATGAATTTAAGACTTTTCAAGACCCCGCGGATACCCTGTCAACAGGAAAAAGAAAGACAAAGAGATCTGGAACAGGTGAAGGGGGAGAAAATGTTGACAGTATTTTCAGTTTTGCATAAACAGTCCCTTTAAGAAATTAATAGCTTTGATTCCTTAGAGATATAATATTGTTGAGAAATAATTGAATGTTGTATAAATCCACAAACCTTGGCTTCAAAGCCGGTGAGGAACTTCAGGTCTTTAGATTTCTTCAGAACTGTAGCTCTGTCTCCGACTGATGCGGCATGTACCACCTTGAAATAGTCATAATTTTAAAGGAAATATGATATAATAATGTGCACACTTCAAACAAGGTACATGAAACGAGAGAATAATAGTAGTAATGTTCTTTTCTGTGCAAAGAGTTGGACTCATATACTCAAATAGTAGTCTAGATTATAGTGTTGCATTATTTTACATTGTCAGCTTTATTTAGAATTTTTAAATAATGCATATATATTTAGATCTGAACTCTGTTTTATAATAGAAGTCCTGTTAAAAGATATAGTTCACCCCAAAATAAAATGTGCTGTTTAATTTTCTTATGCCATCCAAGATGTACAGTAGTTAACTTTTTTCTTCAGTTGAACATTTAACCCCCAAAAAGAAAATTTACTCTCTATTTAATCAAGTGATTTCAAACCTTTATGCATTTTAGATGTTTTTTTTTAAAACACAAAAGAAGATATTTGGGGGGGGGGGGGGTAGAAAGATGCAACCATTGACTTCCATAGTAGAGAAACTATAGCTTTATATAGCTTTACTTATAGTTTTTAAAATATCTTGCTTTTTGTTCAACAGAAGAAAGTCAAACAGGTTTGGAACGAGTGAAGGCTGAGTAAAAGAAGGCAGAATTTTCATTTTTGGGTAAACTATCAAAAATGTCACCTAAAAATGGTGTCTGTGTTGATTTATTAAATGCAAGCCAATGGAAGTATTAAAAAAGAAACATTTACAGGCAACAAAATTATTACCAGTGGCTCTTTTTGATACAATGAGGTCTTACTGAGGTCCAATAAATCAAACAGTATTTACAACATTATTACCTTTATGTATAGCCATTGTCTCAATGTATCATCAACACACACTTGTATTTATTGTGTGTTGCCTGCAAACAATTTTTTGACTATCAAAATGCTGACACCAGTTACAGCTGATAATAAGTTTAAAGTTTCACATCATCAAAGCATCTTGGATGATGTGATGGTAAATAAATTACAAGAAATTATTTTTATTTTTGGGTATACTCTCCCCCATCAGCAAAAAGTCTTCATATCACATCACATAGTAATAACTTTATAACTTAATATTCTCAAAGTACCTCTATGTAATGGTCTGTGAATAACTCTGGGTAATCCCGGCAGGCTCCAAAATCCAACAAGAATATCTGTTACGGTGGAGAACAAAAGTTTCACATTAGAAAAAACAAGGATTCCGTTGGAAGAGATGGAAAAGCATACCAGCTCACAGATATCAGACGTGCAATTAAGAACCTAAAGAAATTTGGCAACAGAAACTGCGGTCCAAAATGTTTGGGTTAAAAAGATTTTAAATGCTAACAGGTTTTTGGAAATATTAACATGCAGCAAAAAGAGTAACACTGTCAAACAGAATTAGAATTTATTTTATTCATTCATTCATTCATTTTCTTTTTGGCTTAGTCCCTTTATTAATCTGGGGTCGCCAAAGTTGAATGAACCGCCAACCGCCAAGCGTATGTTTTAAGCAGCAGATGCCCTTCCAGTTGCAACTTATCACTGGGAAACATCCAGACACTCATTTCACACACATACACTATGGACAATTTAGCCTACCCAATTCAACTATACCACATGTCTTTAGACTTTTGTCCGGATAACTCGGAGAAAACCCACACAACCACAGGGAACACATGCAAACTCCACACCAAAATTACAAATTAATACAATTTTCTATTTAAAATTGTTCATTTAAACTGAAATTCACATGATTCTACAGAAATGCTTTAAATAAGATGATTTACTTTTTAGTAATGGTGAAAATGGCTATCGTATTCTTTTTTAAATACTTAGGGCCCTATCATACACCTGTCATAATAAGGTGCTAGATGTGTTTGGTGCGATTTGTTGCTATTTTAAGCCCAACGCAACCCTAAATTTCATATTTTGTGTCATGTTGTTTAAATAGCAAATCCAATTTCACTACTTTGTGGACTCATGGGTGTGCCGGTCTAGAAAGGAGGTGTGTTAAGGTGCATTGTTGGCGCGTTGCTATTTTGAGAAACTGAATTAGACCGTGCCGTTGACCAAGCAATAGCAGGCCTAAAGTGCAGGGCAAAGAACGCGTTATGCCTATTTTACCTCTGATTTTGGCTCGCCGACAGGTTTTGATAAATCGCCGACAAATGCCTGAAATCACAGGCAAATCGCTGCTCGTGCACGTGAGTGACAATCACACAGTATGAACTATCAAAGACGCGATTTGAGAGAATCGCCGATGAGTCGCCGATGCTAGTGAGATATTTGGCGTGCTAAATATCTGGAGCTGTCGGCGATTCAAATCATGCCTTGTGAATTGAGTTTTGACTGAAAATAACATCAGCGATCGCCTACAGCCAATGAGAGAGCAGCTTTCACTTGTGTGTGCGTGTGTGTACCTGCTGCAGGCCAGCAGGAAGCTGGGGGAGAAGTTAAAAGCGCTCTTTTTCGGTTTATTTGGACCCACGAAATGGAGGAAAAACTAGTGGAGGTTTGACAGGACTCAGGAGCAACCGTGTCTGTTTGACGTTTCATACAGAAAGAAATTAGCTTATTATCAACTTAAGTTGAGGAGAAATGGCTAATTCCCTTTAAACCCAGGTGAGCAAACATGTACATGTTCTACCCCATTAAAGGCTTCTTTCTCATTATGTAGTTAATAACAAAAGATATACTACATGTTTTTGGCTGTGAGACGTAGTTTGGACGAAGTTGTCTGCGATTCTCCCTATAGTAAAGTCATGCAATGTGAATGTCCATGTCGCCGAACAATCTTGCAGTGTAAACAAAGCAGCGACGAAACGCAAGCCCAGATAGTCATGCAGTGTGAAAACATCTGTGACACGACTAGTTTGAAAATCATGCAGTCTGAACTCGGCATTAGTTATGGCACTATCCAGGTTCAAACGCTTAATACACACAGGATATACAGCAAAACACAAATATCTTTATATCAATATATCTTAATATCACAAATATCTAAAAAAAAATAAAGAATTAAACTGTTACAGAAACTAATATTTAATATAAAAAACATTACCTCCATGCCCTCTTCTTGCCCGGGAGGCTTTTTTCAGTTTATTCATGACAATTTGCATTTTTATGATAATATTGTTATTATTAGCAGCATTATTTATTATATGCATATTTATATTTGCTTCAATAAAAACACATTTAGATTTATCCACCTCTCAGGTTTTGGAGACGTATGCATCACCATAAGAACAGGATGTGTGTTTGGATATGACACTGTATAATTCTTCCATAATTTTGACCGCAATTCATTATTATTGTTCATTTATTAGTTTGCTGAAAATTAGAACTGAATTTAGAAATAGTTTTGAAACAAATCTTTGCGCTTAACAAAGGAAATAATAAATGTATGTTGTGTAATGTAAAGAATATGTTGAATGATGGATGTCTTCAGTGTAGTGAGTTCAACACTGTTTTCTTACTCCACGACAGTAAAGGAGTGAAGAGTAAAAGTAAAGTAAAAAGAAAGTAAAGAAGCCAAATGGAGCAGACACGTTCTTTATCCCTGCACTGCAGATGGTCTGTTTAACTGTTTTCTCACTAGTGAAGCGTTCCATATTTACACTTACAAAGTTACACATTTACCCATGTAAATGGCAAATGCACCATGGCGCGACGTAACTTACTCTTAAAGGAAATGGTTAGACCCAGGGTTCATATAAATTTTTACTACTAAAATCCAATGACTTCTCCATGACTTTCAAGTAAATTTTCATGACCTAATGTTTCATGCAATGTCTACATTTGCGTTGTAAAAGAAAAACAATGCATGTTCAAATTTATTACAGCATATCGTAAAACACACAACAATCTATTTAGTTTCAATTTACATTTATATCCATGTAAAATTGATTTCGATAATGCTTACACCACACCAATAATGTGAGAGTATGTAATTGGCCAAGGACAGTAAAGAAGTAACCTATATTCAAGTAAACAGATATCCGTTTTCCATGGCTTTTCCAAAACTTTGTGGATATTTCTACACAACCATTATCCACATAAACTGCTCAGTTTAATAATTTTCAATGTAATAGCAGCCCGTTTGTGACTAAAGGTGTAGATAAAGATACCGTAGATCAACTATGTCTAGATTTACATACACAAGTTTGCCATCATTGATGTAGTGGTTGCTCACCTTGTTCTGCTCGCTATTATAAAAGAAGTTGGACCAATTAGGGTCCGTCTGCATGAAGCGGAACTCAAACAGCTCTCTCAAACACAACTGCAGGATGTTAAAACAGATCTACAGAATACAATTGCAGGAGAATTATTCGTTCATAAATTCCTCCTAAAACACAGTAAAACAACATAGAAGGCAAACAAATCTCTGTAAACCAGGAGAAATAGTGACAATCAATGTATTTACTAAATTCTAACAATTGATTACTACACATTAAAATAGTACATCTGATTTAAACATAATAAGTGCGAAATTAAACCAATAAAGCAAAAATAGCATTAATAATAACATAATAAAAAATAATTATTATTATTATTATTATTATTATTAAATGTCAAGCTAAAAGCATTCAGTTTACCTCATTTCTAGTCTCCTGGTCCAGATCAACACAGCGATCCAGAGGAACTCCATTGACTAGTTCCATAGTGATCACACGACGAGCCGACAGCTCATCAAACACCTCAGGCACCACAAACACTGGATCTCCTTTCAGCAAATTCCTGTGACAGTGAAGAAAATTCACATAATGTTAATATAGCATACATGTGTGTTTTTAAAGAGTCTTCTAATATCTTTTTAAGCAACACAAATCAACAATAGACAGGGCTAAGATAAAGAACTGCAACAAAAGAATACGTTTTAGTTTTTAATTATAGAGGCCAATGAACAAACCAAGAACGGTTTACATAAAAAAACAGACACAAGGAACCATGCAAAAGAAAAGACAGCACTGTAGAAAAACATTAAGCAAATACATTTCTCTGAACCAATTGTGTTCATGACCACTCAACTGTGCTTTTCCAGTTTCTACAAATCAAAGGGTTACTTTGTTGAAAAATTCTAATTCTGTCAATAATTACTTGTTTATTATTAGCTTTTTTTACTCTATTTACACCTGCATTTAGTTTTGACAAAATCTTCTTTCAAAATCTAAATTAAGTAGTTTACCCAAAAATATTTAATTTACTCATCATCTACTCACCACCCACAAGTAGTTTCAAAGGAGCTTATGTATTCTATTGAAGAAAAGCTGATATTTTGAAGAATATTGTAATATGGCAACCACTGTCACTTTCCTGTCTATACTCTGCACTGGCCTGTCCAATAAAGGTGAAAACTCCCTTAAAATTACAATTAATGTTAATAAAAAAGGAAAACAGCAGCCATTGACTTTCATAGTAGAAAAAAATATACTATGGAAGTCAATGGACAGTGGTTTTCAACATTCTTCTGAATATCTTATTATGTTTAAAACAATAAAGAAACGCATAAATGTTTAGAACCACTTGAGAGATAATGAGTAATTGTTTTTGTGAACTATCCCTTTAAAACAAAGTTTAATGAGGGCCTAAAAGACATCTTTCTAAAAACATCTTTCGGCTTTGTCCCTTTATTCATTAGGGGTCGATACAGTGGAATAAACCTCCAACTTATCCAGCATATGTTTTTAACAGCGTATACCCTTCCAGCTGCAACCCAGTACTGGGAAATATCTATTTACACTCATACACTACGGCTAATTTAGTTTATTCAATTCACCTGTACTGCATGGCTTTGGACTGTGAGGGAAACGGGAACACCCGGAGAAAACCAACGGCAAAACAGGGAGCAGTGGCGGTTCTGGTTTAAGTGTTACTCTGGGCGAACAAAAGCAGTTTTTAATTTTTAGCCCCTTTAAGCAATTTTTTTGATAGTCAACAGAACAAACCACTGTTATACAATATAATAGGTCACTTTAGGCTTTATAGAAGTGTCTTGAAAAATATCTAGTCAAATATTATTTACTGTCATCATGGCAAAGATAGAGTTCAATGAGAAATGAGTTATTAAAACTTTTATGTTTAGAAATGTGTTGAAAAAAAACAATATTTTCGTTAAACAGAAATTAGGAAAAAAATAAACAGCGGGACTAATAATTCTGACTTCAATTGCATATAACTCATATTATCTATAACATATACAATAACCTATTTAATATATGTAACTTTAGTTTTGTTGACTTGCAACACTTGCTGTGTGTCGACATCTCTGCATAAAAGGCTGTTACTCCGGTTTCACAGCCCCAGAGTGGCGCGTATTTTATCCCTGTGCATGTAAACAACCGTGATCCACAGAAGTAACGCGTGATGTGCTCGTGAATGGTTCTCTACGCGCATGCATCAGTTTGGTTTCATCAGTGTTGTTTTGGTTGCACATACAGTAACAATTTTGCACATGCAAAAGACAACCAATGTGAATGGTCCCTAAAGTCTTTATTCTGGGGTTACTCTAAATTAATATTTGCATAAAGTAAATCGTATCTCAAAGCTTATACTGGGGCACGTTTTTTTGTTTGCAGTCTCCTTGTGCTGCCCCTAGCAAGATGCTGCCCTGGGCGATCGTCTTTATTGCCTATGCCTAAATCTTCAACTGACAGGGAGAACATGCAAACTCAATACAGAAAATATCCAACTGACCCAGCCGGGATTCAAACCAGTGACCTTCTTGCTCTGAGCCACCAAGTTGCCCACATAGATATGATATCATAGATATTTATTATAGTCAAGTATACCTGAAGCGCTTGGCACACTTCGCCTCTCTTTCATAGTCACATTCCCATGCCAGCTCTCTCTGAAGGACCTCAAGGCTACTGTCAGCAAACAGACCTGCAGAAATTAATCACCAGAACTTACCTCTCATGTTAAGGTTTACGACATGCACACTTCATCTTGCTGAAACTCAAAAGTGAAAGCATTAGCCAGTGCTCACCATCAGGCAGAACAACACTCATCTTCAGAACAGACATCAGATTGTTGATGTCACTATGAATGCTTTCAGCAACACCAGGGTACTGTATAAACAAACAAACAAAAAAGTATTGTTTAGCTGTGTCATATCGATACATATTCTTAATCTAGAAAAAAATCGAGTCTATGACCTGTATCTTCATAGCGATTTCCTTCCCACCAGGCAAAACTCCATGATGAACTTGTCCAATGGAGGCAGCAGCAAAAGGCTTTTCCTCAATTGATGAGAGTTTCTCCCTCCATCCAGAGCCTAACTCCTCCTCAAGCACTTTCTGCAGAAATCAGTTAATATCAGCAAACAACAACTAAACGTCTGAAATGGCAGTTCTGATAAAAACCGTGTTCACTTTTTCATGCTGCGTTACTCAACACCGTCATCTTGTATTGTATTAGTTTACCAAAATCATATTTTTTGGCTTCTGAACTGGTAATATATGCAAATACAGTACCAGTACCAGCCACTTTATTAGATACACCTTGCTAGTACCAGGTTGGATCACCTTTTGCCTTCAGAACTGCCTTAATCCTGCGTGGCATAGATTCAACAATTACTAGAAATATTCCTCAGAGATTTTGCTCCATATTGACATGATAGCGTCACGCAGTTGCTGCAGATTTGTCGACTGCGCATTCATGACACAAATCTCTTTTTCCACCACATCCCAAAAGTGCTCTATTGGATTGAGTTCTGGTGACAGTGGAGGCCATTTGAGAACAGTAAACCGTTGATACAAGGCAGGATGGATAAAAGCTTTCATGTTGTTGATGCCAAATTCTGACCCTACCATCAGAATGTTGCAGGAGAAATCAAGACTCATAAGACCAAGCAATGTTTTTATAATCTTCTATTGCCCAATTTAGGTGAGCCTGTGCAAATTGTAGCCTTAGTTTCCTGTTCTTAGCTGACAGGAGTGGCACCCGGTGGTGCATTTTGTTGCTGTAGCTCATGCGCCTCAAGGCTCGATGTGTTGTGTTCAGAGATGGTCTTCTGCACACCTTGGTTGTAACGGGTGATTATTGGAGTTACTGTTGCCTTTCTATCAGAATGAACAAGTCTGGCCATTCTCCTCTGACCTCTGGAATTAACAAGGCATTTGCACCCACAGAACTGCTGCTCACTGGATATTTTCTCTTTTTCAGACCATTCTCTGTAAACCCTAGAGATGGTTGTGCGTGAAAATCCCAGTAGATCAGCAGTTTCTGTAATACTCAGACCAGCCCAACAACCATGCCACGTTCAAAGTCACTTAAATCACATTTCTTTCACATTGTGATGCTCAGTTTTAACTGCAGCAGATCGTCTTGACCGTGTCTAAATGCCTAAATGCATTGAGTTGCTGGCATGTGATTGGCTGATTAGAAATTTGCGTTAACAAGCAGTTGGACAGGTGTATCTAATAAAATGGCTGGTGAGTGTTTATTTAATATATGTGAAATCCAAATATGAACTTGTATGTCGCACATGACATTTGCATATATTACTATTTATTTAGATATTTTTGTGGGTTTTGCAGATGTAGATATTCATATGTGTGTTTAACTATAGTTTGAAGATGCACAGCTTGCTGTTAAGTTTTCACAGAGTAGCCGTTGACATTTCAAATATATCAGATAGCTTACAAATACCAGCTTACTAAGAAACAGCAACTAATGAGGCATCAATACTGTACATCCATGATGTACAAAATGCACAAGCGACGACATGGTCGCTCAGTGGCTAGCAGCGTCACCTACCAGCAAGAAAGTCGCTGGTTCGAGTCCTGGCTGGGTCAGTTGAAATTTCTGTTTGGAGTTTGCATGTCCTCCCCGTGACCGCATGGGTTTCCTCTGGGACCTCCAGTTTCTCCGACAGTCCAAAGTCATGCGGTCTAGGTCAATTGAATAAACTAAATTGCCCGTAGTGTAGGAGTATGAATGTGAGAGTGTATGCGTATTTCCCAGTACTGGGTTGCAGCTGGAAAGGCATCCGCTGTGTAAAACATATGCTGGATAAGTTAGCAGTTCATTCCGCTGTGGCGAGTTCTGATTAATAAAGGGACTAGGCAAAAGAAAAAATGCACTAGCACTCTCATGCGGACAGAGTGGGGAAAAAAGATTATCTATGAAAGTGTTGTTATTTCTGCAAGCTATAAAGAGAATTATATTTCATTTAAATAAGAGAGAGAGAGAGAGAGAGTGAGAGAGTGTGTATGCGTGTGTGTGTGTGTGTGTGTGTGTGTGTGTGTGAAAATATATATATATATATATATATATATATATATATATATATATATATATATAGCCATATCAGATTTTATGGATATTTCCTAGCAAAAGCAGATCAAATTTACATCTTTCTATATTACATGGGTTTAAAACAATAAAACGACATCAACAAAAATAAATAATATAAAGAATAAGATAAAAATCGAAGATTTAATAAAAATTCACATATAGTGTCTAAAGATATAAATCATTGTCTTTTTACATAAGAAAATAGGCCATACTAAAGGGAAGCTTTTTACATTGAAAATGTTATTGCATTGTAATAATGACATTTTGGAAAAACTACTTCTTTAAGTAAATGTCCATGAGCACCTTTTGAATTTCTTCCTACAAAGGGTTGGACTTGAAAAAGTATCTAATTTGAGCATTTATTGAAATAAAGCTATGAAAAAATAAATACAAATATATAAATGAGGTGGAACTAGAAATTATGAAACCTAAAAATCTTACCATGACTAATAGAACGGTCTCTTAATGTTTTCTAATGTTTTTTGAGTTTTAGTTATGTGGTAAATATTTCACAAAACCCTGCTTGTGTGCGTTTATGCATTTATTTATGTAAATATGTACCAATATTGATATGTAATATATTACATAGCAATGTAATAGCTTGAGTAACTTACATGCATTTGCCAGGCTGGCATGAAGTCAGCGCTCTGTCGAACCCTCTCAAATATTTTCTGAAGTTGAGGGTTAATGAAGCTATTGTCTATTGAGGCAACACAAAAATTAGAAACATAACAGTGGGCATTTTCCTACTCATAAACAATCGAACACATACAGCTCTTTTTGTGCTTTTGAAATAATATTGTAATATAATATTTATTTTATTCCAAATAGTATTGCGCAACACAGAAAACATCTGGAGTTTAAGAGATAGTTCACCCAAAACAAAAACTGTCAGTGTCCTCAATGCCTCACCTTTTTTTTTTTTTTTTCCAAAACCGTGAGTGTTTTTTTTTTTTTTTTTTTCTGTTGAACCCAGAAGATGATATTTTAGAAAATGATGGAAACCACAGACTACCAGCAACCATAGTATTTTTTTTTTCAATCACCATCTGTGTCACATTCTTAAAAAATCTTTTGTGTTCAACCGAAAAAAGAAACCTAAAAATATTTAGAACCACCTGAGGGCGAGTGAAAAATTTCTTTTTGGATGAAATTTCTCATTACTTGGGTCTCTTGAAAATATATTTATGCATCATTATCAGTTATATGAACAAATAATTGCACACAGTATCAGATTATTCACAATAAAATCAACCATGTACCCTGAATGCTCAGCATCTGTCCAATCTTGAGGGCCGCTCCTCTAACCTTACACAGCGTGTTCACTATTCTCTCTGCATTGGCCTCCGACAGCAGAGGAGAGTCTAAAAGAGCCCCCACCTCTAAAAGACAAAGGCACAAGAGATATAAATAAAGTGTCAAATATTTAATCAAAGTAACAAGACAAGAAATATTAAACTACACAAAAGCTAACAAACATATACTACCAGAGCGTTTTCCACCAAAAGATTGTTTCGCCACTTCAGCAATGGCTCCAATGCCAAGCCCAACAGCTAATCCTACAAAAGATAGTTGAAGCATTACTGCAGTGAAGACTACTAAGGTATTACTAAAATGTGTTCACAACCTTGGAGCAAGGAATTAAAATAATTCTTACAGTAAATTGTTATGTAAGAAACATGTCTCAAACAGTTTTAACTCTCAAGCCAAAGAGTTTTTGTCTATTTACTAATACAGGGCTTTAAGTTAAAAAAATAAATAAATAAATAAAATTCATTAGCCTTTTGGGGTAAGAGGGTGTGTTAAACAAGTGCTTAAATAACAAGTTTAGTGTTAAAGACCTGAACTGCTATACTAAAGATTAGAAGGGAAATCAAGGCTATTATCACTTTTTTTCTGGTTTGTAAGCAACGTCCTGCAAACTCTTTCTTTTTAAAACAGTTGGACCAGTAGATGGAGCTGGTACAGTGGAGGAGGCTGATGGTCTGCTGTTGTTTTTTTCTTCCGTCAAATAAAAATATCAGGCTACCTCAAATCGATCACTTCACTGGAAAAAATGTATTAATTAATATTCTGCTGTTATTATTATTTCCAATACCTCTATCAACATTTTTAACAAAAGTCATTGGAATAAAGATTATGTATTATGATTATGACTTAATATGTGATTATGACTTGGTTCATGTGTGCGCACGCTGCGTGATGAAAAGAAAATGACAATGAACCTCAAGGCTCATATGCTGACTTTTTGTATAACAATTTTGTTGTTAACATATAATATTGCATTAATTTGCACACGTTTTATAAGCTGTAAAATGAAGCTCAGTTTGGTGCAGAGTTATCATTATACAAAAATCAAGAAAATCTTTGGATTTGTTTGATTAGTAGATTATGTAGGCCATTTTAAAAACTGATATTATATAAGAACTATTTATAACTGTCATTTTATAAATGAAAAAAGGTTGGTTTGTTGGTTGTAGTCTACACTAAATCATCAAAAGCCTGTCTGTTGAGTTTATGACGCGGCTCCAGGCGATCAGCATCAGCGCTGGTATATGTCAAATCTTTCTGTGTCAAACTGACCAGAATTATCCTTCTTTCATTTTGCTTCTTTGGCAAATAAGTCTGTAGACCCGTGATTTTGCATGTTTTACTGTCCCAAGAGTTAACAAATATTTGTTGCACATGTAGGGGACAATCACAAAGAACACGCCTTATTTTCTAAAAATCCAAGGGGCACTGCACTGTCTTTTATGTTGACAAGAAAAAAAAAAGAAGCGCAATGCTGTTTTGTATGTCACTAGGTAAAGACTGAATCAGCTGACCCGTATTGTGCGCGAGTCTGGTATAATTGTAATTTTTAATAATATTATTTTCCCAGAGATGGGTTGCGGCTGGAAGGGCATCCACTGCGTAAAAACGTGCTGGATAAGTTGGCGGTTCATTCCGCTGTGGCGACCCCGGATTAATAAAGGGACTAAGCCGACAAGAAAATGAATGAATGATACTATTGTGATATTCAAGCTCTGTAAAGTATATACAGTCTGGATAACTTGAAACAGCAACAAGTCTCTCTCCTACATCATTAAAAGTTGCCCATAGTCGACCTTGACAACACAAACACTGCAGTCACCTCAACAGAAACCCTGCAGTGCTTTCAATGGATTGAAGAATGAAGAGATGCGACTGATGTAACATGCTTTTTCTGCTTAAGCACACAGCGTGCAACAGCTAAATGTAAGGTGCACGGTGCATAAGCAGCGTTAAAACACTTGCGCCTATTAGTAAACAATTCAAAAGATGCCCCTCTGAACGCAAAAAGCACTTTCGCTGTGATCGGTTCCTTATGCAGCCAAACTTTAACTTTTCTTTTAATAGTAAAACTGATGCCATTATTGGTTACAAATTACATTAACGGTCATCGAATATTTTAAGCATCCCTAATTAAACCCCATGCACAGGCTCTAAAATAATGCCGGAATACTTTAAGCCCTGCTAATATAACAAAAAATGAACAATACTTGCATGGCAAGTATCAATTGTAGTTTGGCATTTACTTATAGATTATTAAAATCCAGATTGATGCTTGTTAAGTTAAGGATAAAGTACATCCAAGAGGTTATCACCGAGTAAAGCCAAACTAAGTAAAGTAAATAAAATAAAGACTGAAAAGCTTTATTCTGCAAAAACAGGTCTTGGATGTACTTATCCCACTTATTACATGGCTACTTGCCACAAAATATAAAAGTTACACAGAAAACATTGTTCTACCAATGAAAAAAAAAAAAAATCACAAACCCCCAAAATTGGCAAGTCGACTAATGCGTGTAGCAGGTACCTTCCTTTCTTTGGCTCGTTCATTAAGCTGAAAAAGTAAAAGCAATAAAATATTCACATTAAAGCAGTTTCTAAACTAACTTAATTTAACAAAAAAGTAGTAAAAGTTAAAATGTAAACAGATTAGACAATAAACAAGGTTCTTTGACAAATACATTCGAAAATACCAGTGCTACATAAAAAATTAAACTAAATAAAATTGCTCAATGCAAGTTAAAAGGGTAATTATTTATAACAAAAAGGCCTTGATGTAAAGGTTTCCTAAAAAAGTTTTAGATAAGAATAATGATTCTCAATATGATTACCTTGTTCTCCTTTTATTATTCTCCACAATAATATTAGTTCAACAACAATAATAATAACAACAATAATAATAATAATAGTTCACTTAAACATTTAATTTCTGTCATCATTTACACAACCTAGACTTGCTCCAAACCTATGCATTTCTTTCTTCTGTTAAACACAAAGAAGATATTTTAAAGAAAGTTGGAGAACTGTAACCATGACTTGACAATAATATTTGTTTTCAATATTTGTTTTCCCAACTAGGGCAGTCAAAGGACGGACATTTTAAACTTTTTCAAAATGTCATCTTTTGCATTTAATGTTTGGATCCACTTGAGGATGAGTTCATTTTTCATTATTGGCTAAAATGTCCTTGTAATGTTTGACAAAAAAAAAAAAAAATTCAGATGTCCTCACCTTTTGTCTAACAGGCCTGGCAATGTTCTGTTTTGCCTCCCTTGCCCTTTGAATGTCTTCAGGACTCAACCTGGCCACTATAGAGTCATGGACAAACCTAAAATGGTGTTGAGATGCTGAAACATGCAAGAATCGAGTGTTTTGAGCAGGCCAGCCGGCTCCTTTAATGGTGCCAGTAGCAGCACCAACAGGTGTCTCTGATGTTTCACCCCTTCCGTCTTTACTGGAAAAGTCTGGTGGCATTTCTGAGGCGACCGACCACTTTGCAGCTTCATCCAGGTCCATCTCCTCCCACTTCTCAATTCCAGCAAACTCATCAGTCTTAGAAGTCTGAAAATGTTCATTTAAAATAAGATATAATCAGCAAAGTGGTCTCTATTTCTGTCTATTTATATCTTCCCCCGTTTTGCTCTTTGCGAATTATGATAGTAACGTCCAATAAATTGTTAAAGAAACACTCCACGGTTTTTGAAATTAGGCTACTTTTAAAGTCCCCTAGAGTTATACAGTTAAGTTTTACTATTTTTACATCGATTAAGTCATACTCCAGGACTTTTAGCTTAGCATAAATCATTGAATCGGATTAGACCATAAGCATCTCACAAAAAAAAAAAATCCAAAATAGATTTAATAGTTTTCCCATTTAAAGCTTGACACTTCCGTAATTTCATCATGTACTAAAAGCAATGGAAAATTAAATGTTGCTTCTTTTCTAGGTCAATATGGTTAGGAGCTATACTCTTGTGTAATAATAAAGGAACTTTGCTGCTGTATCATAGCTGCAGCAGGAGAAAATATCAAACATTAACAGGAAAAAATGTTTTGCATGAGACGGTAATGATCTAATCTAATTCAATGATTTATACGAAGCTAAAAGTGCTCCTGCCAGACCAGGAAATTGGCTGAATGGACAAAAAAAAAACAATGGTAAAACACAAATGTTTTAGGCAACTTGTAAAATATGCCTATTTCAAAAAATGTAGATTGTTCCTTTAACAGGAAAAAACTACTTATTAGAAATTATTTTTAAAAATTGAGAAAACTATAAATAACCACAAAAACACAAGATTTTTTGCAGCAATATTATTCACATATATTAAACATAACTGTACTGCAGGGAAAAAAATGAGAAAATAATTTGGAAGAACAAAAGGTGAACTCAAAAGGCTTTTGGTCATACTTAAATACCAAGCATACGTTTCTTTTCATGACGGATAAAAAAAAAGCACCAAGCTTTGTACACTACCTGACAAAAGTCTTGTTGCCTATCTAAATTTTAAGAACAAAAAACAACTTGACTTCTAGTTGATCATTTGGTATCAGAAGTGGCTTATATGACTTTTACCAAAATAAAATAAGATCATGTCATGATTTTTAATTAATTAATTTGGACAGTAAGGTTTGACTTTGCTTAGACAAAAGTCTTGTCATTTAACAGGAATAATATACAGTGTAGAATATAATGTCACGGTGCAGTGGACAAAGAATTAATATTGTGTATGACTCCCATGAGCTTGGAGGACTGCATCTATACATCTCTGCAATGACTCAAATAACTTATTAATAAAGTCATCTAGAATGGCAAAGAGCGCTCTTGCAGGACTCCTAAAGTTCATCAAGATGCTTTGGATTCATCTTCAATGAGTCCTTCATCATACCCCAGACGTGCTCAATAATCTGGTGCTCAACATATCTGGTGACTGGGCTGGCCAATCCTGGAGCACCTTGACCTTCTTTACTTTCAAGCACTTTGATGTGGAGGCTGAAGTATGAGGAGAAGCTCTATCCTGCTGAAGAATTTGCCCTAACCTCTGGTTTGTAATGTACAGTAATGGGAAGCACAAATGTCTTGATACCTCGGGCTGTTAATGTTGCCATCCACTCTGCAGACCTCTTGAACACCCCCTTACTTAGTGTAACCCTAAACCATCACCTTTCCTTCACCAAACTTGACTGATTTTTGTGAAAATTGTGGGTCCATGCAGGTTGCAAGTATTTGTGATGATTGGGATGCAGTTCAACAAATGAATCATCTGAAAAATCTACCTTCTGCCACTTTTCCAAATTATCAACTTTAGAAGTCAAAATATTATTTGTTGCTCTTACAACTGGGAACAACATCAAGACTTTTGTCAGGTAGTGTATATGGATTATTTGATCCACAACCGAAGGGCTCTATTTTGACGATCCATGCGCAAAGTGCAAAGCGCAGGGCGTGTCAGAATCCAATTTTGCTAAGATAAGGAAGGAAAAATCCGCTTTGCGCCGTGGCGAATGGTCTAAAACAGAGGTGGGCAAACTACAACCAGTGGGCCATATGTGGCCCGCTGAACACTTTCGTCCGTCCCACAAGGAACTTTTAAAAATGCTGCTTCTGAGTAACGGTTTGGTCCAGAATTAGTAAATTAATTAAGCAATTATAAGTGAACCCTATGTAAAATCAGGCAAAAAAATGGACTCTGAATGTCATTTGTTTAAGGAAAAATGGACAACAAAATACCTCACCAATATCGGGCAGAAAGCGGTAAGTCTAATATGCCAAGAAAATATTGCTGTTTTTAAAGACTACAACCTAAGGGGCCGAGCACACAGCTAGGTGCGCTTTTTCATGTCGGCAACAACTGAATCAGCTGGGTATTTTTCACGTTAGCAATCAGCTCATTGTTCACGTTAACACACTTATAATAACATGACTTGGAAAAACAAAGACTAAGATTCTTCTTCTGTTTTATCTCATAGTTTTATGATTGATTGATATGAGCATATTAATACAAGCTCAAATGAGATTATTGTGATATTGACCCAAATTTTATAATAACTGCTGGTTAAATGTGTTAATTTTGTCATATAATATATTTTCCAAGCATACATCCACTTTAAAAAGTTATTTTATCAAAGATTTGTTGCTTTATCCATTTTTATGATGATTGATCTGTATAATTCTAAAAGCGGTGCAGATTAGATAATTGTAAATTTGACTGAATAGTAAACTTTAAGAATTATTTTTAATGTGTTAATATAAGATTTTTTTTCTATTAGACAATATCTTTTCTATTCTAGTATTACATTATTATTATTATTATTATTATTATCATCATTATATTTTATAAGAGATTATTGTATTGTTTCATGATGATTGATAAGTAAATATAAATAGCAGTGCAAATTCATTTGACATCTATTTTGTGTTAATGTGACATGTTTCTGTCCACTATAAATAAAAGTTGCTTTTTAAAGGATTTGACATGTGGCCCTTCAGTTGGTTAGCAAAACTTGATGTGGCCCTTGGGTCTAAAAAGTTTGCCCATCACTGGTCTAAAAGGGTTGAGCTTATTTTCTTAATGAGTTATAGGTGTGTTTTCAGAATAAACCAATCAGAGTCATAAGGCCTTCTCATTATCTACTTTCACTTTCGCTCTCTTGAATAGGGAAACCTTGCACGCACAGACATCAATTAGCCTATAAATAATTAATTTTGTTTGTTAAGCGCAAAGATTTGTTTCGAAACTGTTTTTTAAATGTAGTTCTAATTTCCAGCAAACGAATAAATGAACAATAATAACAAAGTGTGGTAAAAAAAATGAGTTATATCCAAATACACAGCTGTGCCCCATTTGGTAAAAAAAAACTGACAGGTGGGCATATCTAAGCTTGTTTTTAATAAAACAAATATAAATATGGATATAATAAACAATACTGCTAATAATAATAACATTATACAAAAGCAAATTGTCACGAGTAAACTGAAAAAGCCCCCCCGAGATGAAGAAGGCATGAAAGGTTTTTATATTTATGTAGGCTAGAAAATAATATGTTTTGTAATATTTTAATCCTTTATACTTATATCCTATATATATCCTTATTATATCCTTAATATATAAATTATTTTTCATATGTAAAGATATTTGCGTATTGCTCTTCATCTTGTGTGTATTAAGCAGTGTGTAAGCGAGGCACACAACTAATGCCTAGTTCACACTAGAGGATTTTAAGCCTGATTTGAGCCCGATTTGGAAGTTAACGAGCTCGCCGAAGGATCGGGCTGTGATCGGGAAGAAATCTGCGGGTGCTCGGCGCTCGCCGCTCTTTATGTGTGAACTACTGAGCAACGCATCAACGAGGCTCGCTGACGCGTCGCCGAAACCTCGCAGACGGAAATCCAACATTCAGCATGCTAAATATTCCAGAGCAGTCGGCCGACTCAACCCCACGTGTGGTCAGATGTAGTGACGAGCTGCAGCCAATGAGAGAGCATATCAGCATGAGCCGCGTGCCTGTGTGTTCAGGAGCTCAGCAGAAACATCTGTGATTGGTCAGAATGGGCATCAGTGCACTCACTTCATTCTGCGTTAGCACAGACATGAGAGTAGGCTATATTAACAGTGGAACTAGAATTCTGTAACTATTAGAATTACCATACTGCTCATTCTGATCGTTCTCATATGAAACGCCATATTGTCACAACATATTTACATTCAAAGCTATTATTGAGATATTAAAATTAAGCTTTGAATGTCTGGCATCATATTTAATGACACCATTACCCTAAAAATATAATATTTTTTTGGCAATACAGCCTATAAATATGTAGTTAAGATACTAAAACACTTAAAGGCTTGGCTTTCATTTTCACTTTCAAACAGGAGCTATTTAACAGCACAGAATATGCTGTTTTGAAAGATATCTGAAGTAAATTGATGTTTTTGCCATCAGAAAGTTTTGTTTATGTTAGCAGGAAGTTGCCAGGCAAGAAAATGCACACATATTTAAAGTCACAGCGAAAAGTATCAGACATGCATGCAGTCATTTTGACCAATATGGTAATTTAAGGCAGAAATGCTCAGTTCTTTACTGTTTTGTAATTTAAAAAAATGACAATGTCAGAAAGAAATACACTGATAGTTAGAAAACGGCAGGGTGTTATAAATATGTTAGTTTTATTTCAAAGAGTTATAAAACTACAAAAATTAAAAACTCTCTGTGTATCTATCCACTCAAACCTTGCAGATGAGTGATTAATCCACTGATAAATCAGCTGATTTGATGTTTTTAAATGCTTTCTCCAAAGCTTGAAAAGCTGTCAGTGATGTCATCAGCACACAAGCAGCCAATAGTGTTCAGCTTTTTTCTGACGACTCCTCCCTCAAATTTTCATTGGCTGTGGTTTGGTAGCTTGAATGAGCTGATGGGAAATGAGATGTTGTCAGATCATGTAGTGTGTGACCCCCCTCTTGTGGATCGTTCACGGAGTGTTGCGTAGTGTGAAAACCACAGAGATCAAAAGACACAAAGTCAAGTCATGTAGTGTGAACAGCACAGCGATCTGCTGATGTTTAAAATCCTGTAGTGTGAACTAGGCTTAACGCGCTCTGCACTGGACTTTAGACCGGGTTTGTTTCTGATCTAAAGAACAGACTATTATAGGTTCTCAAAATAGCAATGTGCCAGCAATGCGTATCAAAACGCCTCCCTTTTCAGACCAGAACAGCTATGGACGCACATGAGGGCAAATGTATTTGCTATTTAAACAGCGTGGCGCAAAACGTCAAAACGACTCTTGCGCCAAGCTGAAACTAGCAAACATGATGCGCCTAGTGTATGATAGGGCCCTTATTGTTTAAAATTATTTGTTTCAGTTTTTTGAAACAGAAGTCGCCCAAACTAAAAGTGCAATCTATAATGTAAAATGCAGTGGCCATGTTTTCGAAAAAGGTGGATAAATATGCATATGGTTAAATCTCTGTGTTCACTAACCATGTCTCCTCCTCCCATGACGGTTCCCATCACACCCTCGACTGCTTCTGCTGCAGCTTTCATTCCTGCGCCAAACGTGGAGTTGCAGGCCATCAGTCGGAGCTGCTCACCCTGAGTGCTGGTAAACGCAGCGCCCACCTTACCAGCCCCCCTCAACACCTGGAGGACTTCAGACAGCAGCACTGAAAACACAGGTGCAGATAGGGCCCTTCAATCATCATATCAAAACTCAAATATCACATTTTATCAATATGTTTGTGCCAAATTAACAAGAAAAGTAATTTTTGAAAGGGAAGTGATTATTGAGGAAGTGAGTATTGTGTGTCACTCATTTATAGGCCCGTCACAGTAATCAATATATAAACTTATCAGGCAATACTTATTGTAATATAAATAATTTTTGGTGCTGCAACAAATATTTACAAATTTGCAAATATTGTAAAAGCCATTTTACAATTAAATTTACATTGTACATCACCGGTGTCAAGGTTTATAACTGGACATTTAATAGGATGTGTGTGTTAGTATGTGTGTTTGTGTGTATATACATATGTAGTTAAGTTAAGTTTTCTATTTTTGGACTCGAATTCGGCATCCTACCGCACAACACGACATCTTTCCCATTGCAGCCTGTCTTTTTTTTGCAACCGGGGACCCGTGTGACGTAGGTTGGTAATTGGTCTATAGACAAACTGACCCTTTGCTAAACCCCGCCCTCCTTAGTTACTGTTGCTACGCCTGTCAAGCTTTCGTACCTGGCACGTCTTTTTCAATGTGTATGCGCTGGTGTCAGACATTCGGGATATAATTAGTCACTTTTGGCGAGCAGGTGAGACATACGAGACAGACAGACAAAAAAGGACTGCAGTATGTGTAACCCGGATAACCCAGGTTACTAGTTGGTAGTACACAGCAATAGAAAAAATAGAAATACCCTTATAAATATGAGAAAAAACACTGGCAGAATACTCGATTAAATAATATACATTAAAATTATTTATTTATATAAATAATTTATAAAAGAGTATTATACAGCATTCAAGGGAGTATTGCTTTAGAATGACATCATCGTGCCTTCTGCTATAGCAGCAGAACAACTTTACAAACTATAACAAATCTCTCTTGTCTGTTAGTTTGTGTTTACTGTTGCTATGGTGATTCAGTGTTTGCAAGGGAGTGAGAGAAGTAAGTTGTTATTATCAGTAGAAAACTATTAGATTTATATCTTTTAATGTTCTAAATTCGTATTAACTGTGCAATTTTACCGTTAATAAGATGCTGCAATGATTTATATAATATATTTTTGATGAAGGATTGAGAGAAAAAGCGTCATTTGTATATGAGAGTGAAATCTGCACACGAGTGCCACCTGGAGTTTTCCTGGGTTTTCGCTTTGATTTTGAGTGATTTCCTTGGTGAGTTTGTGTTTATTTTTGTTTTCATTTTAACATGATTTCAAGTAGTGTCAAAAATGTGTGTATATATGTTAAGTAAATGTGCATATGAAGCGTGTACATATGAGATTTATTGTTAAAGACATTCTATTAATTGATATTTGCCTTGTGTTTTGCAAGGCTGGGTTTTTTGTGTGTGTCGAAGCATCTGTGATGAGTCCCTAATTCACGTTGGACTCGAGGAGAAACTTACGGCGAGCCACCCACGCAACCGACTCTCCTGTTAGACTGTGTGTTTGTGCCACCGGACTGGTAGGAGAGTTCTTTTGATTGTTTGGAGAAACGAGACTCGGACTCATCGCGACCTTCCGCTTTTCCTTCTTACTTTTCCTAAAATCCTCAACGGAAAACCTTTACTGGAACTGAGCTAAGAGAATCAACAGTTCTCTTTCACGAAATCCTTGGTATTGAACTGTGAACGGCAACCGGTGGAACGAATCATCTGAAAGCGAAACAAATCCTTTGGACAGCAAAACGAATCTTTTGAGTAGCGAACGATTCATTTGAACAGAGTTTTGAGTCTTTGAACAGTGAGGTGATTCATTTTAACAGAGTAGCGATCTTTTGAACAGGGAGGTGATTCATTTGAACCGTGTATTGATTCTTTAAACAGAGAGGTGATTTATTTGAGCACATTAATGATTTATTGAGTTAAAAGTGTGAATATTGAATTATAGCCTGCATTTGAGTAGAGTTGGTATATTTATTATTGATTTATTTCTTTATTTTCTTTTATTTATTACATTTGAGAATACAGAGTATTTTTTATCACAAATTTATTGCCTTCTTTACTTTGTTTTATACAAAGGGTAACACAGTGTTGTAGCTTTCTAAGATTTTTATTTTCATTTTGTACAAGTGTTTGAAATTTCTCAACTGTCTTGATCACAACTTTGTTTTAACTGTATATTGACTTCACGTTCATCTGTGTAAAGAAAAAAAGAGAAAATTATTTACTTTTTATTATTATAATTTATAATCGAACCTATATATACGTAAATACTTATGCTTATTGGACAGAAATTCACAAACTCATAACATATTTCTAATTATATAAACTATATTGAAGGAAAAAACTGACTGTGTCTGATTATTCACTCACCTGCTGTGCTGCTTTTCTCTCTCCAGTAGCCGTTCTTTCTCTTCTGACCAATTGGCCCACATTGAAAAATACGCTATCGCGACAAATCAATCGTACTTGCTACAATCTTGGCGAGCCAGCCAGGAGCGAGAAAGCAGCAGCTTTTGAGGTGAATAATTATTGAAATACGCATATATAGTGAAAATATAACATTACAATGGATGTCATAGAACGAGAAGACGTTAAAATAGAAAATGCAGTGATTATTAGTGGTTTAACCCTAACTGAAACAGATGAAGTCGTAGAATCCTACCTTTTGAGATTTGGTTCTATACGGCAAAACTTTCTGATTGATGATCCGCAGTCTGTATTTCATCATAATGCAGTTGTTGAGTTTTCACACAACTCCGCCATTTGCAACATTGAGCCTCAATTGCCTTTGACTATCGTAAGCCCTACTGATATGAGCGTTATATTCCGCATACACAAATTGAGTACTGCTTACAGCACAGCCACATCTAGCGACACAGCAAAGCAACTGAAGTCACTAGAGGATAAAAATGTAGAATCCCAACAAGATATCATTAAGCAAAATTCAATGAAAATGAATGGAGTGACACATTTGGATGATGCATCACACAGAGAAGATTGTGGACTTGAAAATTTAAAATCCAGCACAAAAGTCTTGACAAGTGTAACTAACACCCCTCAGCGAACTGGAAGTTTCAAGCCATCTGCTCTAAAAATTGATAATAACAACCCAGCCAAGGTGAACATGAGTACTACATCGCCCCATAGTTTAACAGAAGCCAATTCTGTATCTGTGAGAATTCCTATATCCTCTATGCACCCCCCTGACATTCAGAGAGTAATTATGGAACATGTTGTGAAGATGAGTGAAACAGTGCCCCAACACAGTGCTTCTTTCCGCTTAAAAGCCTTTTCTGGACGGATGCCTCGTCCAGGTAATGAGCCTGACTTCGACACATGGCGGACAAGCGTTGACTATTTGTTGAATGAGTTATCCCTTTCTGAGTCACATAAAATGCAAAAAATTCTAGACAGCCTGTTACCGCCTGCTTCAGATGTCATTAAGCATGTGAGCCCCAATGCTCCAGCATCAGAGTGTCTGAGGTTACTAGAGTCTGTTTACGGTTCAGTGGAAGATGGAGATGAATTATTAGCAAAGTTCATAAACACTCTGCAGGATCCTGGTGAAAAATCATCTGCCTATCTTCATAGATTGTATGTGCTCTTGTGCACTACCATTAGGCGTGGAGGGATTGCGGAGAGTGAACGAGACCGTTATCTCCTGAAACAGTTCTGCCGTGGCTGTTGGGACAATGCCTTGATAGTTGAATTGCAGCTAGAGAGAATAAAAGCTGATCCACTCTCCTTTGCTGAGTTAGCAGTACTCTTAAGAACAGCTGAGGAGAAGAAAACTTCAAAAGAAGAGAGAATGAGAAAGCATCTTGGTTTGGGCAGACCCTCACCAACCCCACTCAAATTAAGAACAATAACTCACCAACAGTCTGCTCACTTTAATAACTCACTTGAAGTGGATGCAACTAATATTCTAGCATTTGACAATCCAAAACAGAAAGTCTCTAAACAGAAAAGTAAAACCCAGTGTCCTGAAACATCTGAAGCTGATGCTTTGAAAAAGGAGATTATAGCTCTCCAAAGCCAAATCACTGCCATTAAAACAGCAGCTGACCAGGAAGCAAGGGAGAGAACTGAGGCAAGTGAGCTTCAGCAACTAAAAGGACAGATAGCAGAGCTTAAAGTCCAACTTGCCACTTCTGGAGCACAGAGAAAGCAGTTTCAGAAATCCCCTCAACAGAGTAATAATCCTAGTGATTTTGGTGTCAGTCGAGAGAGAAATGAAAGGCAAAAAAACACTGAATTAAGAACCAATCGACCCAGACCATGGTATTGCTTTCGCTGTGGAGATGATGGTCATCTTGCCATTTACTGTGAAAATGCACCAAACCCATTAAGAGTTGAAGAAAAGAGACAAAAATTAAGAGAGAAACAAGCTGAGTGGGATCTTAGAAATTGAGGAGCCACAGTGCCTTTAAACTAAAATCAGTCTCTATCGCAGGGCGGATGGGGACTAAGAGAAAACAAAGCCCAAATAATCAACAAGCACTTAATAAGCATACAGATACCAGGAACTCCTTAAAGTTACCAGCCGGACTAGTGGGAATGAAGTGCACTGCTAGAGTCAAAATTGAAGAAAAGGAAGTGAATTGCTTGCTAGACACAGGGTCTCAAGTCACAACAGTCCCCATGTCTTTCTACAACCGCTACCTGTCACGGCATCCTATGCAGCCGTTGAATCATCTGTTAGAGGTTGAAGGGGCAAACGGCCAAGCTGTTCCTTACCTTGGATATGTTGAACTGACTCTAAAGTTTCCACAAGAGTTTTTAGGATCTGAGGCCGAAGTTCCAACATTGGCCCTAGTTGTCCCAGACCTGACACAAACACCCCAAATCCTTATTGGCACTAACACCCTAGATGTCTTATATGCTGGTCATGCTCAAACAGTCAAGCCCAGAGTTATGACACGTTATCAAGGGTATCAAGCTGTGATAAGAGTTCTAGAAGCAAGACTGCAGCAGGCTGGTGTGAATGTCCTGGGCCAAGTGAAAGTAAAAGGAGACATGCCTGAAGTGATAGCAGCTGGAAGTACTGTAGTTCTTAATGGATGCGTCAAAGTTATTGGGCCACTCTCAGAGACTTGTGTTACAATTGAACCCTCAGTATCGTCATCTTTGCCTGGTGGATTACTTGTGGCAAGCAGTTTGCATTCTCTACCTGCAAAACGCAATGTCCAAATACCAATAGTGCTAAGAAATGAGACACAAATTGATTTAACTATTCCTCCAAAAGCAGTATTGGCCGAAGTACATGCTGTACAAAGTGTGACTGAGGGAAGAAAACCAGTAAATGCTTCTGTGAGCAAAGTTACAAATCCTGCACAAAATAGAATCATCCCTGACTTTGGTGACTCTCCGTTATCAAATGCTTGGAAGGAAAAGATAACTGATCTTGTAAACTCCATGCAGGATGTATTTGCACTTCATGACTTGGATTATGGCCACACAAACAAAGTAAAACACCATATCCATCTCAGTGATAGCACCCCATTCAAGCAGCGTGCTCGGCCTATCCATCCCCAGGATGTCGATGCTGTAAGACGGCATCTTAAAGAACTCCTTGATGCAAACATCATCAGAGAATCTGAATCCTCTTTTGCTTCTCCAATTGTAGTAGTAAGAAAGAAAAACAATGATGTACGCCTCTGCATTGACTTCAGAAAGTTAAACTCGCAAACTGTAAAAGATGCATATGCCCTGCCTAATTTGGAGGAAGCCTTTTCTGTTCTATCTGGCTCCAAATGGTTTTCAGTTCTCGACTTAAAATCAGGCTTTTATCAAATTGAGATGGAAGAGGCTGATAAATCAAAGACTGCATTCGTCTGTCCTTTAGGATTCTATGAATTCAACAGAATGCCTCAAGGCGTCACTAATGCACCAAGTACATTTCAGAGGCTGATGGAGCGATGCATGGGTGATCTTAACAGAAAAGACGTCCTAGTTTTCATAGACGACCTTATTGTCTTTTCCAAGACATTAGAAGAGCACAAAGCCAAACTCTTGCAAGTCCTGACACGACTAAAAGAATACGGATTAAAGCTTTCTCCCAAGAAGTGCAAGTTTTTCCAAACATCAGTCCAGTACTTAGGCCACATAGTCTCTCAGAATGGTGTTGAAACAGATCCAACCAAAATTGAAGCTCTCAAAACCTGGCCAAGACCTAAAAACCTTAAAGAACTGAAATCTTTTCTTGGATTTGCAGGATACTACAGAAGGTTCGTTCAAGACTTCTCAAAAATCACAAGACCCCTTAATGACCTTACTATTGGATATCCCCCACTGCAGAAAAATCAGAAACGAAACCCCACAAAAAGTACACCTTACCTGGATCCTAAAGAACAGTTTGGAGAGCGATGGAACCAGGATTGTCAGTGGGCATTTAACACAATCATAGAGAAGTTGACCTCTGCTCCAGTCCTAGGATACGCAGATCCTAGACTCCCCTATGTGTTGACCACTGATGCCAGCACTGTTGGACTTGGAGCAGCTCTTTATCAAGAGCAGGAAGGTCGAATGAGGGTGATTGCCTTTGCAAGTAGGGGACTAACTAAAAGTGAAGCAAAGTACCCCGCTCACAAATTAGAGTTCCTTGCACTCAAGTGGGCAGTCACAGCCAAATTCAGTGACTATCTGTATGGAGGAGAGTTCACTGTGATTACAGACAGCAACCCACTCACCTACATATTAACATCTGCAAAACTCGATGCAACCAGTTACAGATGGCTGTCCAGCCTGTCAACATTCAATTTTAAGATCCAGTATCGTGCAGGCAAAAGAAATCTAGATGCAGATGGACTCTCAAGACGGCCCCATGATGAACAGATTGATGATTTCGCCTCTCAGAAAGAACGTGAAAGAATCAAACAATTCACTCTCCATCACTTAGCTGAGACAGAACAACAAGTTATCTTGCCCGATGCAGTAAAAGCCCTCTGTGAACGACACCAAGTATATCAGAGCTGTGGTGATTCTAACCTACCGTATTCTCAACTTACTGTGGTAGAATCACTGTCCCAAAGTGTTGATGCAGTACCCCAAGAATTCCAGCAGGAGGCAGGAGGCCTTCCAGTACTTCCCCAAATGTCAGAGGAAGAGTTAAAAGAATGTCAAAGAACTGATCCAGTGCTTGAAAAAGTAATTAGGCACCTTGATTCTGGAAAGAAACCTCATGGGAAAGTAGAGCCTGCAGAAGTAGCTTTGTGGCTAAGAGAGTGGGACCGCTTTGAGTTCAAGAATGGAATCTTATTTAGAAAGAGACAGGACCCAAGAGGCGTATTGTATCAGTTGGCCTTGCCCAAAAAGCTCAGAGGAAATGTATTAAAAAATCTGCACAATGACATGGGGCATCTCGGAATTGAAAGGACTTTGGACCTGGCTAGAGCCCGTTTTTACTGGCCAAAAATGGCAATAACTGTGGAAGAGAAAGTAAAGACCTGTGAGCGATGTGTAAAACGAAAGACCCCTCCTGAGCGGGCTGCACCCCTGGTGAATATCACAACCAGCAGACCCCTTGAACTAGTCTGCATAGACTACTTGTCACTAGAGCCTGATCGAAGCAACACTAAAGACATCCTTGTAATTACTGATCATTTTACCAAGTATGCTGTTGCAGTGCCCACTAGAAACCAGAAAGCTGAAACTGTGGCCAAATGCTTATGGGACAACTTTTTCATCCATTACGGGTTTCCTGAAAGAATTCTGAGTGATCAGGGGCCCGACTTTGAGTCAAGAATAATCAAAGAACTGTGTGGCATAGCAAGAATACAAAAAGTAAGAACTACGCCTTACCATCCCAGAGGCAACCCTGTAGAACGTTTCAACAGAACATTGCTCCAAATGTTAGGGACCCTGGAGGACAAACAAAAGACCTATTGGAAAGACTTTGTTAAACCATTAGTCCATGCTTAAAATTGCACTCGTAATGACACAACAGGATTCTCACCTTACGAGCTGATGTTTGGGAGACAGCCTCGGCTGCCAGTAGACATAGCATTTGGTTTACCTGCTACTGGGTCATCCCCATCTCATTCCATTTATGTGAGAAATCTGAAAGATCGCTTAGAGGAAAGCTATAGAATAGCTACTGAGAATGCCTCAAAATTAGCAAGAAGGAACAAGAAACGATTTGATGAGCGAGTAGTCACCTCATTCCTTGAGGTTGGAGATCGTGTTCTAGTACGGAATGTCAAGCTAAGAGGAAAGCATAAATTGGCTGATAAGTGGGAGAAAGAAATCTATGTTGTGTTAAAGAAGGCGGGAGACTTACCTGTTTATACTGTTAGTCCAGAAGGCAGGGATGGCCCACTTCGCACACTGCATCGAGACTTGCTGCTGCCCTGTGGATTCTTACAAGAAAGCATGCCTGAGCCAGTAAAACCTAAACCACCCCGCAGACCTAGAACTCGAGCAAACACTAGTGCAAGAGAACCTGATACTATGACTGAGAGTTCTGACTCTGAGGATGATTCAATGGATCACTACTCACGTAGACACTTACCAAAAGTAGAGAGCAGAATCCTCTTCAATCCAAGACATGTTAAGCCTTCAAGAGACAGGCCGATTGCAGAACTTTCTAGTAAAACAAGAGTCGTGAAAAGTAAAATCAATGACTGTCCTGCAATAGAGATACCACAAGAGAACTTACCTTACTTACCTGAAGATGAAAACTGTCCCATGAGTGAACCTGAAAGAGAGAACACACCTGTAATGGATTCTGTTAGACCAGATATGTTAAGAAACGTACCTGTTGTAAATGATCAAGAACTATTGGAACAGAGAGATGAACTGGAAATATTGAGTGAAATAGATGATGAAGCTGATCAGAGAAATATTCACAGTGGCCAGGCAGTGATCGACCAGGTTGAAAGAAATACATTGAGACGTTCGCAAAGACACCGTGAGCCACCACAAAGGCTACAGTACTCTCAATTAGGGAATCCTCTTTCTCTGGTTATACAATCCTTACTACAAGGTCTCAGTACAGCAGTCACTGCATCTTTAGAGGAGTCTGATTGCCCCAGAGAAGCCTCTCTTTTAATGCAGAAAATGTTCCCTTCTGCTGCCGTTACGCAGCCTAAAAGATGCAGAGGGACCTGCATAGATTCCAGGCGGGGAGAATGTAACCCGGATAACCCAGGTTACTAGTTGGTAGTACACAGCAATAGAAAAAATAGAAATACCCTTATGAATATGAGAAAAAACACTGGCAGAATACTCGATTAAATAATATACATTAAAATTATTTATTTATATAAATAATTTATAAAAGAGTATTATACAGCATTCAAGGGAGTATTGCTTTAGAATGACATCATCGTGCCTTCTGCTATAGCAGCAGAACAACTTTACAAACTATAACAAATCTCTCTTGTCTGTTAGTTTGTGTTTACTGTTGCTATGGTGATTCAGTGTTTGCAAGGGAGTGAGAGAAGTAAGTTGTTATTGTATTATCAGTAGAAAACTATTAGATTTATATCTTTTAATGTTCTAAATTCGTATTAACTGTGCAATTTTACCGTTAATAAGATGCTGCAATGATTTATATAATATATTTTTGATGAAGGATTGAGAGAAAAAGCGTCATTTGTATATGAGAGTGAAATCTGCACACGAGTGCCACCTGGAGTTTTCCTGGGTTTTCGCTTTGATTTTGAGTGATTTCCTTGGTGAGTTTGTGTTTATTTTTGTTTTCATTTTAACATGATTTCAAGTAGTGTCAAAAATGTGTGTATATATGTTAAGTAAATGTGCATATGAAGCGTGTACATATGAGATTTATTGTTAAAGACATTCTATTAATTGATATTTGCCTTGTGTTTTGCAAGGCTGGGTTTTTTGTGTGTGTCGAAGCATCTGTGATGAGTCCCTAATTCACGTTGGACTCGAGGAGAAACTTACGGCGAGCCACCCACGCAACCGACTCTCCTGTTAGACTGTGTGTTTGTGCCACCGGACTGGTAGGAGAGTTCTTTTGATTGTTTGGAGAAACGAGACTCGGACTCATCGCGACCTTCCGCTTTTCCTTCTTACTTTTCCTAAAATCCTCAACTGAAAACCTTTACTGGAACTGAGCTAAGAGAATCAACAGTTCTCTTTCACGAAATCCTTGGTATTGAACTGTGAACGGCAACCGGTGGAACGAATCATCTGAAAGCGAAACAAATCCTTTGGACAGCAAAACGAATCTTTTGAGTAGCGAACGATTCATTTGAACAGAGTTTTGAGTCTTTGAACAGTGAGGTGATTCATTTTAACAGAGTAGCGATCTTTTGAACAGGGAGGTGATTCATTTGAACCGTGTATTGATTCTTTAAACAGAGAGGTGATTTATTTGAGCACATTAATGATTTATTGAGTTAAAAGTGTGAATATTGAATTATAGCCTGCATTTGAGTAGAGTTGGTATATTTATTATTGATTTATTTCTTTATTTTCTTTTATTTATTACATTTGAGAATACAGAGTATTTTTTATCACAAATTTATTGCCTTCTTTACTTTGTTTTATACAAAGGGTAACACAGTGTTGTAGCTTTCTAAGATTTTTATTTTCATTTTGTACAAGTGTTTGAAATTTCTCAACTGTCTTGATCACAACTTTGTTTTAACTGTATATTGACTTCACGTTCATCTGTGTAAAGAAAAAAAGAGAAAATTATTTACTTTTTATTATTATAATTTATAATCGAACCTATATATACATAAATACTTATGCTTATTGGACAGAAATTCACAAACTCATAACATATTTCTAATTATATAAACTATATTGAAGGAAAAAACTGACTGTGTCTGATTATTCACTCACCTGCTGTGCTGCTTTTCTCTCTCCAGTAGCCGTTCTTTCTCTTCTGACCAATTGGCCCACATTGAAAAATACGCTATCGCGACAAATCAATCGTACTTGCTACATATGCATTACAGGAGTATATTTACCACATAATTGGCGACCAATTAGAGAATAATACAATTAAAATTTAAGCTAGCTTAGCCTAGCCGCCTCATACGCTGATCATTCAACAGCTTAGTTCATGCACAGCAAGAGAGAAATTTGAAAATAATCTAATAATAACAAATTAAACCGTGTTTTCTCTATTTTTAGCCAAAAAGCCTGATAAACTGTTGTTGTGCAATGAAATATAGCGTTACTAACCGACGAGGAAACACGCATGGAAAGAACAGCCAGAAAGGGGAACCTGATAGATTAGTGCTGAATATTAACTTAGCATCATTGACCCATAACATTGTACAGTAAGTTACCCATTACTGTCAGTTTGTTTGTGTGCTCTTTATAAATTAATGAAAACAGCTGTTTGTAAAGTATATTGATCACAAGTGCTCAGTTTGTATCATATCTCTGTTATGTTTTTTTCTGTTGATTTGTAATTTCAATTATTCGTAGCTTAAAACAGATGGAAAAATGAAGTTCAGTAAAGTTAGCAGCAGATTTGTATTTTCCGGATCAATAACTCATGACCTATTCGATATTAGTATGACTTACATTCCTATGGCGAAGGCTTAAACGGAGCGGTGCTTATAATATCAGCGGCGAAAAAAAAAAGACAGCTATGAAACATAACCTGCTTTGTATTTTTGTAGGAAACACAGTTTAGATCTGTTTAGGGTAAGAGGTGTGTGAGTTATTGTCGTCTATCATTGAATGTGTCAGGAATATCGAGAACAACACAACTTAACTCCGCTCCACTCACAGAGCTTGATCGACGCCAGCATTTCTCCCCTTGATTTTTTTGGTTTTGAAAAGTGTAAAACTTCCACCACCCCGTCCAAACTTTTAGGAGGCCATATGGGAGGGCATATGTGCAACGCTGTGGCTTGTTTCCCTTGCTCGAAAGCTTGACAGAGCCCCTGCACGTAGCTACAGTTGCTAAGCCATGATTGTTGGGTGGCAGTTTTTAGGTGTGGCTTAGCAAAGAGTCAATTGAACAAACTAAACTGACTATAGTGTGTGTGTGTGTGTGTGTGTGTGTGTGTGTTTCCCAATACTGGTTTGCAGCTGGAAGGGCATCCGCTGCAGAAAACATATGCTGGAAGGGTTGGCGGTTTATTCGGCTGTGAAGACATCTAAAAATACAGACTAAGCCGATAATAAACGAATGAATGAGTTTGCAAAGAATTATTTTCTGAAATTATTTTAAGGAGAAACCAACTTTACTTCAATGTCTTTATGTCTGCCTGACTAAATATATAATGTAATATTTTTAATTATTAATCTTAATTATTAATAAAATAATTATATTAATCTTACGTTACCTCAGAAAACGAATACTTATGACAATATTATTTCTATAAGTTACTATGACCTTTCACTGTTTCATATTTGTAAGGCTGCTTTTTTAAACAAACAAGTCGAGGTTTGTCCTTATTTTTACTTTTACTCAGGAATGTTTTTAGTCAGAAACGTATTAGCTTCACTCACTCTACCTCTGTCAATCTGAATATTTTTTCACCCTTATCAAGGACTGAGTTGAGAAGCATTGGATAAAACTAAGTTTACGTTTGATGTAAAGTTAACACGCTTTACAGATTATTTACCCAATCCATACATTGTCATATGTGTTTATGATAGTGTAAAAATATTGCATTATTAAAATAAATCCATTCAGGCCATGTATCCAATATGTATCAACACACAAGTTTTGAATAACATTGCATTTTTTACTCACGTGCACGTCAAACTACACTGTTGCTTTCATAGTCTTCATAAATTATCACAGCAGTGTAGTTTCCTACCAGTAATGTTATCGTTACTTACTCGTATTGAGAGTTTAGAGTCTCCTCAGCGTCTCTATGAAGTGTCCTTTCACTCCACAAACCTCTGTTTTGCAACACTACCGGACACGGAAAGGCCCTGATGATTGACAGCCGACATAACCAATCAGGATTTGAAACGTCAAAGGAGGGTGGGTTTTAACCGATATATGGCAAGCCGGTTTATATATAATGAATGTAGTGTTGGGCTTTACTGCGTATGAGCACCAAAAATAAAAACCCAAAATTAAAAAGTGTTATGTGATGAACTGCTTGCTAAATTTCACATTCATAAGTCAAAATTTTCTAACTCCAGACCTATGTTTGGGGTTTTTATGAACGGATTTAAACAACACCTTTTATTAATCCAATTGTCACATAACTAAAAGGCTCTAAAAACAAAAAAAACTTTTAAAAAACGTACCACCATAATAGTAAATCATTTTAAATGGATACGAGTAGTTATTCATTAGTTGGGGCAGATTTGGTGATTTGGGAGCCCTAAACAGTTCCAGCCATGTGGACCAGCAGTTCTAGTTTTCACCAGCTGTTTATTAGGTTAGAGTTTCAAATAAATACGTTGTATGCAATGATCAAGTACTCTCTAAATAAACACAATGCTCTGCTCTAATAACTTAAATAACTAAAATAAAAATAATAAAATACGTAATAATAATAATTAATAACATACTATTATTTTTATTCTTATTCTTATTCTTATTAATATTATCATCATCATCATCATTATTATTTGTTAGTGTCAAGTTTGCATACTAGTTAAAACTGTAAAACTAAAAAAAAACTAAAAATGTACTATTGAATATGCACTGCTACTTAAAGAATAAACACTGAATGGGGGAAATGCCTATCTAAAAAAAGGTAGGCTACTAGTTTTATTAAAATAATAATAAATATTAATAAATGCTTATATATTTTTTAATTATGTTAAAATGACTTGCCATAAAAATGTTTCTGCTAACAACCAATCATGTTTAACATTTTGACTTGTTCTTGATATGGACCAATAGAATTTTAGCAGGGGGCGTGCCCAATGTAGCATAACGCCATCTGTCTCCGTGAATGTTTTGAGTGAAGCACAGCACGTGGAGTAACGGTAAAGTGACTTTCACGTGACACTCAAGATGAATAAGAAGAATTTTACTACAAAACAGCTCTGAGTGTGGTTATCTAGTTAAATATTATTCAGTTTACTTGATATCCATGCTGAAACAAACATTTACTCTTTGAAATAAAACATTACTAAAATAACTCAATTCAGATGGTGCAAAATGATGAAAATTTTCACTTATTTGTACCTTTACTCGATAAGTTTGTGATTTTTTTCTTCTCTATGAATAAGTTGAGAAGCATTTGTTAAAACTGAATATATGCTTGATTATTTTAATTAGTTTTTAATAACTTTTTAAAACCCATTTAAAAAAAAGATACAGCACTTTTTACAGTGATATAACACAAATTAAAATTTAACCATAACAAGAATTTGTATGCCCCAAAATATTATTTAGATAAATTTAGACAGAAATAAATAATATATGGGCAATGCGGTGGCGCAGCGGGTAGCTCTGTCGCCTCACAGCAATAAGGTCGCTGGTTCGAGCCTCTACTGGGACCGTTGGCATTTCTTGGGTAGGCTAAATTGTCCGTTTTGTTTGTGTGTGAATGGGAGTGTATGGGTGTTTCCTAGTGATGGGTAAAATATATGCTGGATAAGTTGGAGGTTCATTCCACTGTGGCAACCCTAGATTAATAAAGGGACTTAGTTGAAAAAAAAATGAAAGAATGAATAAATAATTTATAAAATAATATAATAAATAATTAAAAATAATTAATGACAGATTAAAAGACTAAATGATCACAGTAAAACCCTAAAATAAAATTTTTGTTCAATTTTCATTTTAAATACATAATATTTTAGTTACCCTACAGACCTCTAGCTTTCACCCATTCCTAACATTTCTCGTGTAAAACATATTTAACAATAAACTTTAGTGTGATCACGTATGTTTTAACAATAAATTTAATTCAATATTTGTTTATATTGTTGCATTTTATTTAAATATATCTGTTATACAAAAAAGGAACATTATTTCGTCCAAAGAATAACATTCTTCATTCATTTTCTTTTTGCTTTGTCCCTTTATTAATCTGGGGTCGCCACAGCAGAATGAACCGCCAACTTATCCAGCACATTTTTTACGCAGCGCATGCCCTTTCAGCTGCAACTCACCACTGGGAAAAACATTTCATTTTAAACATAGATATTTAAACATTATTGTATAATTTGCATTAAGTGTGCATGTAATGGCTTTGGCCTGTATGTGTCTATCTGTGTGTAAATATATAATCTATCTATCTATCTATCTATCTATCTATCTATCTATCTATCTATCTATCTATCTATCTATCTATCTATCTATCTATCTATCTATCTATCAAGTGTTTCAGAAGTGTTATCTTTTTTATTTATTGATGTCAGAGATTAACTACTAAGATTAATCTTAACAATAAATAAGTAAACAAATAATCATGTTTGCTTCAAAGTCAATTTACTCTTCAGAATTTGTGTGATTAATTTTACTGTAATAGTGAAATAGTACATATATAGTATATATATATATGTGTTAAATAAGTGCTGAGATTGTGCTGAAGTAGTGCTGTAAATGTTAGTCTGTGAACCTAACTTCATATAATTCAATTGTAAAGATTTTTCTGCAGACTGCAACATCTGAAATCGGTGTGTCGACATACGAGTTGTGTCAACATACAGTAGGCTACATAAATATGCCAAGCAATAAAGAGTCCACAGTGATATTGTGAGCTCATATTTCACTTGCGGTGAATTGTAGCGAAAGTGAAAGATGCTGCCGATCATTATGATGATGAGCTGGAAGAATTTTCCTCTTTGTGGGTAGAGGTGTAGAGACAGAGGGGGAGTCTGAACATCCATATATGGGCACGCCATCAGTTTTCTCTCCCCATTGGCTGCTAGCGTTTTGCAGCTGCTTGTCAACAAAATGGCCTTCCTCAATTGCTTTTCGAGGACCTACTGACTACTTCTGTTTTGGTAAAACAGTACTGATATCTGGTTGAACAATAGAGGCGAGCATTCTTTTTTTTTTTAAAACACAGCATTTGTCAATTCATTGCTGTGTTCATAAAAGACAGACACTGTTGGTCTGTCCACATGAATGTTATGGTTTTTGGTTTTATTCTCGAGTTAGCTTAACAGGAGCTAACAGTCTACCTGCAAACCCCCATCGACCTCAGCTTTCATCGGTGTGATTGTTTTTAAAACCCCGCAGTGAAATTTGAACAACTGCTGGTTGAAATTCAACAGAGTAACCCCTTTTTTGGTTACAAAAGTAACGCTGTCAAAATGAGAACAAGGTAAGCGGAGATATAATTCTAGCAGACCTGCTATTGCTTTAGCCAGACATTTTAATTTATTGTTGATGATGACATCTAGTTGAAATACTTCAAAACCTTTTATACAAGCACATATGTCCACTTTTTATTTTTTATAGTTTCTAAAATTGTTCTATACAGTACTAGACAAGATAATACACTTTTGTCAGCCAGCGTGGGTTTCACAGCTTAGCTAACCAAGCTAAACATATGCTAATTAAACACTGGCGCAGATATATACCAACAGCAATAATATGCGGTTATTTAGTACAGAATATATTAGTATTAGCTATCTTGCTTCCGACTATTTTGGTTGACATGATTGCTAATTGAACCTAAATCAGAGAAGTTCACTCATTTTCGGTTGTTTAGAGGAAGCTAATCGTCTGCAATAGCTTTACTAGCGTTGGTCAGTTTTTTTAGCCTTAACGTGTAATCTGCGTGAAGTCAAACGAGCACAAATGCTTTGTCTTTCAGTTTAAAATGTTTTTAGTTAACATGTTAAATTGAATTTAAAGTACCGAAGATGCCAAGCGATTATGTTAAGACATGGATTAACTTGATGGGTAAGGCCTTGTAAAAAGGGGAAGCTGAGGAAAAACACGTAATCAATGACAATATAATTCACTTGATATTTATCATGTTAGTAGGATAACATGTTAAATCACTTGTATTACTTTCCTGTTTGGATCAAGGTGGTTTTGGGGTTAATCATTGGCACTATGAGAGTATTTGCTATCTTTATTATGTTATTTTTATGTTTATTGCTATTGTGTACGGGACTAATATTTGTATCATATTAACATTTAAATGGATAAAGAACGTTTTGCTCTATAAAGTAAAACTGGCAGGCATTCAGAAAATATTATGCAAATTCCCCAGTGTTGTTCACTTCTGAGTGAATCATCTCGTCGAATGACTTGTTTAACAAGTCCTTAAACATTTTGCTTGTCGTCATTATCTGTAAGCACACTGGAGTTATCAAATCTTACGGTACTTTGTCACGTAATGAGATTATTTTTCTACAGAATTGGATTCCTTTTTATGATAGGATATTTTTCCTGATAATAACAAAATACATTCCACCGGTTCAACAAACTTCCTTGAATTTATTTATTCATGTATATTTTTTTCTCTCACACACAGAGAATTGTGGTTTGTACAGTTGAAGTCAGAATTATTAGCCCCCCTTTGATTTCTTTTTTAGGTATTTCCCAAATGATGTTTAACAGAGCAAAGAAATTTTCACAGTATGCCTGATAATATTTTTTATTCTGGAGAAAGTCTTATTTGCTTTATTTTGGCTAGAATAAAAGCAGTTTTTAATTTTTAAAAATCCATTTTAAGGTCAAAATTATTAGCCCCTTTAAGCTATTATTAAGTGATTAAGCTTATTTTATTTTTATTTTTTTGATTGTCTACAGAACTAACCATCGTTATACAATAACTTGCCTAATTACCCTAACCTGCCTAGTTAACCTAATTAACTTAGTTAAGTTAGTTTAAATGTCACTTTAAGCTGTACAGAAATGTACAGAAATATTCTGTACTGTTATCATGGCAAGGATATAATAAATTAGTTATTTTAAAAGTGGTATTAAAAATATTATCTTTAGAAATGTGTTGGAAAAAAATATTCTCTCGGTTAAACCGAAATTGAGGATAAAATTAAACGTTGGCTAATAATTCAGGGAGGCTAATAAATCTGACCTCAACTGCATGTACAGTGCTCAGCATAATGGAGTACACCCCGTTTTGAAAACTAATATTTATTACTATTTCTCAGTCAATATAGGAAATGTATTTTGGTGGATTTAAACAAAACTTTAACCCTTGAACTGTCCCACCAAGAAATTTTTTGAATTGCATTCCTTAACTCTTAATGTCACCAGTTAACGCAGTCAATGCATTTTTTTTCAACATATCCCATAATTTTTTTAAATATCAACCTCACCAAATGGTTGATTTGTCGCTTTATAGGAAAAGTACTGGAATTAATACATATACTATGAAAAATCCGAAAATATGAAGTGTAAGACCAATTTATTAAAAAAATATTTAAAATATATATTTTTTTTATTAAATCATTTTCATTTTTTGAAGTATGCTATAAAATATTTCAGATTCTCATTTATCATGTTTTCTTGATTTTGGATTTATTGTAAAATAAAAATAAATAAAAAAACGTGTAGTAGTGCAACAGGATTGTTTGATTTATTTATTTTGTTAACCAATAATGCTGTGTGTAAACCATTATTTAAAACAGTGATTCTTTAAATTACTTTAACAGTCATTATTTAAAACATTAAAAACATGGTCAACCCTTTGCTAGAGTGGCAGTCAAAGAGTTAAACAAATATATTTATTAAAATAATATTTTAGCCACCAAGTTAGAAATTGAAAGATAATACAATTAATATATTTTTGTATAACATAAATTTGGGTGTACTTGTTTTTGGACCGTTATCATAAGTTATTTAATGAGATAAGCTCCAGATTTAGCTACTAATCTTATGTATACATAATATTGTATAGCCTCCTATTAAAAATATAAATTTAAAAGAGAGATTTGTGAGGGGTGTACTTATATGCTGAGCACTGTACATGTGTATAGATATTGCGTTTTAAACATAGATAGATGTAAATATGATGATATATAAAATTTTTATTGTCAGCTGTGGAAGAGCACTACCCAAACCAAATGGTATTATATATATTTTTTTTTTAACCTGGTAAAACTTTACTCTTGTTTAGTTCAACCAGTTTAGATTTTCTCATATTCGTTTGTATCTTAGTAGACATGTGGTGTAATCTTTCAAATCCAATATAAATGCTTTTAAAATATGTTGTAGGTTAAAAATAGCAGCCTGAAAGCACTCCAGAAGGCTGTACCCATTAGTGCTTTGAAGGGTTTTGTATGGTCTTTCAAAACATGCATGCAGTATAGTTAGAAACAAGACTTTTTATGGTCGTTCAGTTTTCTGTATCACAATAATAGAGTTTATTAAAGAGATAAGTAAAGCAGTGTGTTTGACATGACCAGACTTGTCTGAAGTAATATTATGTCTGTTGTCAATAGGTTGAATGCACGTCTTTAATGGATTTTACGAACTTCTGTTACACCAAAAATGAAAAGGCTAAATTAAACTAATAGTTACCACATGTGTTGGCATGCAAGCATATCTAAGAGATGCCGTTAAAATGTTTTAGACCAAGTAAATATTCAAAGCAAGCAGTTTTACTGATTTTTAATTTTCAGTTATACATGAATGGCTTTTTGTAGATAAATACAGATATTCCAGTAACATGCCCATGCCTCTTTCTGTTAGCTTGGAGGATATGTCATTTTAGGTGACTTGTAAAGTCCACTGACATTTAGTTAAATTAATAGAATAGATTGTAGACCTTTGTCTTTCTGGAACAGTAGATGGCAGTAAGGCTTTATTTTATTTCAGATTCATGTAACTGTTCTGTAATGCTTTGTGAGCTGTGACAGCTGGCTCAGAGGACCTCAATCTTTGTTCGTAGAGCAATTGTGATGTCATGCAATCAAACAAAGTTATTGCAATGACACCTATAGAGATGAAACTAACTCACAATCTTTGTTTGACATTTCTCTAGCCTCCAAAGTAAGAGGGATTTGAAGCCTTTTATTTTGCTAATTGTAATATTAGTTAACAGAATAATTTCAAACACTGGTAATACAAAATGTATATATTGTTTGCATTCGTTTTAGATGATTCACCACTCATATGAGTGTCTAGAGCAGGGGTCACCAACCTTGTTCCTAGAGAGCTACCTTCCTGCAGAATTCGGTCCCAACCCTGATTAAACACACCTGAACCAATTAATAGTACCTAAAGCAGCACTTGATAATTACAAACAGGTGTGTTTGGTCAGGGTTGCAACTAAAATCTGCAGGAAGGAAGCTCTCCAGGAACAGGGTTGGTGATCCTTGGTCTAGAGCAGGGGTGTCAAACTCAGTTCCTGGAGGGCCGAAGCCCTGCACAGTTTAGTTCCAACCCTGCTCCAACACGCTTACCTGTAGGTTTCAATCAAGCCTGAAGGACTAAATTAGTTTGATCAGGTATGTTTAATTAGGGTTGGAACTAAACTGTGCAGAGCTGCGGCCCTTTTGGAACTGAGTTTGACACCTGTGGTCTAGAGAGTTCTTACTGGTAATATTGCTGTAATTAAGACATTTTAACAATTAAGATAAATGCACAAAATCTAAATCTTGTCCTTTTTTCCCTCTCAGTCCTCAGATGGAGTAATCTCTTGAGCTGGAACTTGTAGACCTGAAAAGTGAGAATGATTGGTGAAATGCAAAGTAGCTGCCCAGCATAGAGGCAGGTATGCTCCCCATGGGCTCACAATGAACCGTGACACCTTTTCCCATATCCGACTGTGGTGCCCACGCCCCTTTGGCACCTACTCACAGAATAAGCCATACAGCAATGGTACAGTTCTCAATGGAACAACTACCACCCACTGCAAGGCCGATGATTCAGGACTTACAGCTATAGAGACCCATGGAGTCAGTGAGGAGCAAGAGGAGGATGTTGGCACTGAAAACACCCCACCAGCTGCTTCATCTACCCTTCTGGCCCCACCACTACCTGCATCACCCTCTCCTAATTCACAGATGGAAGATGGCAGAGTATTGCTTGATACCTGGTATGTCATCAAACCAGGCAACACTAAGGAGAAAATTGCCTTCTTTGTAGCTCACCAGTGTAATGGTGCTGGAATTCCCAGGCCTAGTGCCATGAAAGTCAAGGGAAACTGGGCTACTGATTGTACCAAGGCCAAGCGCCGTCGTCGCTGCTCCTCTTACGATCCTCCCACTAAAGCGCAAAATGTTACAGTTGATGTACCAGCAGAACCTAACTTGACGGATGATGGTGTTGTAGTTAGTGAGACTGATTTGCTCTCAGTGGCAGAAATGGTGGCTCTTGTAGAACAGCGTACAGCCTTGGCCCTTCAGGGCATGGTTGCACAAGGTCAAACTAGTCCTTACACAGTCCATCAGAAACCTGTTGTAATCCTCTCAGAACCTCCTTCATCCACACCAGCTTCTCAAAGTGACTTTGATCTGCTGCAGCAACAACAGGAATCTAGACGCGTTGCTCAGACTGTTGCGCAGTTTGAATCTCGGCAGCAGAATCTTGACAGTACAACTTTGCGGCCTGAACTAAATGGTTCAGGAAGAGACTGCATACAGACTGGTGAGTCTGGAACCCCAAGCCATGGCAGAGGGGAAGTAAGGATCGCGTTTCGGGTTTCGAGTTTGGACCCTCGCACCCAGTCTGAACCTGTTGGCCGCCCTAAATGCATGTTTATGAGTTGTGGAGTTGGAGGAGGGCAGGCAGCAGCCAGAGGCAAAGAAAAGATCACTTGTGACCTTTATCAACTGGTTAGTCCCTCATCTCGAGACCCAGGTGCCCTCCTGGCTGGGTCACCCAAGGCCGATCCTCTTGGGGAAGGTATCACTGATAGGCCTCCCTCAACAACGCCAGATCCTAACCAAGACCCTGCCTCAGGAGAGAAAGCAACAGTTGCTCGAGAGCGGGTGACTGGCTTCCATGTTGAGGTTGTGGTCACAGGTGCAGTAGACCAATGTGTCTTCTATGGGAAAGACAGCACAGAGAATGTTCAAGAAGAGACTGTATGCTTTGCTATGCCCAATGGAGCTAAATCAACTGATGCCTCAGAGGACCCACCTCCTGGCCAGCTGTTTTTTCTGCAGTCAGCAGCTACTGAAGATGAGAATTGTTCAGCGGTAAACGGTGGGATGCGGTCCTTAGACTGTGCAAACAACAATGGGCCATTGGGGGCTACTATTGAGAGGCCAGACTCCCCACTGGCGACTGTGGATGATTGTTCTGATCCTCCGTTGTGCCGCCTCTACCGTCACGTTTCCCATGACTTCCTCGAGATTCGCTTTCAGATCCAGCGGCTTCTGGAGCCACGGCAATACATGCTTTCGCTTCCGGACCACATCATGGTCAACATCTTCAGCTATCTGCCCACCCATTCTTTAGCAGCCCTCAAATGCACCTGCCATGACTTCAAGACCCTGATTGAGACCTACGGTGTGCGTGCTACAGACTCTCGTTGGAACCAGGACCCGCTGTACCGTGACGACCCCTGCAAGCAGTGCAAGCGACAGTATGAGCGAGGAGATGTGTCGCTCTGTCGCTGGCATCCGAAACCTTACCACCACGACTTGCCTTATGGACGCTCCTACTGGATGTGTTGTCGGCGCACAGATAAGGACACTCCTGGCTGTCGAGTTGGGCTACATGATAACAACTGGGTACAGCCATGTGAGCTGGTTCAGGCCCGCAAAAGAGATGATGCGAGGTAAAGGATTGGGTCGGGGGATTGTCATTACTCTCCCTGCTTTTGCTCTACTGAAACCTCATGCCACTGTACTATTTATGGTTGAGCTCGCCTCTCCTATCTTAGCTTGTTAACCTTGCTATCATTGTCAGTATCAGTTCTTATCAGTGCACCATACTTAATTATCTGTCCCCTCGGGCGCAGATGAGTATTCTGGAAGTTGAAAACCCTAAATGAGGTAGTCTGCTGCATGGGACTAGTGTTTTGATTTGGTTAGGAAATTCTGATGGCTTGGCAATCTTTAAAGACCAGCTCTGATTCTGACCCCAACCTTGCAAAAAATAACCTGCAGGCTAGACACAGGACTTGTGAGTAAAACTTTGTGGGGTTGTTGTCAAGTTAAAATTTGCTGTCTCTTTGGTCAAAAGCGCGCAAAATGATGTCACTTTACAAATCCCTGATGTCACTTTGTAATCAACAGTTTGACTGCTTGTTGGATTTTTCTGTTTTCGTGTGTGAATGTGAGTGAATAATATTTTTTTTTCTTGTTGGTGGGCTTCATTTTTCCTCTCCTTCAAATTGATTTATGAAATCAGTCTTTATTTCTTGACCAAACCTTTCTTCTTTTCTATCTCTTTGCCTGCCAGGCTGTCTGTGTGCTTGTTGGCAAAGGCAGCTTTTGCCAAAGCAGTAATTAGCTTCATGTGGCTGAAAGAAGAACAACAAAGAACAGGACAACTCAACCTGATTCTAGCCTTAACCCTGTTCGTTCTGCTCATTCCACCAGTCTGTGAAATCTTACAAACAGAAACATTGATGCTGATCCCTATGGTTTGGGAGACCGTTATAGGTTTCACCGTCAATCTGCTATTGGGAATCTTTGCCTCTAAAGTGAATAAAAGTTATTTAAAACTGGAGTCTGTGCCATTGCTGTTCTTAGTAGGGCTGCTTGATTTTGGGAAAAATCATAATCAAGATTATTTTGGTCATAATTATGATCACGATTATTTAAAATGATTATCAGTTGAAGTCATAATTATTAGCGCTCCTGAGAATTTTTTTTACATAAATATTTCCCAAAGGATGTTTAACAGAGCAAGGAATTTTAACAGCATTTCCTCTAATATTTTTTTCTTCTGGAGAAAGGCTTATTTGTTTTATTTTGGCTGGAATTAAAAAGCAGGTTTAAATATTTTAAGGTCAATATTATTAGTCCCCTTAAGCAATATATTTTTAATTGTCTGCAAGAAGAAACTACTGTTATACAATTACTTGCCTAATTACCCTAATTAAGCCTTTAAATCGCACTTTGAATCTGAATGCTTGTATTTTGACAAATATGTAGTAAAATATAATATCATAGTGTCATCAAAATGTAAATGTAATGTCATCATAGCAAAGATAAAATAAATCAGTTATTAGAAATGAGATATCAAAACTATTATGTTCAGAAATAAATTTTAAAAAGCTTCTTTCCATTAAACAGAAATTGGGGAGGAATAGGGTTGGGCTAATAATTCTGACTTCAACTGTATATATAGTTATTTTCCACCCTGCAAAGAAAAGAGAAATAAACACAATAGAATAAAAAATATGAAACTAACTGTGCTTTAAGCATCTTTACCGTAAAAAAAAAACACTTTAGCTACAAAAGTCCTTCAGTCAAGAGCAGCGAGGGATTTTGTCCTTTTGTAGTTTGATTAATGATAAAAACAGGCGGCAGCAGGAATTTTGCACGCTGTCACTCCTTTACACGTCTTTTGATTCTCAACTCGTTTGTTTTTTTGCAAAAATTAAGGTTAATATGAATAATCACTAAACACCGCATTTTGACACCTATTTGACCAATAAAGCGCTCATGTTAAAATGATTTTAGATGTGTGCGCTCTGCTCGTCTCAGTGCGAATGAGACCGAATGCTGACCGCATGCTTCTGACTGCGTGCGCGCCGCACACACACAGAAGCATGCAGCCTTTCACGCATTTAAGAGCAACAAATGTGTACAACTGGAAAAGGGGCAGTATATGATGCAGTAAACGTTTATCTTGATTAATGGTTTTACATACTAATTAGAAGTCAAAATCGGATTTTTGGTTAATAAATCCGAGCTAAGCCCTAGTTCTTAGTATTTCAACAGTCAAATACAGTGGTCCCTCGATTATCACGAAAGTTACGTTCTAAAAGTTACCCGCAATCCATGAAGTTGTCCGCTTTATTTTTTTACAACTATTATACACTTTTCCCAGACAGGCATTACCATTTTTACACGTTTCTCTATTTAAACACTCTCAAAGTTCAAACTTTGGTAGAAAAATAAGATTAGTATCGTATTATAGAATGAAACCAAATATCAAAACCTGTTTTTCATTCATTTCTGTCTGCAAAAGGTTCATAAAGCTTTTTAGCTTTTGTGAGATAATGTTGGCATCCAGTGTAATGTTCTTTTTCCTGCAGTCACTGATCCACAAAGCTAAAGCGTTTCAGAAGTGTTATTGCAGAGCAACATGCAAGGCATGTTTTGTGGGACACGCTGAGTAGTCGATGCAAAAGTATAAACCAAAAGTATAAACCAGGCCTTAAGGGGGTCGCACAGTGAATGCACTCACATTCACATGTTATTTCAAATGAAATTATTCAAAGGGTGCTCTGTGGCGCAGCAGATGAACAGTGTCCTGGGTCGTCCTGGTCTGCAGCCAATCAGGACGAAAACACAATGCACTAAAAAAAATCAGCAAAACTGCGAGGCCGTTAAAAGGTGAGCTGCGTTATGGCAAGGGACCACTGTATTCCAATGCAATATTCATATGAATTGGGACATACTGAGTTTGAATTGGTCTGGGTAAGCACACTATTGTCTTTTTATTTATCTTTAGTCGAATCATTAAACTTTTTTCTTCAGTTTGTTGTGCTTTAGAACTATAAGTATTGAATTTAGAACAAATGATTATATTGTTATATTTAATACTCAATAATGAACCTTTTATTTTATAGAAATGTTCTTGAGGGTTGGTGGGGGAGGGTAATTATTTTACTTTATTTGACAAACATTTTATTCATTGACAAAAATCTCATGTTTTTAAACAAATTATTTTGTTTAACAATCTCAACAGTGAAATTCTACATACCAAATTATAATTCCATTGCATTTTCAGTGATTTAATAAAGTATTTTCACTGGCAGATTTTATCAAATGCGCTGATTAACAGATTGTGTAGAAGAATTCAAAGAGTTTCAGTGTTTCCCAACCTTGATCTGCACACCTAAAAGTCTGCACTTTAGATTTCTCCCTTATCCGACACTCTTGTCTCCACAGTCGCCAATAACATACTGATGAGTTTATCAGGTGTGTTTGAATAGGGAGATCTACCAAATATGCAGTGTTGCGAATTACTCCAAGACCAGGATTGGGAAACACTGATTCATGTGCCAGGTTAGCATGTTCCCCATCATGCATAGAATCCCCAAAAATAAACGGCCACAGTCATCATTATAAGTGCGTTAACATTGACTAAATTCTTCCAAAGTGGGTTTTCACTTATATCGGGTAATTGTTTTGATGCTTCAGTCACTTCCTCTTCTGTAGGCTCTGGAGCTTGTGTATCACTTATGCCACAAAACCAGCCAATAATCTTCATCATGATGGATTGTTCACCTCGTTCAACTATGACAAAAGCAAAGAATGATGTTTATTAACAGTAGTAAATTTAGTTTGATCACTAACAAAGTGTTCAAACATGCAATGTTTGTCTACTTCCAAAACTGCTTAACCTCTTGATGAGGGTATTGTCAGTAGCAGTGTTCGAGAAAGTCACTTTTGAAAGTAGTGCATTAAAATATTGAGTTACTCCCCTAAAAATGTAACTAATTGCATTAATTTGTTTTTTATGGAAAGTAATGTTATATTACATTTGAATAACTTTTGTTTTAGTTTCTCTTACCTGGCTGAGGTTTTATCTCTCAGATCTTGAAGGTGTTTGTTCAGCATTTTTTTGAGAAGCTCTGCATTTAACAACCACCTATATAACCTACACCTTTATTTTTCTTTAAATATGTAGAATAAAATTACAGATTGATGAAAGCATGTAATGTGTTTGCTACTTTTGTATTATTTGTGTTATTTGTAAAGTAAATTCACTGTTCATTGAGATAAAGACTGCAATAAAGCCTAAGAATACTAAAATAAAATAATTTATATTGAAACAAAAACAGATTTAAAATCTTTAAAATGTTTAATAACAAATTAAACAGTAAGACAATAAAACCATTCCCAAATCAAAATAAATCTTCAAAGTTTATACACTAAATAATTTGCTTCACGAGGCCTTAACAAATGTGTAAATTGTTTCTTAAAAGAGAAAAATTCTTACTATATTACAAAACGTAGTGGCTTTTACAGTCGACAGTGGCTGCATCTCCTCAACAATAAAAACAATAACCTTTGTTTACATTACAATAATGTAAACTGATGTCAATCATTTGTTGTTTAGCTGGAGATGGGGTGCAGGTGTAGTGCTTTGCGCTTAGTTTAGGTTTTTTTCTTGCAGTTGTCAACAGTTTTACTTGCCATAATCTACACTTAACGACAATCCACTTCTTTTCTTCAATGAGTTCAAAATAACAAGAATCCATTGCGAAAATGTAAGTCTGCAGCCTGCCATTATTTCTGTTTTTGACTCCATGTAGTGTTGATGGGCGATTCACGAATGATTCACTTGTTTTTACTGGATCTTCTAGTGAACCGATCGAACCAGTTCATTAAATTGAACTGAGTTTTTGTGAAACAGTATGCGTCTTCAGTAAGTACTTACTTACTTTTTAACATATCTGGATACCCCCTCTGACTCGATATAAACCAACATCCTAAGTTACTCAGTTACTAGAACAGTACACTTATCTGCTGTGAAAAAGGAGACCAGTGGCCTCATGTACAAAGACTTACGTTGAATAAATACTAAAACATAGCGTACAAACAAAGCTGTAAATGTGCGTACGGCCGTATGCAGTAAAAAAAATCAGATGTAGGAAACGCTGCGTACGCGGAATCCCATGCATATTCTCTTTGTACATCCGAATTAACGTGAAATTGAGTGCAACATGCACAGGCACAAAACCCCTCCCTGCCTCCTCCCCTGAAAATATGGTAAATATGGTAATCCACTTTGGCAAAATCAAATGAAAAAGCAATGGCAAAAGCAAGAAAAAAGAAACTTTACAGAATGTGAATCGGAGGTGCTCCTATCGGCATTTCAGCAGCCCAATCGTCCACTCTACAACTGACCGAGTGCGAAAATGGGCACAATTGTATCTGCGCTCTTGGACAGTTTGTGGGTTGTTAAGGGGTTAACAGCCACGTCTTTAATGGATAACCGTGGGTATAACCTGCCCGATATGCAGTTAAATAACTACGCTCAATAAAATAAAATTAAATAAAAACTTAGCTAGAATAATATCTTTAAATACATAACTCACCAAGAAGCCACCCATCTCGCACCCTGCCACCTTGGAGCCTCCTCGCTGTATCTCTTTCCCAGCACACAGCTCCAAGAGCTTAGCTATTTGAAATCTGAAACGGCTAATAAGCCAGTCATCATCGTGGGCCAGAAAATCACTGTGATCCCTAAAAATGCGTTTTCTTCAGAATCGACCATCGACTAAATTAATAGCAATGTTTTTCACATGTGTTGGTGCGATACTTTAGTGTACAATTGAACATAATTGCCTCTAGGAGTCGCATATGGAAATAAAACAAACAAATAAATACACGGACGCCAAACATGAAGTTGGCATGGACCATGTTAATTTCATCGTTAGTAAATCCAAACATGAGTGCAAAACCTGGCGTATGCAAAATTTTTGTGCGTACACAGCGTTGATGATGAGTGCAAGCCGACTGTCTGTTCCCTCGCCACATGCTCTCGGTGTGTGATTCAACCTGGCTAAGGTCATTTTTATTCCACAATATATTTTTTAAAAACCAATTAAGCAAGGTAGAAAGTAACTCAAATATTATGACTTATTTTTTAATTAATGCGTTACTTCACTCGTTATTTTAAAAAAGTAGTATTATTACATAGCGTGCATTACTTATAATGCGTTACCCCCAACACAGGTCAGTATTTATTTCCATCAAAACTCCAAATTGCACATACTCTTTGCCTATAAAGCAATGCCTCAATCCAATTAATCAGAGATCTAATGAAAAGATTTGCTTCCAGATAAACCGGTGCCAAATTTTAAAAAAGATGAAATTTGCAGTGGTAGGAGATGATACTGTGGGTGTTTTTTTCTTAAGTAATAAATTACTTGTGCCTCAAAAGACAACGCAATGAACATGTGGTAAATTTTAGAGGTGCAAGACCTCACTCAAGACTGGAGGTAATAATACCAACCATTTTGACAATGACAGTAGCTAAGTTAACATCCACCTATTTTTATGCACATTTTGGATTTGCGCATAAATTTTGAAAATGTACATGAATTAGTAGGATAAACTTTTTATTTGTGTAAATGTGCATAAACTATGATGGAAACACTTTTTCTGAACAAATTCCATTATGCGCATAAAAAAGTCTTGTGATTTTGTTCTAAGGGCTCATGTGATGATAAAGATGTGTGTGACTGAATAAACCAGCAGGTTGAGCACACTGTAAAACATTTGAAGTGTTGTTTTGGTCATTCTAAAATGCCTTAACCATCTCATATTATATTCATACTTGAGAACTGTCAAGAGCATCTGCGCTCTGCATCTTGTGCCTTGAAACACCACTACGCGTTCATTGCATGTCAGCATAATGGCTTCTAAGTCATTTATTAATTAAAAAAAAAGGTTCACGCAACTTCTCCTACTGCAACAAGTTACCTTTTTTCTATTGATATTTGGCACCAGTTATTCAGCAAGTGACGATTTTGTTCTCTTTGACTCCTTGGATGGAAACACTGCTTTATTTGCACGTAATATTCAGGTTTTGCACATAAATTTAATATGCATCTTTTGGATGGAAACATAGGTAGTGGCTAAGGGATTTTTTAGATTTAGAAAAATTTGCTGTTTTTACCTTTAATGCTGCCCATCACCCATTTTTGTTATCACATGATCTGTTACAACAAAATCATAACTTTTTTGATGCACAACTGCAAATCTGTTTCCATCATAGATTATGCATAGTGTTTCTAATTGATAAAAAGTTTATTTTATTTGGTTTCTAAATGTATGTGCATCTTGGCTTTTTAATAAGCATTTTTATTTGGTATTCCAAATTGTGTATAAAATATGTGGATGAAAACTGCTATTGTAAAGTTACTTTTGAAAGTAATGCCTTACAATATTGAGTTACTCTCCAAAAAGAAAACTAGTTGCATTACTTGGTTACTTTTATGGTAAGTAATGTGTTACAATACTTTTGCGTTACGTTTTATGACCTGACTGAGGCTTGATCTGTTTTATAACTAGCTCTGCAATTAACAATGCAATACACCTTCATTAACCTCAAAAAATAATAATGTAGGATAATCTAATGTTCTGAGAACTTCCTGACTCTCGAGCTACAGTATCCATATCATATACAGAGATTAATGAAAGTGTAAAGCAATGTATTTGCTACTTTTGTACTTTTTGTCTTATTAGTGAAGTAAGATCACTGTCCATCGAGACAATCCCCATTTTCCTTTCTTTGATACGTTCAGAATATTAAGAAAACTTCCATTGCAGACATGTAAGCTTCTGCCATCTTGTTTTCTGTCTGTTCCTGCACTTTCTAATTGCTTGCAGGATTCAACATGACTACATTCATTTAAATTCAGCTATTTATTTATTTATTTATTTTTTACAAATTAATTAAACAAAAAGAATATTGCTTAATCTTTAAAAGTAATGCGTTAATTTGCTCGTTATTTAGAAAAGTATTATTATTACGAAACTCGTGTTACTTGTAATGTGTTACCCCAACACTGATAATAGGGAAGTGGTCACCTTAGAATTATAAGGTTCTATCTGGCATTTTTGTCAACATTTTTGTTGCTAGAACCTTATAAATCCAAGGTGACAAAGTATGCTGCCACTATCTTCAGCCTACCCCAACACACAACTAGAAATTTGTATTTATCTTTAAAGTCATGCTTGGATGACTTGAGGTGTGTTTAATTAGGATTGGGCTTATATCTGCATTATAGCGACCTTTCAGAAGCAGGATTGGACAAGTAATCTACAACACAAACATGTACTAAAATGGTGTGGGTCATCTTACTTTGATCTTCATCATTTTTGGCCCTCCTCTTTTCATCTGCCTCTCTTCGAGCTTTCCTTCCTCGTTCCTCTTCCTCCCAGTCCAGATCGACCCTTTCTTCTGTAGAATGGCGCAGGGTAAAGACAAGGCGATGGAGCTAGGTAAAGAGTGAAAGGTGAATGCTATTATTAAAAAGTAGTAGTCTAAAACAGCTTTAGCAGTTGATAAAAAACTTACATGTTTGTCTTTTATAGGTGGTGTGTTATAGCTTACGAAGAGCACAAGAATAGCAGTGCAGAAGAAGAGCAGTATGGCAAAGTAAAGGTAATGGACTCCACATATGACTTTTGGGCAGTTGGATGGTTTAAGGCAGCTTCCTGAGCCAAATACAAACTCTGGTACCATACGACACAGACCCATAACCAGTCCTCCCATCAGGCCCCAGAAAGCACCCTGAGGAATGAACAGTAGGCTTTTGGTACATTTTGTTGCAGAAAAAGATATGAATAGGTAAGCAGAGAATTTCTTACCGACTCATTAACCCTCTTCACAAAAATGGCAAGGAAGAAGACTGCTGCTATAGGAGGGGCTAAGTAACTAGTCACAGATTGAATGTAGTCAAATAACTGACCACTCTGGGCTGCCTGGACGACTGGGATCCAGCATATGCTTATGCCAACAATGCAGAGTATCCACACCCTGTTAAGGAATGTTAAAACAATGAAAATCATGAACATAAAATAAATCCAAATGCACATTCAACTCCAAGTACCAAATTCATTTTTGAACTTAAGTAATATGTTTAAAAATGACAAAGAACTGACTAATTATTGTTGTTTTTACATAACTATAACTATTAAGTGCTGTCTCGTCCTTGTATGAACAGAGTAGGAGTCTGGTTCACATTGCTGGCAATAAGTCAGACTTGTTTCCCGTGCATGTTGGACTCTGGCTGGCCCTTGTCACCAATTCTGTTCATAATTTTTTATGGACAGAATTTCAAGGCACAACCTTGGGCTGGAGGGGGTGCAGATGATGTTGTTCTGTTGGCTTCATCAAGCATGGACCTTCAGCATGCACTGGGGTGTTTTGCTGTCAAGTGTGACACGGCTGGGATGAGGATTAGCACCTCCAAGTCCAAGGCCATGGTGGTCCACAGTAATAAGGTGGTTTGCCATCTCCAGGTCGGAAGAAAGTCCTTACCGCAGGTAAAGGAGTTCAAATATCTTGGGGTTTTGTTCATGAGTCAGGGAAGGATGGAACGTGTGATTGACAGGTGGATTGGTGCAGTGGCAGCAGTAATGCGGTTGATTTACCAGTTCGTTTTGGTGAAGAAGTAGCTGAGCCGAAAGGCAAAGCTTTTAATTTACTGGTCAATCTATGCTCTTACTCTCACCTATGGTCATGAGCTTTGGGTCATGACCGAAAGGACAAGATCTCGGAAACAAGCGACCGAAATAAGTTTCCTTCACTGTGGGGCAGGTTTCACCCTTATGGATAGGGTGAGGAGCTTTGACACCCGGAAGGAGCTCTTAGTCGAGCCAATGCTCCTCAACATCAAGAAAAGTCAGCTGAGGTGGCTCGGGCATCTGTTTCGGATGCCTCGTGTATGCCTCCCTAGGGAGGTGTTCCAGGCATGTCTCACCGGGAGGAGGCCTCGGGGAAGACCCAGGACACACTGGAGGGATTGTGTCTCTCAGCTGGCCTGGGAATGCCTTGGGATCCCCCGTAGGAGCTGGAGGAAGTGTCTGGGGAGAGGGAAGTCTAGAGTTGTCTCCTAATACTGCTGCCCCGTGACCCGGCCCCAGAAAAATGGTAGAAAATGAATTAATTTTTAAATTAATTTCAGTAATATTATTTACAACCATGAAAATGTTAACCTGATTTATTTACTTTACAGTTTGTAATCTACCTATACTTTTTGTTGGGGGTTCTCAAAATCAGTCCTGGAGATTGAGTTTCCTGCAGATTTTAGCTCCAACTTGCCTCAACACAACTGCAAGAATGTTTCTAGAAATCCTAGCAATGCTGAGGTCACACGAGGGTTTGTGTGCGAAATTCTGTCATACAGCGCTGCGAAAAGCGGCGAACAATGTGATTAGACATTTTAAAAAGTGAGCGATTGGTCCATGTTTTAAATTCCTGTCCAGAGAGGTCATAATTTGATCTTCAATTGGTCTCATGCAATCATGTGATGCGATTTCGCATGTCAGAGTTCACCAAGCTTGAACTTTTCAATGCAGCGAACTGTGAAACGTGTCGCACGAGCTTGTGTTATCGGGGAGAAAAGTGCAGTGTGATTGCAGCTTAGGAGTAGGTACTGCATTTGAATTTACTACTAGACAGTTAGAAAATACGTTCTATACAATATGAATGTGAGTAGTATTAATGGAACTTGGACGTAATACAGCTGGTTTTAGCTGGGAGATGACCAGCTAAAATCAGCTTGACCAACATAGCCAGGCTGGGAGCCCAGCCAATACCAGATATGTCCAGCCTAAATCAGGCTGGTAAAGCTGGTTTTAGCTGGTTTAAGCTTGTCATTTTCTAGCCTGACCAACTAAACCAGGCTAGCCGACCAGCCAACCAGCCTAGGCTGGTTTAAGCAGTTCTTTTAATCAGGGCTGCTTTATGTTGATTGCCTGTCTCTAAACCCAAGCCCATTAATGCCCATTAGCAGATTTTGCAGAACTGGTTAAATTCAGAAACAATTTCATGCTATTTTCACTGATGAAACAAAACATTCTGACCTGTGACCTGTCAAAGGTGAAGAGAATATTGATCATCTTCATATTGATCTAGTTGGAAAGCAATCAGTTCTCGTAATCACCACGTTGAATGCAGTAGAAAAGAATAAAAGGGCAGGAATTATGATCTGAGCCTCTTTGACAAGAACCAATTTGTTATTTAACAATGCAGGAGTCTCTGGTAAAGCAAGGTGTTACAGTGTTGAGAATTTAACAGTGGTGTTCTAAAGAGAGACAGTCCCATCTGGTCTATGCTAGCAGATGTCATGCAAAACTTTAATGATAGTTATGTGAGGAATGTTTCAAGTCACAGTCCATCACCCTGTTTTGTATGGGGTCCCAGACTTTTCAGAATGCCTACAATGACCCTTGTCCACTATCAAATGTAACTACAATGTGAATGCGAGCACTGGAAATGGACGCTAGAGCAGTGTATAAAGGTTAACCAATGGAGAGAGTTTGACGTTATTGCCAATTTACTGCAGGGAAACCTTCAGGCTGAAATGTATCTTTCTATCTAGATCAGGGGTGAACAACCCTGTTGCTGTAGATCTACCTTCTTTCAGATTTCAGTTGCAACAGGATTGAGCTCTTCTGGTCTAGAGAAACATTGTTGTAGACCAACTACCCTCAATAACAATGGTGTTCCTTGTTGGATGTGGACATTTAAAGCTGATAATGCACCATGCAACACTGCACATACTGTTCAGAATTGGTTTGAAGAACATGATGAAGGATTCAAGGTGTTGCTCTGGCCTTCTGAAATTTCTCAGATTTCAATTGAATAAAGCACCTGGTGGAATGGGCTGGACCAACGAGTTCCATTCATAGTGGCTCCACCGTAAAATCTACAGGACTTGCATGACTGAGTACTAGACACCACAGACCTTCAGGGGTCAAAAAGAGTCCATACCTTATCAGGTCAGTGCTGTTTTGGCAGTACGAAGGGGACAGACAGCCTATTAAATAGGTGGTCATAATGTTTCCTCTCATTAATGAAGAGCAGAATTTGATGCTATTGCACAGGCAGACCTTGGCGATGAATATACCACTGATACTGGCTGAATGATGCCAAACCTTCCAACTACCATGAGCTCCTTATCCCTAGCTTGAGGCCGGATACGAGTCCAAATGTCCATGGTGAACAAGGTGCTACTGCTGTTGAAGATAGATGCCAGTGAGCTCATGAGAGCTGCTAACATGACTGCCAGCATTAAACCTCTGAGACCTGTGCAGAGGCAACAGAAATAAGAACAGAAATTAAAGGAATAGTTCACCCAGAAATGATTATTTCCTCAACATTTTCTCACATTCATGTGGTTCTAAACTTTTATGTATTGAACCTTTCCATGTTTCTGGGTATCTCTGCAGCAGAAGACATAACAGTCGGGTAAACTTATTGAGCAGTCAATGGGAGAGTGCCAGAAATAAATGTTTTGTAGGAGAGAGCGGGGACGAAAGTAACGTGGGATGAAAGTAACAAAGCGATTTTCCTCAAAGCCCTGACATCATTTAATTTCCAGGCTATAACAGCAAATTCAGCATGCAACTCTTGATGGAGCTGTCAAATATCATGTGATTTTGGGACCGTGTCCCGTGGTTAGGTCTGAATTTCTGTTTTTAAGTGCAAAAAAGTAAATTATTGTAATGGTTGTTTTTTTATTACAAGTTGTGTTTCTCTTTTTATGTTTCACACTACAGATCAATCTACAGGATATTTAGTGCAATAACACATCCTAAGCTTTTCAGTTTGAAAGTAAATCAGGTTTAAATGGCAAGAATTCCTGTGGGGACAAAAGTAACACTGCTATTTATGTCCCACTGCTTAAAGCCATGCCTTATTTTTCACTTCCACATTAGTGTTTAGTGTTTTGACATATTTGTTTTATGACTGATGGATATTGCCAATGATAATAATAAAAACATTCAAGAATTATAGAATTTTTTATATTTTGCATTGTTAAATTGCTTTTGAAATTTTTAGTGGAAGTGAAATTGAAAATGAAAACACAGTTCAATTTTTATTTGTTGCAAAAATAAAGGACAAAGGACCGCACACTAGCTGATTAGTGAAAAGGAGATAGAGTGTTGAAGCCAATTATAATATGGGGTTGGTTAGGAGACCATGATGGACAGAGGCCAGGAGGTAAATTTGGCCAGGATCACAGGGTTAAACCCCTACTGTTTTTCGAAGGACATCCTGGGATTTTTAACAATCACAGAGAGATTCAGGACCTCAGTCAAACATCTAATTCAAAAGACAGCACTCACTGAGCAGTAGAGTCCCCTTCACTATACTAGGGCATTAGAACCTACACAGATTGCAGGTTGAGCACCCCCTGCTGGTTTCACTAACACCACTTCCAGCAGCAACCTAGTTTTCCCATGTGGTCTTCCATCCAGGTATTGACCAGAGTCAGCCCTGCTTAGCTTCAGTGGGCGAACATGTAAGAGTTTCAAAGAGCTAGCTTCCCGTCATTAACAAGGTCATAGTCAGATGTATTTAAAATAAACAGTTATACTGGAGTTGTTTTACACTGATACAAAATAACACCTGGTTTTGATAGACCACTCTTTTGAGTTAGTAACCACAGCAAAAAATGATTTCTGCTAAAAAATTATCTTTAAAATTAGTTTTTCATGATAAACGTTACTTTCGTCCCCCTATTGCTCTTTGATCCAATATTAAAAGAAAAACTTGTGACTGATAACGACAGCCAGAAGACAAAACAATGTCAAATTTTATGTCCCTCCCATAGATGCTGCATTAGAAACACCTCACATATAGGGTAATTATTTTTTTGTAATTTAATGCAAAGATGATATAACGCATAAATGTACAGATATTTTCATAAGGTTAAAAACTTTCAAGGAATTAAGATGCTGATGAAAAAGGACTTTTGAAAAGGATCCATTACTTTCTTCTATTAAAAACAAAACAAGATATTCTAAGGATTGTTGAAAAAAGCAGTCATTGACATACTTTGGAACCAAAAACAATATGGAAGCCAATGGCTGCTGGTTTCCAACATTCTTCAGAATATCTTCCTTTGTGTTCAGCAGAAGAAAGAAACTCATTTTGGGTAATCTGAGGAATGAAAGCTAATCATTAAAAACCACTTTCAATATCAAAACAGCTTTTTGATTACCTGTTGGCATGACTGAAACCACCAGTTTTGGATAGGCAATGTTGGAGCATCCTACTTCAGTACCACACACTTTATTACAGACGCTTTTCTCCACACAACCTACATCATCTGAAAAAAAAAATTGTTACTGTTGTTTACTCTGATCAAAAGTGCAACTATAAAAACATAAGATATTAAAAATGGAGACATTACTAAAACACACACCAGGGTAAAGCACTCTGCTGATCATGCCTGGAAACACCATTAGAAACATTGGGAGCAATTTGAGGTATCCACACAAAATACATCCAGCCTTTACATGCGTTAGACTGCGAGCGGCCAAACAGCGCTGCACAATTACCTGCACAATACAGCATTCAAAGAGTTAAACAAAGAAGTAGACAACATTATGTATAATTCTGAAATACCCTGTCGTTACCTGATCAGTACACCAGTACCAGCTACCAATAATTGCAATGCCAAAAATCACACCGGGCCATGGCAGATCACCAGTCGTGGGATCCCTAAGCAAATGAAAGGCATCCTCTCGTGGCATGTAACAATGTTGGGAGATGTTGTACTCATTAGGGTTTAGGGACAATGTCTGAGATGGCAGTGATGAATTATACTTCTCCAGTAAAGCACTGTAGCCTCCAACTTCATAGAAAGCTGTGCGGGACAACACAATGATAAGTTTATTTTACACTGTTAAAAAAAGCTGGGCTACCAGGAAAAAAAGATAAAATAAGAACCGTTAAATTACAAAAAAAAATTAAAATACTGTAAATTAATAGATGTTAAAATGCAGAAATTTACCGTAAAAAACGGCCAGTAAATTAAAGGAAATTTACTGTAAAATTTACTGTAAAAACAACAGGCATTAAATTATAGAAATTTACCGTACAACAATAGACGTTAAATTACAGAAATTTACCGTAAAATAGCAGATGTTAAATTAAAGGAAATTTACCATAAAATAACGAACAATAAATAAAAAAAAAAAATACTGTAAAATAACAGACGTTAAATTACAGAAATTTACCGTAAAATAAAAAAGTTAAATTACAGAAATTTACCATAAAAAACAACAGATGTAAAATTACAGAAATTTACTGTAAAATAACAAACATTAAATTAAAGGAAATTTACCATAAAATAACAAAAGTTAAATTACATATATATATATATATATATATATATATATATATATACTGTAAAATAACAGATGTTAAAATGCAGAAATTTACTCTAAATAAAGGGCCAGTAAATTAAAGGAAATTTACTGTAAAATACCAGACATTAAACTAGAGAAATTTACGATAAAATTTACTGTAAAAACAACCGACATTAAATTATAGAAATGTATCGCAAAACAACAGACGTTAAATTATAGAAATTTGCCGTAAAACAATAGTCGTTAAATTACAGAAATTTACCGTAAAACAACATATGTTAAATTTAAGAAAATTTACCAGAAAATAACTGACGTTAAATTAAAGGAAATTTACTGTAAAATAATGGACAATAAATCAAAAGAAAGGTTTACTGTAAAATAACATATGTTAAATTACAGAAATTTTCAGTAAAATAAAAAAGTTAAATTACAGAAACTTACCATAAAACAAAAGATGTTAAATTGCAGAAATTTACCATAAAATAATAAAAAAATTTAATTACAGAAATTTACCGTAAAACAACAGATGTTAAATCACAGAAATTTACAGTAAATTAACAAATGTTAAATTACAGAATTTTGCAGACAATAACAAAAGTTAAATTACAGAAATTTACCGTGAAACAACAGACGTTAAGTTTAAGAAGTTTACTGTAAAATAACGGACATTAAATTAAAGGAAAATTACTATAAAATAACAGACGTTAAACTAAAGGAAACTTACTGTAAAACAACAGAGGTTAAATTACAGAAATTTACAGTAAAAACAGCCATTAGAACAGCCAAAAAGGCAAAATTGATGGATTTGTGCCAAATATTAGCATCATTGACTAGCTTTGATTAGCAACAAGTACCTGTAGTGTGTGCTCTTTATCTAGTTTCTATTTTAATTTGCAGTTAAGTGGAAAAAAAGTAATTGAAATGCAAATCAAAGTATAAATAGCAGAAGTGAATAAATAGATTTTCCTTACCAGCAAATATTAATCAAACACCAAATTTAAAAGCAGACACTAACACACTATAACACATGTGTCAATTACAAGGCTCGCGAGCCAAATGCAGCCCGTCAAAACATTTAATTAGGCCCGACAACAAGTTTTGGTAATGATGTTCAAGTGGCCCACGCTCACTTTAAATATAAGGTCTGTGATAATAATATACAATAATGAGACACAGGGGGTGCTGTTCTCAATAATGAAGCTGACCAAAACATCCCACAGATCACGCCTCACAGACCACCATATTATGTCTGTAAGGAAAGTAAACTGTAAAAAAAAATCTTTAAAAAAAGGTCAAATGACTGGCAGCTATGGCTGCCAAACAAAAAACATAATATTACGGTAAAATTTCTTTGTTGAAATAAAGTGCAAAAAATAATAAATCTACAGATATTTTCAATAAAAGTTTACAGAAAAAACACTATTTTACAGACTTTTCCTAGATTATTTTGATCAAACCTGTTCAATAAATAAAATAGATAAAATCCGCTCACATGCACCTGTTCCGGATTCCGATGTATGCTTGAGTGCACACAAACACACACACATAGTTGAAGGATCGTTATGAACTGATGACATGGACTTTAAAAGCAGCACAGATGCACGCACCAATTGCTAAGTCTTGTTATACTGTTACTGTGAACATTATGATACGCTTCTCTTTTTGCCTTGCTTTGTTTGTTAATGATTTACATTTAATGATTTTTTTTTTTTTTACAGAGCAAGTAATTACAATGTATAACTTTAATTTAAAATGTTTTAATTTAAAATTAATTATATAGTACATATATAGTACATAGTACATATATAGTACATAAAATAACAGTCAAACTGTTAATTTACAGATATTGTTTGTAATTTTTATGGACTTTTGAGTATAATTTAAAATTACAGAAAAAATACTGTATAAATAATAATGTAATTTTCCTGTATGAAAACAAAAATGTCAGTAATTTGTCTTTAATGAAAAAGTACCTAAAATGAAAGGCAAACTGTTAATTTAGAGAGATTGTTTGTCATTTTACTAAGTTTTAAATATAACTTGAAATGACATAAAAATTACTGTAAAAAAATTTGAGATATTTTCTGTAAAATTAGGTGTTTTTTTTTTACAGTGTAGCCGTGGCAAGGGACATTACACCTAAAATAGATGAGATTGTTTCTAGGAAATGATGCAGAGTGTCTGGTAAGTTAAAAATCCCTAATTTTCTTAGGTTTGACATATAATAGTTCAAGTGTCCTTTGGAGCAAAATAATCTACATAATACAGTTTCTTACTTTTACTTTATTTTTTTTTACATAGGCCACCATTTATCTATAATAGCCTACTAATAAATATATTGCTTTATTTTTTTCCTTAAATGTACTGTTTAACACAGGGGTCGTCAACATGGTTCCCGCGGGCTACCTGGTGCCCGCGGGAACCATGTTGGTGACCCCTGTGTTAAAGAGGATCACATGAGTTGCCCTTTGGGCCTGTTATAAAATTAGCTTACCATAGCACCACATACCAGTAAGCTGCATCTAATATTTTTTTTTTGTAGCTATTCTTTTTAAATCACACTTGCATTGGTGTAAAATTGAAAATGACTAAATTATATATTTAAAAAACTTTAAAAACAATTTCAGACAAATGAAGTGTTGCATATTGATATTTATCTGTTTCCAGTCATTGTTGACAACTATTGTGAGAAATCATTAACATGATCAGTGTCTTCACATAGATGAATATCATTAATTATTAATATTAATTGAGCAAATTTGTTATTAGGAAGTTTGTATCAAACTGGTAGCCCTTCACATTAAACGATACCCAAGAAGTAGCTCTCAGTTTCCAAAAGGTTGGTGACCCCTGGTTTAACAGTTTCCCTCCTACTGTACTGTATATTTCGTGTTTTGATAGAGATAAAACCTGCTGTGACACAAATGTGGACCAAATTAAAATTAAACGTGAAACCTTACTATTTTGATAAATGTGGTTTTAAGTGTTATAGAGATGTTATACAGTTGTTAATACACTTTTATTTTCTTCAATAAATACATTTTAAAAATGTGTATGTACGCCCCCTGACTTTATTCACAACACTCAGTTCGGTCCTTACCAAGTTTGGATTTGACACCCCTGGGCTATAACGTCATCACCAATGACTAAATCTCCAAAAGACAGATGAAAACGTTGGTGAATTGTAGCTCTGACATGGACATGACTGAAAAACAGCTGCGGGTGAAGTATATTGATCGCAAGTGCTCAGTTAGTGATCACATCTCTGTTTTGTTCTGTTAATATGTGATCTAAATATGTGTAGCTTGAAACAGGGAAACGCTGGCATTTCTCCCTTTTGGTTTTAGATTTTGGAAAGGGAAAAAAATTCCTTCACACCGTCCAAACTTAGGATACCGGGTATCAGATTTGCACAATCCGTATGTACAATGCTTTAACTTGTTTCCCTCGCTCGAAAGCTTGACAGGCCTCCTGCGTGTAGCTATGGTTGCTAAGCCACGATTGGTGTCTGGCGGTTTTTGGGTGTGGCTTAGCGAAGGGTCAATTGAGAAAAAATGTGGGTTTTTTTAGGAACCAATGTTTGGATAGTTGAAAAATGTGCTTTTCTAACTAAATGAAGTACGATTGGAGAATAGACAAATTCAGAGCAAAAACGAGACTGATAACCCTTCCCTAAAGCCATTCCATGTGACCAGGAAGTGAGGGAAGTTGATGGTATTTGATTATCTTTTGAAGTTTATGAGGGCAAATTAATTTTCATATAAAAATAGGAAGAGTACATTTAGATTTCATGGAAACTTTAAAATGTGTAAATGAGATTGTATAAATTCATGCAAATTAGTCATTAAATCAAAAAGTTACAAATAGCTGTAAGAAATTCTTAATGCCCTTTTTTTTAAGTTAAATTAAATTATTTTTTCTTGCCATTTCAAATTACATCAGTCAAACTGACTAAAAATATTAAGTTAAACTTTGTACGACTTATAAAAAATATTAATTAAAACCCAATTATCTCATAAAATAAGTTAAAGAAAAAAGATAAAAGCTTTTCTTATGATGGCTTTTTGTCCTAATATTTTTTACAGTGCTGACAAACTTGCTTTGATGCAGGGTAAGCATTGCTTTAGAAAGGTTGTGCCTGCAGTGTCCTATTTAAACCCTTTTTTTGTGTATAAGTGAAGATTGAATGTTTAATTTGTACAATAACACATTAAGAAAGCTAAGTAGAACGGTGGAAAAGGTCTGGGTAATTTTCTTCCATTTGTTAATTTATTTGTCGTCTCCATTGTTTCAACTGTGGTGAAAAAATCTACACAGAAAATGAATTAATATAAACAGGCTTTAGGACTTTATATTTGAATGCCTTTTCAGTTCTACTTGTTAAAACCGTTTTTCCCCTTCAATAAACTTAGATAATGTTTAACTGCAAAAAAACAACCATTAAAAGATGCTGTCCAATGTGTTGTCAGAAATATGATTTTGCCAAAGTACAAACTGTCACCAAAATACCTGAGTCGTAATAAGCCGATCAGTTCTGAATTCCGAACAACGGGTACTTACAGAATCCCATGAGGACAAAGGCTCCAGCGATGATAACAAAGGTCTGTACCGTATCTGTGTACATCAGCGCAGCGAGTCCTCCTACAGAGACATTATGTGTCAAGTAATAACACTTTTTTGACCTTCATAAATGGGGAAAGCTTAATAGATTATTGTTCTAAAAATTGCCTGTCCAAAAGTGATCATATTACAAAGATTGTAAGTTACTGATTTCTTTTATTTTTGCCATTGTACATGAAATTTCACTAGATATTTTTTCAAGATACTAGTATTCAGCCTAAAGTGCAATTTAAAGGCTTAACTAGGTTATGAGGCAAGTTAGGATAATTAGGCAATTATTGTATAACTATGTATTTTTATTTTTTATTTTTTAACTGCTTTTATTCTAGCCGAAATTAAACAAATAAGACTTTCTCCAGGAGAAAATAATATTATAGGAAATACTGTGAATAAATCCTTGCTCTGTTAAACATCATTTGGAAAATATTTGACAAAACAAAAAATAAATATCACATGAGGGCTAATAATGTTAACTTCAGCTGTATATATAATGCACAGGTGCCTCATATACACACATCAGCATATCATCACTTAGTAAAATAAAGAGTTTTTCAAGATGCCACAACAGTTTTCAAGAAATTGGACAACCTTTTACAATAATAGGGTTTGTGTTTTTTTTTTAAATGTATTAATTAAATCAACAGTACAGGTCTTTTTATACAGAGGTAACTTTTTAAAGCCGTGTTTACTAACATGTTTTGTCTTGTATTTTGTTACTTCAGCAAAATTATCTCCCAAGATGAAAAAAAGGCAATTAATGTGACATCTGTTTATATACATTTACATATACTGTGGAATATGAGTAGAAAACAATTTGAGATCACTCAAAACTTCACTGTTTTTTAAATGTGGAAGAAGTATTATCAAAACTTTATACAATGTAAAAAATTCAGCATTCCACACTCTTCCTTCCTGTTTTCCCAACACGAACGGATTCATTTTGCTAAATTGTTTTTACAGATTTATGTGGATTGTACATAAAACAATTAAGTTTCCCAAAAAAAATTTCAGGAATTGTGATGTTTCAGCTTGTTTTAAATAAGTAGTTTGAACAAGAAGCAATGAATTTGATTGAATAAAACAAATAATAACATTATATATAATATTAAAAAACCCATATGGCTAATTAATGTAGTAAGTCCAGAGAAATTGAGAATTTTCAAGTGGTATTATTTTGCACAATACTGTCACGCCTGGGCTCTCTCAGAAATCGCAGGAGGGAGTTATCAAACACGTAGAGTTATTTACAAACACTCACTAGAACGACACTGGAAACACAGGAGACTCAGGAACGACATAGAGTGTAGACAGAGCATAATGTAGAATACCAGACGAAGAACTGAATAACACACGGGAGTATACATACACAGGACATGATGACACTGATAACTCACAAGAGAGGAACATAGGTGGAATTAATGAACATTAACTAGAAGCTGGAAAACAGAACAAAGGAGCACATGGAACTCACAGAACCTGTAATTACCCCCCCCCCCCCCCCTCCCACCGCTCGGGGAAGATTCTTAGGAGGGAGGAGCCAGGAGATGAGTTGGAGGACGTGGAAAGGAGGAGATGGCCAAGGAGGAGTCACAGGAAGAAGAAGGCGTAGGACCCAGGACAGAGCCAGCAGGATGACCCTGGGTGGAGTCAATAGAGGGAGGAGCCATGGAGTGGTAATGTTTGCTGACTACAGTTGGCCCACCTTGGGAGACCCCGTAGCTGGAGCCTGAGGAGGAGACGGAGAGCCGAAGGGGGAAGGTGACATTGAGGTCCTGGAGGGCCGAGGTGGAGCAGACGGCTTACTAGACAATAATAATAAGGGTCTGGAAGGGTCTGGAAGCCCGCTGCAGAGCCAGAGCGACAGAGGACCAAGACGTAGCTGGAGGTAAGGAGGAGCTCAACGTAGCTAGAAGGATGGAGTGATGAGGCGCAGCCAGAGGAGCGTAGTCAAGAGGTGGAGGCAGGGCGACCACTAACCAAGGTGGAACCGGAGGGATGAGGGAGCATAGTGGAGCTGGTGGGCTGACGGCCCACAAAGGAGATGAGGGAGGAGAGAGCCAACGTAGAGCCATAGAGTCAGAGGGCCAAGGTAGAGTCTGTAGCTCGGAGGGCAGAAAAGATGATGTCAGGCGACAACCTCTGGTTGGTGATGCAGGTAGGCAGATCCTTATTAAGACCTCTTCTTCTGGAGCTGGAGGGTAAGCTGGGGGACTGGCTGACTGCAGCAGTGCTGGATTTGGCTGCATGGCTGTAGCCGGTGACATCAGCGGAGGTGAAGAGGGTGGGTTGGGTGGGATGCTGCTCATGACGCTGGAGCTATCGTCCTCGGAGATCAACGAGGCTGGGATGCTGTCTGGGAACAGCTCGAAATTAAACATTTGCAGTCTGGAAATTTGGCGATGTTGTCGGCTCATGCACCAAGTCAGATAGGTTGTTGATCTTCTCCTGCTTCGTGTTGTTCCGCTCTGTTGCTCATGATGGTGATGGCTCACACACCGCGGGTGCCTCTGGTGGTCTGCAGTGGGCTCTGGCAAACACTTGCGGCTGGTGATTGGATAGTCCCTGGGTCTGAACTGGCACTTACGAGGGCGTCCTCCACACAGACCGTGAACGATGATCCATTCCTCACCAGTGTCCACACTACAAAAGCGGCAAGACTGCCACAAGGACCATCTTCGGACAGTGCTCTGCAATCGGTGTTCAGGTTGGAGTTGTAAAACCCACAAAGCACATCGTCCAGCCAGCTGGAGTGTTTTGTTAGTAACAGAAACTGTCCTATGTGGTCCTAGAGGCTGCTTTCCCCCTGCTACAGCATTAGGATGAGGTATTCAAGGATGTAGATAGAGTCCATGGGATACGAGAGGGAGAGGGAAAAGAAAACACTGGGGCCAGAAGACTATAGAAATAAAATGGGGAAAATGATGCCGCTAACTTTTTCTGTTCTGTTCTGTTCTGGTCCAGTATTATGTCACACCAGGGCTCTCTCAGAAAGCCAAAGAATTGCAGGAGTTATGGAACATGTAGATTTATTTACAAACACTCACTAGAAGGATCCTGGAAACACAGGAGACTCAGAAATGACATGGGGTGTAGACAGAACATAACGTAGAATACTGGACGAAGGACCGAACAACACACAGGAGTATAAATACACAGGACATGATGACACTGATAACTCACAGGGGAGGAACACAGGTGGAACTAATGAACATTAACTAGTAGCGGGAAAACAGAAGAAAGGAGCACATGGAACACACAGAAGATGACAAATACCTTACGAAAGTCTTGTTGCCTATCCAAGTTTTAGGAACAATAGATAACAACTTGACTTCTAGTTGATCGTTTGGTATCAGAAGTGGAAGGCAAAGGCCTCTAGATTGCACTTATTTTACCAAAATAAAATATGATCATCATCATGCCTTGATTTTTAATTATTTATTTAATACAGTAAGGTCAGACTTTGCTTAGACAAAAGTCTTGTGCAGCACAAATGTCTTGATACCTTGGGCTGTTGATGTTGCCGTCGGCTCTGCAGATCTCTCGCATGTTCCCATACTGAATAACCTCAAACCATGGGTTTTCCTTTACCAAATTTGACTGATTTCAGTGAGAATCTTGGGTCCATACGGGTTCCAATAGGTTTTCTGCAGTATCCGTGATGATTGGGATGCAGTTCAACAGATGATTCATCAGAAAACTCTACCTTCTGCCACTTTTCCAAAAGATCAACTAAGTCATGTTATTAGTTTTTGCTCTTACAGCTGAGATTGACGACAAGACTTTTGTCAGGTAATGTATACAGTTTCTTTAATGTAGTTTGTTTTAGATAAAAGATTGTGCTAAATGTAAAATAAATGAGACAAATCAGTGGCTGATGTTACCTGTGACCGTATATAGAGCTGTTATACAGAGCAGAGCAATCACTGCCACATAGATATTCCAGCCCAGAGCCTGCTGGATGAAAACCGCTCCTGAAAACATGTCAACCTGCGCTCGAACAGGAAGAGAAAAACCATGGAGAGTTAAAATCATGTTTCTCATTTCTACATTTCTCATGTAGAAAAGACAACAGTTATTTATGATTCTTTGTCATGAATTAAATTGACTGTAAAAGTGTTCTTACAGAAATCTTTGTGAAGATGTAAAGGAAGAGTGAAATGATTGAGAGGTACAGGCTAATCCTAGACCCTCCAAATCTTTTCTTGAGATACTGCGGCATTGTAATTACCTTTTGAAAAAGAAGATTGGGTATGTTAAATAAGTCAAAAATCATAAAAGACATGTTATAAATACACATAAAATACACATAAAATGAACCTACCCCTGCAGTTAAATAAACTGGTACAAACACCCAGCCCAACAACAAAACAATAAATAGTGCCTGTGAAACAAAGAACAATTAAAGAAAGGTTAGAACATGTCCTGTTTAACTGTTTTTGTTGTTTGGTTTTAGCATTTTTACCAGGATTTACAGACAAAAAACACTCTGAAAAACACTCGCTGAAAAACAAATGTAATTCAGTGAGTGTAACAATATACTTAAAATACTGTTTGGCATATTTGGAACAAGAATAATTTGATGTCTTAATCAAAAACTATATTTAATCGGTCACTCTAATAGAACAAAAAAAAGTCAGTTGAGTTTTACCATTATTGAATCCATTCAGCAGGTGTGGTAAGAACACTTTAAGCTTAGCTTAGCATAAATCATTGAATTGGATTAGACTGTTAGCATCATTTACCCAGTTTACCAGCGCTGTAACCGCTGGGGACTATTTTCAGGCACTGCACAATATCATTGCGCCTGCTGCAGCCATGGTAAAGCAACAAAGTTCCTTGATTATAATGCTGGAATGCGAGTTTAGTTCCTAGCCAAATGGGCCTAGAAATTGCCAACTTTTTCTTTTTTCGTCGCTCTGTAACTATAGAAGAGTCAAACTTCAAGTGGAAAGATTATCAAAACACTTTATTATGAGTGAGATGCTAATGGTCTAATCCAATTGCTAATCCAAGCAAAAAAATGCTTCTGCCAGATCTGGAGATCAAGGCAAGGCAAGGCAAAGCAAGGTAAGTTTATATAGCACATTTCATACACAGTGGCAACTCAAAGTGCTTTTCATAATATTTACAAGATCAGCTGAATGGATTAAAAAATTGTAAAACTCAACAGTTTAACTCTGGGGTAGTTGTAAAATAAGCATATTATATATTTTTATACATATATTTATATATTATACCAATACAAAATACAACATTTTACCCATTTGTGAGTTTTACATAATTAAAATATTTTAAATATAACACAGTTTAGAATAATTCAATAGCATTCAATAAGTATTCTTAAATAATTACATTGGTTTTACTTTTAGAAAAATATGTACACTAAATGCCATTATTTCAGTGATGTTTTGCCATTTTATTAAGGTATTTGAAATAATAATGACACTATAATACACTATAATATAAAGACACTTTGCCTGCATTTAATATTATTTAAATTTATTTGAAATCATTTTTGTAATTTAACATGAGGACAACAAAGTGGTATGTCTTGTCTTTATATCAGTGACAAAATATAATGTATTTTTATTTTTTAAAACAGCTTACATTCCACTCAAACCCCCCGACAGCAATTCCACTCGCAGCTGCTGTTCCAGCAAGACCAACAAAATGTCCACTGCCAATGTTGCTCGCAAAAAGAGATGTTCCCACCTATGTTGGGAAAATAAATACATATAATAAGAGACAATAAGTGTTAAAATCTAAAATAATTTTTATCAAAATATTAATTTAGTTTATACTCACAGGCCACCACACCATCGTCCGACCTGCAAGAAAGTAGCCGCCTACTGTGCCACGATTAGTCCTAAATGTAGACTAGGATTAAAAATATAGAAAAATTTTAACACATTTTCCCAGTTATATCTATTAGCAACAAGTCACATAAAAACAAGTTTTCACCAACCCAAATTCCTACTGCAATGACCACCAGAAAGTAGATGATGATCACACTGATGTCTGCTGCATTGTTGATGGTGACGTGTTTCGCTGTAGTGTTTTCCATGTTTGAAGAGAGACGGATGTGTTGCTGATTTCATTCATGAAATGGCACAAAACAAATCCCATGGATGAGGCAAAGTGTTTTTCATACCGCATTTGAGGGTAAAATCCATGATCTTTGCTCACATGACAAAAAAAAAAAGCTGATGAAGGAATATTATTAACAACAATAATTAACTTATTACTAGGCACTCATGGGGGAACAGTGTACAGCATCTAATGTTAATGGAACGTTATGCTGTGGTACTTTTACGAGGAAAAAAAACTATTCAGTTGTTTAGTTACATGAATAAAAATGGCACATATCACAAAGCTCTATAAATGCTGCAGAAAATGACATATTAAACCTACATGTTAATTTATAACATAAAAAAGACAGCAATAGTATTAATTCAGCCATGAATTTATTTATTCATTTATATATATATATATATATATATATATATATATATATATATATATATATATATATATATATATATATATATATATATATATAGCAGATTTTTCCAACACATTTCTAAACATAATAGTTTTAATAACTCTATTAACTGGTTTATTTTATCTTTGCCATGATGACAGTAAATAATATTTGACTAGATATTTTTGAGTCACTTCTATACAGCTTAAAGTGACATTTAAAGGCTTAACTAAGTTAATTAGGTTAACTAGGCAGGTTAGGCAAGTCATTGTATAATGATGGTTTGTTCTGTAGAATATCAAGAAAAAAATAGCCTAAAGGGGCTAATAATTTTGTCCTTAAAACGGTGTTTAAAAAATTAGTAACTGCTTTTATTCTAGCTGAAATAAAACAAATAAGACTTTCTCCAGAGGAAAAAATATTATCAGACATACTGTGAAAATTTCCTCGCTCTGTTTAACATTATTTGAGAAATATTAAAAAAAAAGAAAAAATTCAAAAGGGGCTAACAATTTTGACTTCAACTATATATATATATATATATATATATATATATATATATATATATATATATATATATATATATATATATATATATATATATATATATATATATATATATATATATATATATATATATATATATATATATATATATATATATATATATATATATATACATACACTCACACACACACACACACACACAAAACAGTTAGCTGTGCAATATTCTGCAAATAACAGCACTCATACCGCCTCTTCACCCTTTGTGTATGACTTCGCCCACATACAGCGACAAGCAGATGACACTACAGTATGACAAATATTTCTGCTGGACAACTTAACGTACTTTTGAGACTTTTTATTCAAGAAGGCATTTGTTTAAATCGCTATAAGGATAGTACCTATTTTAAAGTATTTATAATTTCTGAGCATTGGATTCATTGCATCAGCCGCCATCAGCCTGTTTGAGTATAATAAGTCCTTTGTAATATTATATATATAATATAAGATAATACAGATATAATATAATATGATACAGACAACGTATAATAAGTCCTCATTTTCTCAGTATAAGTTTCAAACTACATCTGAACAAATCATTATAAATCAGGTAAGTGCTATTTTAAGTCGATCTCTCTTTTTTATTTTGTTGTGCTGTATTTATTCAACAGAAACTGGTAGTGTCTGATTTGGTTTGGCTTTTTATTGTGATGTGCTGATTGATTGCAACAAAGAAATACTGGGAAATGTCTGTAGACTGATGGCATTTCATGTCAGGTTCAGCCTTTTAATCTTATGTGAAGCAAAATCACTTGTTTTGTTTTTACTTAAGACATAATGCTGGAGAATCATTCAAACACTAGCTCTAAAATGACGTTTTTGAAGTAGCAACGATGACTGCTGTTGTGACGGTCGGCTGCAGATATGAATGAATGGTGGAAGAAAGTAGTTCCTCATACAAAAGGGTTTTTGAGACTCTCTGTGTTTAATTTTCTTTTTATATACATGATTATGGTGTTAAACTGTTGTATAAACGCAATATCACACTCGTAGCAGTGTGATATGGCTGTATATCGGCACTAGTGGAGGGCACAAAGGCACTTGGCCTGCGGCCTCGAACCAACGCACGCCTCCCACCAGTGCCGATATACAGCCATATCACACTGCTACAAGTATATATACATAGATTCATATATTCATTTTTTTAAGAAAATAACAGTAAACAATAAATAAACTTCAGCTTTAGGCGTCTTATTTATTTCTTTTCCCTTTGTCCAAGTAATCCCACAATGTCTGGGAATGTTTAGGTCTGGACGCTGAGGAGGCCAGACTTTCACAGAGAGTGAATTATATATGGTAACTTCATCATTTCGGCGACACAGTAGCGCAGTAGGTAATGCTGTCACCTCACAGCAAGAAGGTTGCTGGTCCGAGCCTTGGCTGGGTCAGTTGGCGTTTCTGTGTGGAGTTTGCATTTTCTCCCTGTGTTCGCGTGGGTTTCCTCCGGGTGCTCCGGTTTCCACCACAGTCCAAAGACAAGTGGTACAGGTGAATTGGGTAGGCTAAATTGTCCATAGTGTATGAGTGTGTGTGTGTGAATGTGTGTGTGGATGTTTCCCAGAGATGGGTTGCGGCTGGAAGGGCATCTGCTGCGTAAAAACTTGCTGGATAAGTTGGCGGTTCATTCCGCTGTGGCGACCCCGGATTAATAAAGGGACTAAGCCGAAAAGAAAATGAATGAATGAATTTCATCATTTTTTTTTTTTTGTAATTCAACTTTTTTATTGTTCAACCGCCAAAGAACACACGTCACACTACACAATCTCACAAATGTATATGGCCATTATATGCCATTTATCTCTCATTACAAAAATTGACCATGGGCTTCAAATTTAAGATGAGTGATTTAGTGTAACATAACACTAGCAGGGTTCACTCATACTTATTAAATAGATGTTTGTAATACATTAATACTTTTGACTTATACTTATTGTGTTGTTATGGGAAAAGAAACTATACTCTCATTACGGCATATTAATAAAGGCACTTTACAGTATAGTTGGGAAAGGAGAAATGGTTGTGTACAACTGAGCCTTGTTTCTCTCAATGTTTTTTCCTTCATTTTCACCAATTGGTGAAGTTTTTTACCTCACCACTGTCGCCACTGGCTTGCTTGGTTTAGGATTTGTGGAGCTGCGCATCGATGGATTTGCTCTTCTTTGTTTTGAAAATTCAACCATACTGAACTGAACAATGAAAACTGGACTGACAGTTTCAATTTACTTGAAATTCAATGTTAAGCTGCTTTGACAAAAATTACATAGTATATGCGCTATAGAAATAAAGATGATTTTAATTGAATCTATTTTCAGGTGCTGCAAAATATCATTGCATCTGCTGCAGCCCTGGTACGGCAACAAAGTTGATTATGTAAAGTCCACCTAGTTGGCCAAATGGCAGTTTCCACAGGTGGTTGCAGGTTCACTGCCTGTTCGGTCTTACCAGTGCTCAATGATGATTTACTTCAAATTTAACTCATATCTGACTCCAATTTGAATATGAGGTGGTTTAGAATATTAATATATTTATCTTTCATTTTATCTGACTCCAATCATAAAACATTAAGAAGATTATATCAATATATAATTTAGATCAATATTTGAACCTTCTGTCTTCGCACGTAACTATTGGATTTGTTCATTCAGGTGCTCATGTCACTCAAGAGTATTCGCCCCGGCCAATTGCGTCCCTCACGGTCACACTCTTGTCAGTCTTGAATATTAAACAGAGGTAGACAATATCATTTCCAATCAGAGGTTAGGGCCATTATTTTAAATGTAACCGACTACTGTACTCTATTATAATTTTGATTTAGCCAAGCCCATGGTTTCCCATATACACTTGATTTAGATTAACATTACTTTCAAACAAGGGTCAGGTAGGTTAGTCGTGCAACTCCATGATGTCCTAGACGAAGTTAACGCGCTCTCCACCTAAGTACATTTGAATAAATATCAACAATCAGTCGGATCCCTAAAATACAATTAGTGTGCCCAATGCTCCATTACAACTGGACTTTAGTCAGTTTAATGACCTGACACAGGAGAAACAAGGATACAGCGTAATCTACTAGAATGAATAATTACAGAGTAAGCAAAATATGTTCAAACATAACAGTTTAATAGTCAGGTAAATACTATGCCAATTATTCATTCAATTAATAAACAATCAATTTAAGACATCAAATTCTCAGAAGATGAGAAGACACATAGCATGAAGTGTGGAGCTCTACACAATGGGGTCATTATAGAATCGCCTTGAACATTTAGAAAATTTACCTTAAGAAGTCATTCCAAGAATCTCCTTGAGGAAAGGGGTGTGTCAAATATTTGCATTTAGTGGAAGAGTTATAGGAAAGGCACACCCTTGGCAGTGATTCAACAGATACCTGAAGTTATATATCTATTGTTTTGATTATGTCTATTTCTGAGCGAATGAGACCATTGTACCAGTTGCACTGAGACATTTCAAATGATATCAAACATGATAAAGTCACTTGAATTAATATAGAACATTCATATTTTGTAATGATAATTCTGTGCGAGTAGAGTGAAAAGGGGCCGAGTGACCAGGGGGTTTCGGGAGATGTTTCAAATGTAAATCAAGGAAAGGAGAGGAGCTAGTTTTTTCCGCATTCCCACCTAGTGTGTTGTGGAGCCGATTGTGTTTTAAGCTCATGTTTGAATTGTCAAAGAGATCAAAATATTTGTGGTATCTCGAGTCTTGCAATTATTATGCCTAAATGAGAATATAATCCCTAGCCATATTGACATAGAAAACACCAACATTTAACTCCATCGGTCTTAGTGCACGATGCAAAAGAAGAGTTAAGAATAAAATAGAAATATTATCGAAACTTTTTCAAATGCTAATGGTCTTATCCCATTTAATGACTTATGCTAAGCTAAGCTAAAGGTTTTGACACCAGATCCAGAGACCAGCTGAATGGATTCAAAAAGGTAAAACTCAATTGTTCAGTGCTAGGGGACTCAAACCCCAAAAAAGTGGAGTGTTCCTTTAAACATTATAATTTAGCAGATTATATGATGTATTACTAGTTTAGTTTGTTCATTTGTTCTAACTATGGTAAAATGCACTTGTTTGTCGCCAATTTAAAAATAATACCTAGTATTTATTAGTTTAAAACTAATAAATTCCCAGCAGTACAGTTCTGTTACCTTTACCTTATTTGGAAATCACTACAAAGAAGTGTTTGAAACGCTTTTATGGATGAGCAGGTCCTGAATGAATCAGTTGTGTCACCAGGTCTAGTTAATAATCTTGAACTTTGGTGTGTGACAGTATATCACTACTTCACTTCTTTTAATGGAAAAAGCCACAAAAGAACTACTTGCGATCAGTTTATTTTAATGCAAACCAGAGCACAGAATTTTCCATTCAAACGACGTTCAATATTTGACAATTTTAGGTCTTTAAAAACAAACAGACCTGCTTGACATCAGATGAAAATACAGAGTCCCCTTTGTCTGTGAGAAAGCAATGTTACTGTAAGTCGAAGCTACAATAACTTAGAGATTAAAAAGAACAGAAAATGAAGTCAGACAAAGAGCAGTCATTTGGTTTCTATTGCGATTCTAGATTTAAAACATTTTCTGATGAGATGATGAGCAGCTAAACCCAAAAAAGATGCCATTAAAGCGTTACATTTACGCATACTGATCCACGGCATTGAGGGCAAGCTGAACAGTGCGTTAAAACCATGTGCAGAAAATGATCAATCACTATGTTATGATTAACGCAATCCTACGAAAAAAAGAAATCACACGAGATACTGAAGAATCAACACATGGACAGTGTTAATGTTATGACTGCGTTATTGTTCAATGTTAGTTTATGTAAGAATCAAAGACAGAAACCTCATTCCGAAAGTTGTGTTTCTTGAATATCATTCATCACCTTAATAAAAAAAGCACAGGTATAGCAAATGCATTGCAGAATTACATTTCAACTTGTTAATATCATTTGAGATACAGCAGAGTTAGCAACAGCATTGTTTAATAGCGCATTGATGTTTATTAGCAATTGTCTTTCCATCGCAGATGAATCTGTATGTCAAACTGAATAATGAACCAATAAATTAGAAATCAAACTGTTTCCACATCATATGCTTAAGAGGACAAACTAAATGTTGCAAATTGCTCAATTACATGTCGTAGGGAAATTCGGTTGCCAGGTCATCGTTTAGTCATTAAATTGTTTTACAAAATAAACTGAAAAATTCTACAAAACTAACTAAACAACTAAAACTAGTTGTCAATGGCGCGATAATTCAATGCAAAATCACATTGGATGAGCATGTCTAAGCTCTTTAATGTTGTCAGATCTTCAAAAAAAAAAAAACTATTAAAATGTCATTGAAAATTAAATTACTCCAAAACGGAGTCACCTAAGAATAATTGACACTATTTAAAGGCATTTCTTTATTGGTAAAGGTTTTATGAAGAAGCTTTTACATCTGTAAAATTCATTAGATTCAGCATTCTTTGTGGAATACAACTTGGTTCTTCTGCACTTCAAAAGTTCTGGAAACGTATTAATATCAAACTAGGCCTCGCAAAATCTAGTAGCCTGAAGTCCCGGGGCTATTGCTTTTTAAGTCTGGCTACCAAAATCGATGTACACCGTGCCCAGCAGGCAATCTAGGTAGCCTGCCAGGAATGCTGTTGATAAAGTTTGGTAGCGGGCTTGAATAAGCAATAGCCTTGGGACATCGGGTAACCAGATTTTCTTTTGATAATGCTTTAGTTAAAATTGACATTGCTGTATCATTGACACCGCAGTAACATTAGCAAAAATAGCGGGTGCACGATGTGTATTCAATAAAATTAAATGTGGTTGTCAATCCTGAAACGTTACTTTAGTGTGTACATGGCTATTGTAGCAAATGAGGAAACTCGCTTCCCTTTTATAAATTTATAATAAATTACATTTGCTTTAAAGTGCACAGAAGCAACAATGCACTGCATTTTAAAATGAATTTGTTCACAATCAAGGTAAAATTTCCAAATTTTCAGAATAATTTTTTCGTTCAAATAGATTATTCATTCAGATGAGGGATGCATGTCAAAAAATTTGATCTAAAAGAAAAATCATCCACATCAAGCAACGTTTAATAAGCGCATTATGGTTGCTTTTTCCATCCAGCATTAAACGCAAATTTTGGCATCTATAATGTCAGAGACCTGGCTTAATCATATGATGTTGCTCAACATTGCTTTGATATGTGTCATTTATCACCACTGTAGTCAATAAAAATGTAAGCGATTCTACTTCAAGATCTCCTATTAAAATGGTGACTTCACAGTAGAAACAACTGATCTTAGGGTAGCAATTAATGTCAGTAAAGATAAATTTAGCTTCACAGGAATTAAGCAAATAAAAAATGTTCCAAAACTTCAGTGACTGTACTCTTCAAACTGGTTTACAACCTGTTTTCTTGCTGTGAGTCAAACATTTTTATTATTCTCCAAGATGACACCATATCCAAAACCTTAACTGGGCATCAGTGAAGAACTTACAAATAAGAAATCATATGCACATCTTCTATCAATACTTAGTAAACAAAAATTGCGTTCAGCTTGCAGAAATGAAATCATGACTTTCAAAACATCTAGACATCAACCATGAGTAAAGGATGTAGAAGTAGGTGCATAAACGAGTCCGAAATGCCTACTTGTCTCTTTGAAAAATCACACCTCCTGACTTGCCCGGTCGTACCGCAGGACTCTGCATGACCTGGTTGGCCGTTTCTCCTTGCCCCGTTTCTGCTGAGCAGCACGGAGACGTGTTAAAATGTGTTTTTTGGGGAACTTCAGGGTGGTACATCCAAATTGGCTAACCCCTCCGGTATCACCGGGTAGTTTCTCCCGTCTCTGGACCCAGCTTCGCCAGCCAGGCTTCCAGCAGTACACACTGTCATAAAATCTTGATCCGTTCTCACCTCCCAAAACGTAAATCCTGCGTTTCCATCTAGCCACACCACCGGCAGCAATGCGCCTCGGTAGGCCTGGGAAAACCACAGGACTCGGTGCGCGATCGCTTCCGCCACCGCCTCGCTCTACACCGACCGCAACCTCCCGCTCTACTCCTGATCCTCGGCCCTCTCTGAAGAACAGCACACGTCCTGTGGCATCCAGTGGTTCTGCCTGGGTGTAGTTGCCGTCGAGGAACTTAGCGGCATCACGCAAGTAACCTCCTATGGCACAAACACCACCACGCACTGCTACTCCTCCTGCCAGGCAGGTGGCGCCAGAGTCGAGAGCGACGCGGCTCCAGGTCCTTGTAACAGTGTGGTAAATTAGCACGCCAGCATGCACCACAGCCCTGCTCTGCTCCAATGTGGTTCCACCTAGCAAGTAGAGGCGACATCGAAGGGCAGCGCAAGCGAAAGAGCGCAATGGCAATGGCAAACGAGGTCCCGATGCCCAGGTCAGTGCATTAAGGTCAAATTTTTCACACGTATCCAGAAAAGCGGTTCGATTGCAGCCACCAAGAGCGTACAAAAACCCACCGCAGCCAAGAAGACCCAGCATCGCTCTCGGTTCAGCCATAAGCGGTCTTGAAATCCATCGGTTGAGTACAACGTCATACTCATGCAGTGATGACGAGACCTGGCCACTCCTTAGGATACCTCCTGCCACAAATAATCGACCTCCAACAGCAGTGCAGCCGGGGCAAAGCAATGATCCCAAGGCCGCCAGCTTCTCCCATTTCCCAGTACGAGGGTCAAAGCAGTCCACCGTGAAGTCCCTCTCCTGTAAAGACTCGTCCTCTCTAGGCTTGAGATCTACACAGACTATTTTCTTCTCGAACATGCCTTCTCGAGGCTTTAGCGGTCCTCCCATGCCTTCAGTACTAGCTCGAGGCCCAAGCTCCTTGTTCATTCTGTGATTCTCATCGGGACCCAGAAGACCAGGGCGTAAATGGCGTAGCAGATTGGGCATGTGAATATAGCGATCAGCGGGCTGGAATTCAGCCCAGCGTCTTGCTGCATCATAAACTTCAGTCTCAGACTCGACACCCAGTCGATCAGACTCCAACAAACTGCCAAGAGTTCCTGGGTCCAAAAGGAGGAAGTCTTGCTGCCGGGCCACTCGAGGGAAATGCTGGCCCACCAGCCTCAGAGAAGCCCGAAGAAGCAGCTGGTCATGATGGGAACGAGCCAAAGAGTACATGCCCAGGCAGTTCTCCACAGACAGGTGTTCGAAAAGAAATCTACAAAACAGGAAGGCATCAAAATGAGCTCCAGACAAAAGATGATTACAGATTGACCACAAAAGCTGTTTCCATCCACCTATTTCTATGCTCATTTTGGAATCTCACATAAAACAATTGCTTGATGGAAGCTGCACATAAAAAACAGCAAAGGACAACAAACTTTTTTTTCAATAGGAACAAACAATGCAATGTAATGTAAAGTGTGTTTATATAATATTTATATGGCCATACACCAGGGGTGTCCAAACTCGGTCCTGGAGGGCTGGTGTCCTGCATAGTTTAACTCCAACTTCCTTCAACACACCTGCCTGGAAGTTTTTTAGTATATCTACAAAGAGCCTGGTTCAGGTGTGTTTAATTGGGGTTGGAACTAAAATATGCAGGACGCTGGCCCCTCAGGACCGAGTTTGGACACCCCTGCAATACCCCCAAAGCGCTTCACAATTACGAGAGGGGTCTCTCCACACAACCACCATTGTGCAGAAGCCACAGGACAACAGTACCAGCACACTCACCACACACCAGCCATAGGTCGAGTGGACAGAGATTGATAGTCAATTCAGTGAATGGGGATGATAGAAAGGCCATGATGGGTAACGCCCCATTCACACAGGACTTCAGTGTCAAGTTGGGCTGACCCGATGGTCATAGCAGCGTCAGCCAATGAAATTCAGTCAGCAATAGGCCACTGTCTAGCAAGTGTATGTTAATACAGCGATCTGATTGGCTGACGCTTCAGTCGGCACTTGAAAAGTTAAGCTAGTCCCAACTTCTGAAGCGAGTAAGGGCTTTGAAGTGGCACCGACAGATCCACAATGCAGTTCGGCTATGACTGACATCACCCATTCAAAGTGAATGGAAAGCGTTGACGCTCATGCCCTGTGTGAATGGGGCGTAAGGGCCAATGAAGAAAATTTGGCCAGCACACTGGGGTTACACCCCTACTCTTTGCGAGAAGTGCTGTGAGTCTTTTAATGGTCAATGGTCCTCGGTTTAACGTCTCATCCGAAAGACATCACCCACTGACTGTATAGTGTCTCCCATCAATATACTGTGACATTAGGACTCACACAGACTGCAGGTTGAGCACCCCCTGCTGGCCTCTCTAACACCACTTCCAACAGCAACCTAGTTTTACCATGTGGTCACCCATCCAGGTATTGACCAGGCTTAGCCCTGCTTAGCTTTAGTAAGTAACTGGTCTTGGGCTGCAGGGTGTTATGTGTGTGTGTTTCTATAAACTATAATGTAAACACATTAACTGAATAAATTCCAGCATGTGCATTAAAAACATAATATCATTTTGTTTTAACAGATCATGAGACAACAAATACGGTCACAATGGGATGGCATTGATGAACAAACCAGCAGACCGACTAAAATCCAAAATGTAATTTTAAAATCCCTTTGCCCAAGTCCGTCATCACAGTGGTTCAGTATTATTACCTCCCAGTGCTTCCAAAGAGAGAGTCTTGCAACTCCAAAAGCCAACGCATGTTTATTGCGTTTTATTTTCTGAGGCTAAAGTAATTTATTATATAAGAAAATGCAGACCGTGGCTTCTGCTACCACTGCAAATTCCCTTTTTCCTTTTGATATTTGGGACCAGTTTATCTGGAAGTGATGATTTTGTTTACTTTGACTTATTGGATGAAAACTATGCTTTTATCCGCATTTTGGATGGAAACATGGCTATTGAAATCACATCTACACATTACCGAGAGCACAGGTCCTGCAAGGGCATCACTTGAAGACGATGGGCTGCTACAAACAAATCCTCCGCTGTGTCGAGACTAAGACCTGCTTCCCCTGTATAAACAAAGTGGATAACGGTCTCCATAACGTAGGGCGTCACCTCCTCCAGTCGGATCTCAGTAAGACGGGACTCCACCAGAGGACTGGTAAACATGGCACGGAAATAGGGACTGACTGCTGCTAAAAGAACTCTGAAAAAACAAAAACAGTGCACATAAAACAAAACAGTTTTGTATGTATATTCAGTAATGGCCCACAATAAAGGCAAAGTGTGCAAGTTTGCCAAACCACTACAGGGGCCCCCTTTCTATGATTATTGAACAGGGCTGGGCAATTGATACAATTTTTGTTTTATTTTCTCCTTTTAATGCTTATAAAATCTTAATATTAGTTTCAATAACTTTTTTTGAAGTGATAAGATGTTGCCCTTACTACAGTATGTAACATTTTGACAATGTGTTGATACAAAAAACAAAAAAAAAAAAAACCCTGTTTCCTAGCTGCCATTTTTGCATTGAGGACATATACAGTTACTTTGTGGGCTTAAAATACAAAACACAGGTCAGAACATTGGTCCTGCCTTGTTTTAACTCAAACATAGCATAAACACTTAGAAAAGTAATTAATGCTTGCAGTACAGGTCTGTGCATTGAGTCTGTAAGTGACCGTGGCATTTTACACAAGAAATCTAGAAGAAATTATTCACTGCTCTTCACTGAATAACCACAGAAACTTTAATAAGAACCATTGTGTATTTGATTCATACTGTGAAGACTATGCAGTGTTTTTACATTAAACTATTTGATTCAATTTATGTAAAAATGTAAAGTGTTTTTATGTAAATGTAAATGTTATGTTAATAGTTGTGTCTCATCTTTTGTCTTTGTGCTTTTAACATTTTTAATTTATTTACAGTTTTATTCACCGTTATTTGTTAACATTTAAGATCCGTTTACAGTGTTAAGGGCAGGGCTGTGCGATATGGGCCAAAGAAACCTATCATGACTTTCTTGAACACTATCGCGATTTTGATTTTAATCACAATTTTGAAACACACAGATGTTTTAGTGTGAATCTTAAACCTATTTCAAAAGTAAAACAAATCTATCAAAGACTGTTAACATATCTCTAAAACAGACATAAGGCAAAAAAAAAGTAAAAATCACCTAGTGAAGGTGTAATAAATTGTCTCTAGATAAAACCCAACAAATTAATAGACTACTGTGTGTGTGCGCGCATGACATCAAACACAAGGCTCCAGTGTTCTGTTAGACCACATCAAAAGCAGTTTTTTTACTTGTGTGTGTCCAGATTTTTTTTGCCATGCATAGATCATAGACCTCTTTGTGATGCTGCCATGAAGTAGGCCGTTCACATATCACATCTTTTGCACATACAAGTTTCTTTTCAATGGAGACGCCCGGCTTGCGTGCATAAAGGGATTGACGCTTGCGTGTATTCCAGGCGCTTCCAGTTGAAAACATCTCTACTTTCAGAATGCTGCAATCGCACCACGAGTCACATAACAAAAACTGAGTGATCAGCTTCATACTTTGTATGGAATATACACATTTGGGTAGACTAATTACTGCAGATAAACACAGAACACCCAAACACCCAGTGGTTTTTAATGTTTTGTAAGTTTGTCATCCTCTGAGAAAACTGTTGATGGTCACCTAGTAATGACAAAAAAGCACGAACGCAAAGCGCGTTGAATGCTGAAGCAAGTGCTGCTCCTCGCAATTTCTATGCGCTTTTAGGGTGCAATATGTGACTGACAGGTCTAATAAATTACCTGATTCTGCGATGCACCAGCCTTCTATCCAAAGTAATCCCACACCATAGATGTTGAGTTTTTTTGGCACCAAGTCCACCCATGCTAAACAAATCATCCCTGTTTATGCAGGCTATTTGTCATAAAGCCCTGTTCTCGTGCTCTATTTAGACTCGCTCGTTATGATTGGTTTAAAAAGCATACTGAGGAAAAATCAAGCTGTAAGGCGATTTAGAAATCGCACATGTACAAATTGCGATTTCAATTAATCACACTGCTCCTAGTTGAGGGTCATTTTAGGGTTTTTAGAAACGTGCTGACAGGGGCCCTCACACAGAAGTTTGGACTGGCACAGTGCACATTACAATTTCAAATAGCCCAAGTTATAAAATATAATATTTATGCACAACATATTCAGAGAAAACACAAAACCCACCTGTGACACATGAACTTTTTTCCCTCCACCAAAAGAGTGACATCACACAACTGCTGAGCATCAAGAAGCTGCTTCAACCCTAAATTCATTAAAAAAGAGGGAATACAAGACAGATTCATTCAAGTAGCTCATTCATTTAGTCTCCTTAGTAAAAGTCAAATCAACAGATGGTATGAATTTGTTGCCGTTCTGGTTCATAATGTGAAAACTTGGGGCCCTTTCATACACCTGGCGCAATGCAGCACAAGGCGCGACGCAATTGTTGTTTGCTAGTTTCAGTTTGGCACAAGAGTTATTTTTGTTTATTTATTCTTTTGCTGGAAATTAGAACTGAATTTAGAAATGGTTTTGAAACAAATCTTTGCGCTTAACAAACAAAATAATTATTTATAGGCTATCAGATGTCTGTGCATAACAGAAGTTTCCCTATTCCTGAGAGTGAAAGTAAATAATGAGGAGGCTTATCTCTCATTCTGACACTGTAGAAGCTCTGTTTAACGGTTTTCTTGCTAGTGAAACGCACATTTTTTCCAATTAAAAAGTCCACCATGTTAATAGCAAATGGGCTATGGTGCGACGCAACTGACTCTGTAAGGGAATGGGAGATGAGACTCTGATTGGTTTATTCTCAAAACACACCAATAACTCGTTAAGAAAATAAGCTCAACCCTTTAGGACCATGCGCCATGGCGCAAAGCGGATTTTTCAATCTTTAAAAAAGCAAAAGTGGATTCTGACACGCCCTTAATGCTTTTGTGCTCTGTGCTTTGCACTTTGCGCATAGATTGTCAAAATAGAGCCCTAAAGCTGTGGAGTCCAAAAGGTCTGACCAATATTGAAAATGTAGATCATTTAATCAATCAATGTTTTAAAACAGAGCCATACTCTCACCCTGAGTTACATATTCCCCCAGGGGGGTGGAGTAGTCATCAGGAAAATCCTCTTCCTCAGAGTCACTGTCTGAAAGAGGCTCTCCACCACCTCTGTCTGCATCCTTCCATGGCTGTGGTCTCCATGTAACCCCTCCACCTCTGACTGTATTCATCTGTAGCAGAGAAACAAAATATCAAGATACAAAAATAAAGTGCTCAATTTCATTAACAAAGCTATAAGCTGATAATTAGATGAATAATACTAACCCAATTTATGGAGATGTACAAACACATGAATATTACTTCTGTTTTTTCAAAGGAAACAATAGTAACTTGTTGTTGACATTTTTCAATGACAATAAGACAAATCCTGAGTGTGTTTTTGTTATGGTTCATTGGCAGATTTACATCAGTCACTGATGGATAAATACTACACTAAAATTATCAGTAGGTATTAATGAGTGTTTCATTAAATAATCAATTCAAATGATTCATTCAAAATGGCTGATTCGTTTAGACTCAAAACAAGCGACTGTTTTTATGAATGGGTCATTGAATCTTTGACTCAAATGAATCCTTCAATACCAGATTCTGAAGTGTTGTTCTGAGATGCTCTAATGTACTGCTCTAGCTTTGTTTAAAACTATTTCGTTTTGTTACACAGAAATAAAACTGCATTCACTCAATAGCTGTAATAGTAGTAATATTAAAAGAAAAAGTTGTATAACGTCAATGTGATTACGAAAATATCAAAGCTTGTTTACTTTTATTAACCTATATAAAACTTTTTAAATTGATATAAACTGCTTTCTAATTTGATTCATCACACAGTGAATATACCTAGAAAACTAAATTGTGCTTTGTATGTTTTTTTTGCAAAGTCTATTTGATAACATCCGTTTTAACCTCACTTAACTACGTTATTAAATATAGCAGACCTTAAGTATTACACACCCTTACTTAAAGTACACTGTTGTACAATATTAGGAAAATTATATTTTTCTGCCTCTATGTTGAATGATTTTACACATACTTTTACATGTACAGGCAGATATTTACAGTATTCGTTATTTATATGGCTGCTTATGAGGAGGATTAAATGGTTTACTGCATTACACAGAAGTGTGTGTGTCTGTGTAAGTGGTTCTACACCTTACTTTAAAAACTAGTTCACCCAAAAATGAAAATTTACTCACCCTCAAAGTGGTTATAAATCAATGCGAGATATTTTTTTATCAGTTAAACACAAAATATGATATTTTTGAAGAAACTGCCCTGAAAACCTTGTAATCATTGACTTCAATACAAATATTATGAAAGTGAATGGTTACAGGTTTTCACTTCTTTACTGTTCGGATAAAAAAAACTGGTGAAACAAGTTACAGGTGAGTAAATTATGACAACTTTCATTTTTAGACGAACTATCCCTTTAAATGAACATCAGCCATTTTAATTCAGCATACTAAAGTTGATAAGAAAACTTTGGCCATTTTGGAAGATTTCAAATTACATCAGTGAAGATGAGGTCAATAGGAGTATAAATCATTAAGACTTTTCCATATCAGATACTGAGACCATCAGTACCCTGAGATGAGAATGCCAGAGCTGACAACACCTTTAACTGATACACAGATTACTGTATTTTATACTTCAGTTCAATGATTTGAGCATGTTTGGCTTTTCAATTTTGTTTAGTCTTATACAAATTAAATATTTAAAAGAAATGTAGCGGTTTACAAACAAAACTGAGAAGCAAAGCTTTGATTTATAGTTTTAAAACTTGTGCATACCACAAAAAGATTAAGGTAAAGTTGGTTTCATATTCGCATACTGGTTCAGTGACAACTTGTGACAGTCCCTACACCGTTTACCATGGTATTTTTAATATTCGGTCTGAGGTCACATGCAAGTACGACTTGAAAACAACATTAGCACAGTAAATTTGCCTGTAAACAATGTTGTGCTTTGCTAGTTATTGGCTGCTAATATTATTTTACTATTTAGCATTCGCAAAGAACAATTTCTGAAATTATATTAACGTTAAACAGAAAGTCTGAAAGTGTAAATATAAATTCAACTTAACATCAATCTTATATTTTAGTTCAGACTAGACTTTATCTAACTAGAGAATATATAATTAGGTTAGAGCTGTTTGGATTGAACCGTCCTCAGTCACATTTCAATAAATAGCGATACTGCTATTTAGCAAATATGCTAAAGGCCTCAATCCAAGAACACATTAGCCAAACGCATTTACAGAAAACATTACCATGAGAAGTGAAGATGTGCCTCAGACGGCGAGTTGACCCAGCAGCAGCCTAGCTCAGTTCAGCTCAGCTCTGGTTGGCGGAGATTTTCCTCAATCTGCGGTACTCTTGAGTTCGACTTTGTGCCTGAAGGCTTTGCGGGTGCCTCGCTGCTTCGGTCGGCCTTACACCCTTCGGCCCGTTCACAACGCCTTGACCTTCCTGGGTAGTTTCAGCGCGAATTGTCGGGCTCATTACGGTGCGTTGACCATACTTAGCACACGAGCACAGAAAAACACGCGCGCGCCTGATAAATCCAGCGCGACGGCCGCCGCTCCATGCAGATTAGCAGAGGCCGGAGCACGGGATCGGTGGAGGGAGCGCAGGCCCGCGGGGAATATATGATGGTTTGATCGGTAACGTCCACTATTGCTCACAGCTGCCAGAATTGCTCCATGATTGGAGGCGAAGCAAGCTGAGGGATTCTGTCACTTGCCGGAACAACACACTAAACTTCCGCTTTTCTCATCGGCCCTGGAACCGGATGCGAAGAGTATTTACTTCCGTTGCAGACGTAAAACAATTCACAAAGTTTACTCTGTAAGCTAAAGAAATACAATTTAAAATGTGAATAATTGCTTATTTTTTTCCATTATGGTTTAATATTCATTTAAAGATATATTATGCATTATCCTACGTCATAACGTTAGTAAGGTGTTTATTACTGTTTTATATAATTATAACAAGAACAACACTTATTATTATTTTATTATTTAAATTACAGGTATTAGTATGAATTTTGCAGTCCTGTAATATTATAGTGATGTATTTTGATAGATCTGATAATTTTGTGAATAGTTTGATAAATCAATTCAACAATAATAAAAACAATAATAACAAAAACTCGATTATATAATAGATTATTTTTTTCCGGATTGTTTTGATAAAAAAATACAGAAATTATAGTTATATAGGGCTGTTTATGTTTGTAGGTAAAGTCCTTTACACGAAATGAACCCTTTCGGCTTCCCTACAGTTCAACTGTCATCCCATCCAGCATGGCGTCCTCTGCAAGGGTAGCTTCACGGGTTTGCTCTTTCTATCTGCTTTTGTCCTCGAGACACGGTGTCAGCAGTGGCTGCAGATGGTCCGGCCGGTCCTGCTCCTCCGCCTCGGTCAAGAGCAGCCTCTACGAGCATGTGCTGGACGGGTACAGTCACAAACCCGAGCTGGACATGAAGCGAGTGTGCGAGGAGGCGGAGGCGCTGACAGCAGAGCTGGAGGACCGCAGAGGAGACCTGAGGCCAGCAGATGTCCCGCTCATAGTAAGACCACACATTGGGATAAAGTTGGTTTTATATTCACAACCCTACTGAAAAAACAGCTTAAACCAGCCTAGGCTGGTTAAGAAAAAAACTGCAAAGTTTTATTAAATAAAAAGAATAAAAATAAATAAATAGACAACAATAGGTGATACAATCAGGGATAATGCTATCTTACAAGTTATCTTTTTAATGGTAGGCTTGACAACATCTGTCTTATCTATTGAATCTATCTATTTTCGGTCTTTGCATCTTTGTCCAAAGATACACATCTTTTGCCATGAAGCAAGCTGAGGTCTATAAATACTTGTCTGCCTCTATTATAATTTAAGTTTTCTGGGTATAAGGGCAGATTATTTTTGCTTGTTGTAAGAAAAAGGTAAATATAATTGACTATCTCTGAAAACGAGACAATATTTTTTGCTTGTCTAGAAATGGCTTCTTGTTTTAAGAATTTGTAGATGTTTGGACTTGAAACAAGACAAAAAGTCTTTAGCAAGAAAAATCTTTTTTAAGTGCAGCACAACATACACATTAAAACAGTACTGTTTCAGAAAATTTCAGTTCATCAATGTGAATACTTAAATATAGTGTTATTTTTTAAATAGATTTCAGTCTGGAAGAATCTACAGAAGGTGCAAGAAGAAATATCACATTTAGAAGGCAGAAAGCAAGTGGTCAGTTCTACAGTCCGTGAGCTTGTGGTAAGTGTACGCACACATTGGTAACACTTTACAATAAGGTTGTATTAGTTAATGTTAGTTAATGCAGTTACTAACATGAACAAGCTATGATTAGGGCTGTAACGATACACCAAACCCACGATTCGGTTCGTATCACGATTTTTGACCCACGATTCGATTCGTATCACGATTTTTTATTTTATTTTTTTCGTGTGGGGTGGGAAAAAAAAGATTTTTAAAACTATTTTTAATTAAATAACATTTGAAAAATCTTTATAAACTAAACATCAAAGAACAATATTAACTATGCATATTATTAACAATATAAATAGCCATATATAAAATAAATAAATAGCCAAAGCTATACCACTTCTGTTTTCTTTGTAACAAAATACTGTTGAAAAACCAAACAGTACTAAACTCCATTGTTTAGATGGTTCAAGCATGTTGAAAATTATTTTTCAATCAAGTTCTCTTACAAAGAAAAAGTAAATTAAATAGCTAGGGATGCTCATTTCGTTAATTTTGCTAACCGACAACCGCCGCTCATTAATCGGTTATTAACGGTTAACTGGTCAGATTACTATTAATTTTATATTAAACAAATTGACGTGTCTATTTTGTGTCTGACACATTAAATATTGCATTTTAAAATACTGATTTATTTTTTATATGTTAGCATATTAATAATAGAACAGAATAACAGAGCATCTTCACGCATCTGCAGTGTTTAGCACAGAAGAGCAGAATAATCTAAATAAAATGAATAAAATAAATAGGACTGCCCTAAATTATTTTCACTTAAATAATTAATTTATATTACAAAACGAAAATACTGACTGATTCTTTTTAATAACCGGCATAGGCTTTTTTTTCCAATCATATGTTTATTTCTTCCGTCAAATAAAAATAGCTGACTTCCTCAAATTGCTTGCTCCACGGAAAATATGCATTTATTTAATGCCCCGCTGTTATTATTATAATCACAAAACCTTTACATTTTTAATAGAAATCATTATTTTAAAGATTATGTCCTGATATAGCCTATGGTTTCCTCTCTCTCCCTCGCGGTTCAAGTGCGCGCGCTGCCTGATGAAAAGACAACAACACGCGCGCATATGTAGACTTTTTGTAAACAGTTTTGTTGTTTAAATATGATATTGCATTAATCTGCGTACATGCTTTAAGCTGTAAAATAAAAAGTAAAGCCTATTTGTTGCGTTTATTACGCAGATCCAGGTCAACATAAGCGCTGGTTTAGTATCAACAGGTCTGTATCAAACAGCAATATTCTTCTTCCATTTTGCTTCTTTGGCAAATGAGTCTGTAGGCACGGGTTATACGTTATGTTCCCGCAAATTAAGTATGCCTTGCAGTTAAACAAGTGGCCGAAAACGAGGCGCACCTAACTGCCTTTATGTTGACAAGGAAAAAAGAAGAGGCGCGGTCCTCTTATGAAACGACTGAATCAGCTGGGTATCGATTGTGCAAAAGTGTTGCTGTCTGTGTTGTTACAATTTTAATATTTAATACTATTGTGATATTCAAGATTTGTATATTCATACAGCTCTGGATAACTTAAAACAGCGATTAGACCGTCAGAGCGGCATTAATGTGAAGTAAAGCGAAACGGCAATAAACTCCAGCAAGATAGAGTGATTGTATGCAGAGCCATATACCTTTATCTCTAAATAAAGTAGGCTATAACTATAGAAACTGTGTTTATTTTAACTGAAAGCTTCGTCGTGTTTTCTGACCTCACGCACCTGTCAGTCAGCACTCTCAAAGGTTCAAACAGAAAGCGCACAGCACGGTTACAGAAAAGTTTGTCTGTTACCTGACATCTGGTGAACGCCCATCCCTCTCTGCGCAGCCACATTAACAGTGTGAGCAAATCATCGTATATGCGCTGAAAATCCGGTCGCTTTGACAGCACTGGCAATGTTTCTGGCGTTGTCGGTTGTCAAGCGGGGTTAAGTTGGTTTTGTTTTTGATATTCTTGACACATTCAGACGGCCCCTTACTAAGAGCTCCGTGCGAGCTCTCCCGGCTAAATATTGCGAGGGCTTAAACGGAGCAGTGCTTGTAATGTCGAACGAAAAAAAGTGTTAATTAGCTCAACTTTTGCAGGCACACGTGACGTTATTGGAAAGGTATCACGGGGTGGGTGTGTCGCGATTCTCCCTTATCACACCGCGACACAGGATCGTAGATCTGAGTGTCGCGATTTCGATTTTATATCGTGTATCGTTACAGCCCTAGCTATGATGAATACATTTATTACATTATTTGTTCATGTTATCTAACATAATGAAAATACTGTTGTTTATTGTTTGTTTTTTAACTCCCGGTGCATTAACTAATGTTAACAAGCATGAATTTGGGTGTTAATATTGCATTAGTAAATGGTGAACTATGATTTAAAAATGCTGTACAAGTATTGTTCATTATTAGTTTATGTTAGTAAGTAAATTAATTAATTAAACCTTATTGTAAAGTTTGACCCACACATTTGCGAAAATACGCAGATGTCATATTCAAGTATATATTTAGGGTATACTTTATGTCCATCATGCTCAAAATTCAGTTTATTAGTGGTATACGTACTGTATACAGTTGAAGTCAGAATTATTAGCCCCCCTTAGATTTTTTTTTTCTTTTTTAAATATTTCCCAAATGGTGTTTAACAGAGCAAGGACATTTTTACAGTATGTCTGATAATATTTCTTCTTCTGGCGAAAGTCTTATTTTTTTATTTTGGCTAGATTAAAAGCAGTTATTAATTTTTTAAACACCATTTTAAGGACAAAATTATTAGCCCCTTTAAGCTATTTTTTTTCAATAGTCTACAGAACAAACCATCATTATAAAATAAGTTTTACCCTAAATTACCCTAAACTGCCTAGTTAACCCAATTAACCTAGTTAAGCCTTTAAATGTCACTAAGCTGTATATAAGTGTCTTGAAAAATATCTAGTAAAATATTATTTACTGTCATCATGGCAAAGATAAAATAAATCAGTTATCAGAGATGGGTTATTCAAACTATTATGAGTACAAATGTGTTAAAAAAACCTTCTCTCTGTTAAACAGAAATTGGGGAAAAATAAACATGGGGGCTAATAAGACGGGGGGCTAATAATTCTAACTTCAACTGTATGTAATCTATAAAATATGATTATTATGTTTTCCTTGTGTTATTACATACATATTAGTATCTGTTAAAAGGATTGTTCTCTCAAAAATGAACATCTCACTATTTATTTACTCACACCTAAGTGGTTTCAAACCCTTATAAATTTCTAACTAAAGAACACTAAAGAAGATATTTTGAAGAAAGCTGAAAACATGTAACCATTGACATTTGTAGTTTTAAAAACAAATAGTATCAAAGTATGGTTACAGACTGAATTACAGACTTATTTTGTGTTCAACAGAAGAAAGATAATCATAAAGGTTTAAAACCAGGGCTTGACATTAACCCCGCCAAATGCGGGTAGATTTCAGCGGTGGCGGATAGTGGTTAGAGTGGTTAGAGGAGAGTGTGGGGTGTATTAGGGGGGCAAAAGAGTCAGTGAGGGGCAGAGTTCAAAAGGGATACAGCTCTGGGTAAAAAGCTGTTCCTCAGTCTGCTGGTTTTTGTCTGGGGTAGCCTGAGGCGCTTGCTGGAAGGCAGGAGAGAAAACAGCCTGTGAGCAGGGTGAGAGGAATCCTTAAGAATACTGTGTGCTCAGTGCAGACAGCGTTTCTTCTGGATGTCCTCAATGGCTGGCAGTGTGGTCCTTGTGATGTGTTAGGCAGTTTTCACCACCCGCTGCAGTGCCCTACACTCAGCAACAGAGCAGCTTCCATACCAGACTGTGATGCAGTTGGTCAGGATGCTTTCTAGCCAGGACAGATTACTGTGCATATGTTTTGTTAAATCAAAGGTATGATATACAGCTATATTTTGCCTGTTTCGGCACATTCAAAATGTTGAATGAAGAAATAATTAATTGTTTATGTTTGTGTAGTCAAAAAAAATGGAAAATTCTTTATATTGAGCTTTGAAAATATGTGAAATAAAACTAATTGTAATACTATGAAACCATGACCCATTTGCTCGTGATTATTTTGAGCAAGCTCATACACAACACAAAAAACGTGAAATGAATGAGGAGGCATGTGGAGATAACACAAAATCTAAATCAAGTCATTTTAGTCAAAGTCATATTTATGTGTATAAAATATATTTTCCCAACATTAAAATTGTGGCTAGTGAAAATGGCGAGGGGCTAGTAATGTTGGAAAATTCTAGCCACAGGGGTTGGTGATCAAAAAAGTTAATGTCAAGCCCTGTTTATAACCACTTGAGAGAGATTGTATAGCGTTAAGTTTTGTTCATTTTTGGGTGAACTATGCCCAAACAAGTGCTTATTAATCAGTTTCTAGATTCTTTATTCATTCAATATAAGTACTTATTAGGTTGTAGTACTTTATCTGTCTGTATGTTATTTTTTGCTTGTATTTTCCTATTTATTTATATTTATACTTGAAATATACTTTATCTGCTCATTTTAGGTAGATGTGAGGTAAATTTCTGACTTGTTACTTTATACACTTGGATGTTGAAGGTTTTTAACGATTTGAGAAACTGTGTGCGAATTATTATTGCTGTTGTTGTTGTTATTATTATTATTATTATTAGTAGTAGTAGTAGTAGTAGTAGTAGTATGATTATTTAGTTAAAACACTATAAAAGCTTGTGTATAGGGACCGACATTTGTGGTAATCAGGTTAAAAAACACATTGTGGTGGGAAGAAAGTGATATTTTTACATAACTTTTATACAGTATGTTTTGCTTTTTGGCAAATAATGTGTTTTTTTTTTCAAGTTAATCATGATGTTATGGATGTTGATGTCATTTGTTATTTAATTCTGGATAAAACTGTTGAAAATGTTGTACTTAATTTTCCTCACATTTTATTTTACAGGGTAAACACGACAAATCCACCTTGTCTAGTGTAAGTTCCAGCTATTTATTTATTTATTTATTTATTTATTAAATGTAGTTTAAAGAATTAAATTACACTTATTTTGTTAAAATAAGTTTTTTTAGAGTAGTATAAAGCTTAAATGTTTTTATTTGAATATGCTTTTAATTTAATATTTTATTTTATATGATAATTATTAGTTAAATGTAGCCATAAGAATTATATATGTAAAAATTAAATATATGATTTTTTTTTTTGTAAAATCAGTTTAGAATAGTTTAAAGCTTTTCATATTTTAGTGCTTGTTTTTGTTTCTGTTTGTGTAATATGTATTGGGATATTTGTGTGACACTTCTATTTTTCTGGAGGACAGCTTGAGGAGTACGGTCACGCTAGAGAAGAGGGCAGAGCGATCCGAGAGAAACTCAATCAGCTGTATCTGCAAGAGAAAGAGCTGGAGAAAGAGCATTACTGCCGTGCTTTAAGACTGCCCAACAGAACTCATCCAAGTGTGGTACGAGATCTCTCATCGTGATTAAAATTAAAGCCCCTGGGAATAAGGCAGTCATTCAAGTTGTATTATTCACTATATTAATAGGACTAGATTATTGATAAACAGTTGTGGATCTGATTATTTTTGTGTACACTTTGACTCTCTTCAAATCAAATGTTTCAAGAACGTTTTAGATACAACCAAATGTAGAGTTACAATTAATTTCAATTTAATTGTGTTCATTTGTTGTTGTTACAAAAGATTTCTATGTTAAAACTACTATATTAATAAAATACTAATTTTACAAAAAAAGTACCAGTATCTGCAAATAAAATAAACATTGTTAATAAGTTAACATGTTAATAAGAACCATTATTATTACTAATTGATCATTAATATTAATAATGGTAAATTAATATCTGACTTCTGAAGGATTTTGTTAGAATTACCAATATTTATCCACATTATTTCTATAAAATTGAAAGTTATTTTATTTTTTCAACATAAAAAATTGCAATTATTGCAATCATTTAAACATCAGTATAAATGATATATTAATCAAATCCAGTTATTATATATGCAACAACACAATATGCAATAATAGTAGTATATAAAAATGTAAGCATGATAATGAATGCTCACAACATATTTTGTAATAACTGGTGGACAAAAACAGGAATTGTGTGCGTTTACTTAAAAGTAATGTCTTTTTTAATTCTCTGTTTTCTTCTAGCCCATTGGAGATGAGAGCCAGGCAAGAGTGGTTGAAGTAGTTGGTGAGAAACGAGGTGATTATTATAATTTATTTATTTAAATAAAGCCATAAACCATGTAATCTATTTCAAACTACCAGTTTAGTAAAATTTAGTTTAAAACTTGTTTGGAAGACATTACAAGCTTTGGATGTTTTAAAATAGTTAAACTTCTGTGTAAAATGATCATGCAATCAACTCCCTAACTGGATCTGATGTAATCTAAGAAAAACTATGAAAACAAGGTTAGAATTACCAATAATTATCCGCAATATGTCTGTAATTGTGGGTATTTATGGCAGGAATAATTACTTTAAAACATTATGTCGATTAACCAGCAATGCTTTTATTTTAGATGTAATGGGGTCATTTGGTTTTAGATATTTACATTATATTCATTAGAAACGTCAATGGTTAAATTATAATCAAGTACCTTGCAGTTGCCACAAGAGGGCGAAAAAGCGAAACAATCACCCAAAAATTTAAATTCCCTCCTCATTTACTAATCCTCCTCTTGTTTTAAACCTGTTTAAGTTTTTTTTCTCTCTGTTGAATTCAAAGGAAGATTTTTTGCCATTTGTTTTACTATGGAAGGCAGTGGCTGCTATTCTTTAGAATATCATCCTTGTTTGTGTTTAACAGAAGAAAGAAATACTTTAAAGTTTGGAACCACTTGAGTATGATTAAATGCTGAGGAAATTTATTTTTTTATTTTTTCTTTCAACATCAGTGAGAGATGTACTTAAAGCAGTATTTTTTTGTCAATATGTGTTGCATATCTGTTGATTCATGCAGTACTAAATGTATGCGATTCAATTATTTAATAAAACGTATAATACAATTATATTGTATTATCTTTAAACAAATTCTATGGCTTCTGCTTGCAATTTTTCTATTTCAGTCAATATGCAGTGTGACCTACTTTCAATATTTTAGACCAATGTATAGCTCATTGATAGAGTTGTTCTTCAGTGAATCAACCTTCAGCAGTGTCATTTGAATTTTAATGACTTCAACTAAACTTCAACAGTGACATTTATACAAAGCTGAACTGAACTGAAACAGCTTCAATTTACTAGAACTAAACCCGCATTCTACAATACTCTCCTGCCGCCTGAATTGCTTTAGTGTTCCTTCATTCATTCATTCATTCATTCATTTATTCATTTTCTTTTCGGCTTAGTCCCTTTATTAATCTGGGGTTACCACAGCGGAATGAACGGCCAACTTATCCAGCATATGTTTTACGCAGCGGATGCTCCTTCAGCCTTAACCCATCTCTGGGAAACATCCATACACTCTCATACACTACGGACATTTTAGCCTACCCAATTTACCTATACTGCATTTTTTTGGACTGTGGGAGAAACCGGAGCACCCGGAGGAAACCTATGCGAATGTGGGGAGAACATGCAAACTCCACACAGAAACATCAACTAAGTGACAGTTAACAGCGACCCTCTTGCTGTGAGGTGACAGCACTACCTACTGCGCCACCACGTCGCCCACTGTAGTGTTCCACAGTTTGAAATATAATGTCTATTACTTTTTTTCATCTATATAAAGCTGCCTTGACACATTCTACATTGTAAAAAGCACTACAGAAATTAAGATGAATTGAACTGAATAGAGCTGATGAAATGTTGTATGTAAATTGTGCATGATAACTTGTAATATACTCTTACGTTTGTCCATCATAGAATTTGATTTTAAACCAAAAGGCCACCTGCAAATTGGAGAGAGTCTTGACATCATAAGACAAAGGTTAGTTATCATTTCTGATTCTCTTGATTTAATTTAGTTAATTATTTTAAGTACTTTTGTATTTGTTTCCTGGTAGACGGCTGTCTCACGTGTCAGGACACAGATCTTATTATCTGAGAGGGGCAGGGGCTCAACTGCAGTTTGCCTTGCAGAACTTCGCTATGGATCTTCTTCAGAAACGGGTAAGTATGTTTTCATCTACATTCATGAATGGCATACTGTAAGACCAGTATTGGACTGTCAATATCTAAACAGGTTACAAGGTCAAGGTCAGTTTTGATTTCATATTGACTTTATTTTATTATTTGTTTACAGTTTTTTAGGATTGCTTACACACTAAAATTAAAAGTATTACACTATTAGCAAAATATTACACACAAGTATCAAAACATCCGCCCATATTTGCACAACTATAAGCACATTGTCAACTTAACACTTGTTGCAAATCTCTACACACAGTGATTTTCAAAACACTAAACACACTTAACATACATTACACACTAAAATCTATCATGAAGTCACTTCCTTGCAATACCAAAGCACAGACTGTCAAATTACTGCACTGTCCAACCAATTGGTTCAACACAGTCGTCAGGTGTGCAAACACTTGTTTGATTTATTGTAGACACATCAATCAGGTGTTTAAGCACTATAAAATGCCAGTTTCAATGAAAACCATCAGGTCTCAATATCAATACTGTCACACACCATAAAAAAAAAAAATATATATATATATATATTCAAATGAAGCAAATTTATGGTGTGCCTTTCGAGCACAATTTCGAAAGGGTGAAAAGATTGTGGCATGATTATGCAGAGGTATGTATTCACTTTAGCAGTGTGATCTTGCATACTGTCTCATAATCTTTTACTGTACTGTAATACTAGATCTACACTGAACTACACAATTTTGCCTGACACTGTTCTTCAGGTAGTTTTACGAATGGATGGAGAGGAGATCTAGCATGAGTTTTCTTACGTAGATGAAGGTGTGTTCAACCTGACGTGAACACGGAGTAGAAGAAGCATCATTGGCCACAGGGCTATAGTCAATGTCCCAGGGCAACATAGGGGAAATATACAGTAACACTCTGTGCAGCCATTACAAAGAATGGGGTCCTCCACTGCCATGACCATATAGGCCCTTACAACACAACACATATACTTACATTCTTGGACCAATTGCACAACATAACAGCAGCAAATGAAATCGATCATACGCAATACATTGTTGTCTGGGACATGGTGTCTTTCCACCGTTCTGCTCTGGTTCAGAACTGGTTTCAGCAACATCCACATTTTACCGTCCTACATGTATATCTTCCACCATACTCTCATTCCTCATCCTTATTAAAGAGTTTTTCTCAGCATGGTGGTGGAAAGTATATGATCTTCGTCTCCAAGCTGAGGTACCCCGCATCCAAGCCATGGAGGAGGCCTGTGACCAGATGGAGGTAGCAGCAATACAAGATTGTACATTCAAGACACTTCTTTCCAAGGTGTCTTGCTGAGGACAACATTGCAATTGATAATTCTCGTGCCAGATCTATCTAACAGTTCAATACGTAAAGTGACATGTTACAGTACTTTGAATCTTCATGCCAACATGTTGGACATGTTGAGGAATAAATGAGTTTCTTCAAGGTGCAACATTGTTCTTGAGTAGTGTTTGGTGAATTAACTTTATATTTGTACTTTGTTGATGGTAGCCTACTCTAATCATAGGGAAGCAGAAGTGCTAAAAGTGTTTTAGGTTTATCACAGCAGTGTGTAACTCATGCAAACAGTGTATAGTAAATGTGAAAATGTGTGTTTCTTATGGTAAAAAAGTGTGGTTTTTAAACATAAGTCTATAGTTTTTATAAGAGTGTTTAATTATGCAAAGGATCTGTAATGTTTTGCTAATTGGGTGTGTGGTTGTGCTAATTGTGTGTACTGTTTTGAAAACACGGGCCCTGTTTTGAAAATCGTGCTTAAGCAATCCAAAAAAACTGTAAGGTGTCCTTGTTAGTTTGGCTATTTATTTAACTTAGTAACTGCATTTTCAACTCACTAAGTTCTCACCTTCATGTCGTTTGTTCATTTTTAAAAGATATTTTTGATGAAAACGGAGCGCTTCCTCATTCTTCATAGACATCAATGGTCCAGACTCAATAAAAGTCCAGAAAGATACAAAAAACATCTTCAAACAGACAGTATGCCACATTCAGTGGTCTAATCTGTATATTATTAATATTATAATGACATAATTCAACAGTACTTTTCGTTCTCAGTGTCAGTATAGGGTGCGCATGAGCAACAAAAACAAAACAAAACATGAGCAGCAAAAAAGTATATCGTATATATCCAAAGTATATTTGTCTATATTGGTACACACATAAAGAGCACATCGCTCTTTATAACATGCACCCTATTTTCCCTATTCCTTAGTAATGCATCCATTACTGAAGAAAAGAAACTGTTGAATAAAGTCATTATTTTAATTTCACATGCTCACAAAAGTATTTTTGCAGCTTAAATGCGGCTTACCTTGTGTTCTGACAATGAACGAAGGTCTCAGTGGAACAACATGAGAGTCAATTATTAGTAAAATTTTTTGGGTGAACTAACCCTTTAATTAATTACATGGACTTACTTTGTTGTTATAGGCTTGGAATGCCAGTTAGTTTAGGTTTAATTGCATGTACTTTAATAATTTTTTGTTTCACTGAAGCACATGGAACTTGAAAAGTATTTCCGGAAAAACTTTTTAAGTTTCTTCCTGGAAGTTAAAATCACTTAATTCACTGTTTTGAATTTGCTTTATTCTACAGGGCTTTATTCCTATGGTTGTTCCTGACATATTAAAATCAGTTGTTTTTGTAAGTACTGTTTTATCTACTGCTGTATGTTTATTCATTATGTGGCAACTGTTTTTAATACATTGTGAGGGCACATTCGCACAATAAGTTTTCGTGATAAATATTCCAGGTCTAGGGAAGTGTCTAAGGGTGCTTTCACATCTGTAGTTCGCTTCATGTGGTCTGGATCAAGGGCAATAAATGATACATTGTTGCATTTTCTGCCGTCTTTGGGTCATTTTTACATCACACTGCTGGCTTTGGTCCAAATCAGTTGAAACGAACCAAAATGCAGTCATCTGATAAAAAACACATCACTCATTGACCAGATGTTGTTGAACATATTTCCTAAACTGCTTATTGATTGGTTGAAATTCACATGCGGGGAAATGCCAGTGAACTCCCGCAAGTAAACAAACCGGCAGACACAAAATGTCGTTACTCTGGAGGGAAGACTGCGCTGACTGATTGTATGCCTGCTTTAGACAGACTAACGTTAAACATTTCGAGAATAAAGCGCGGCTGCGGCTGGAAAACAGTGTTTTAATGCATTGCTCATCACTTCAGGAGGCGGCGTGAATTAATTTAGCTAAACTGCGACATGGTCATCTTTCGCAAATATTACCAACGATCCATCAGGTAATGTTATCCCCCTCTCTCTCTGTTGGTAAAGTGCTGTCAAAAAATATTTTTCCTCAATATCCCATAATGCACAGCGCATCGGCCTACGGCAGCTGGATTAGTCCAAAAGGTGCAGTACTTTTTGCAGTTGGACCTGTTTTAGTACGGATCATATTCTCACCACAAACGAACCGCTCCAGAGTTTGTTTGAAAGCGTACCGAGACAACCTCTTCAAGTAGGTCTCGGTATGCTTATTTGGTCCGCTTTTGGTACGCACTCGAGTACAATTGCTGCAATATCACCTGCCTAAACGAACTTAACCAAAATGGAAAACGAACTCTGGTGCGAATCGATCGAACTAAATAAGGCAGGTGTGAAAGCACCTTAAGCGACAGTCAACACAAACTATTGATAATGGTGTTTGTTTCACAGTATTGTCCTTTATTATTTTTAAGTCAGATTCTGTCAATGCAAATGATGAGACAGATCTCTCAGAAGCAACTTTGCAAGTATAACTTGAGCAAAACATTATTTGTGTATTGTTGTCAGCACATTTAGGTGGCTGTTCTTGCAGAATAAAGTCTGATAGGCTGTAAAAGACTGAAGGGCTTTATTATGTGAAAACAACTGCCTAGATGTACATTACCCTGCTTATTATTTGCCATAAAAGTACAATTTGACCTAAAACACCAATCTGAGCTGTGTAATAAATGACTTCTAAGTCTTCAATTAAACACAAAGAATGCACAAAGAGAAACAGTTGAAGGAAACCCAATCAAACCTATGCATTATTCAATCACAAGATGGTGCCAAACGGTCTAGATCAGTAATTTAAAGGGCCATTAAGCCCCCCACTTTCGGTTCAGGTCTACCTCAGAAATTTTTTTAAAAGATGCATCATAATGGGCATGGAGCTCCGCAAACAAAGGGCAGGAGTGGGCTTGGCCAGGAGGGGAGCAAACAACTGTTGTCAGTTGGCTCACAAAATGGGACACAAACCGTGAGAACATGCATGATTTTATAGTTTATAGCAGTGGTTCTCAAACTTTTTTCACCAAGTACCACCTTAGAAAAAAATTGTCTCTCCAAGTACCACCTTACGATGCTATTTTTTAACCAGTATTAAAAAATAGCGTCGTAGGCCTAATTAAGCAGCTACAGGTGTGCACAGTTTAAAAATGATGCAAATTAATTCCTATTATTAAGAATATGTATTATTGTCAATCACTTTAAACATTTGAAATAGTCTGAACATTAACTGTGCTTGCAGATAAAAAAAAAAAGTTTTAGTTAAAATATGCTTTTAAAAGTTCATTAAAAATGAAAAAAAGTAAAAAGATAAAAAGTAAAAGGAAAACTGCTGTACTTAAATCTAAAGTATTCATAGTAGCCTATTCATCAAAAGCTGGACATGTTGCTTGGACCTTATGAATATAGGCTATATGTCATATTCCTACACTTTCAGACAAATCTTGAAATATATGGTCAATGTACATATGACAGGGTTCATACAGGCACAGCCTTATGAAAATCAAGGAATTTTAAGCACTTTTTCCAGCACCTATTTTTTTTTTCAAGACTGACATGCTATGTACTGAAGACCTGAAATGTATTCTCAGCAACCCATAAAACATTGCATATGAATAGATACAAATAAAAACACTTAATAATAATATTTATGAATCATATATTAATAATATAATAAACCTGCATTAAATGCTTGTGAAATCTTTCTCAAGTACTATTACACTGCTAAAATAACAAAAATGTTAGTAAATAATACTAATATTAGGTAAAAGTACAAAGTACTCTTTTAAAAAGTACTAGTTGGTTACTTTTGAAAAAAAAAAATCAGATTTTCATTATGAAATCACTTTTTTTAAGTTTAAACCTGATTGAATGGTTTAATTGCTTAAATCCAAAGCTACATGTATAGGAATTTGTACTAACAAAGGAAGTATGGTCGATTTTTCCTTTCATGACAATTAATCTTTTTCAATAGCACTGGTAAAACTACCACATAATCTTTAAGGCCATAGAGACACTTTTTGCCCATTTTTATAAACGATATTTTCAAGCTTTGAAAGGTTAAATTAAAGTATATGGTAAAAAGATTTAATTTGGCCTTTTATTTACATATTTTACACTATTTTTCTTTACAATATGACAAATTTGTTTCTTAAATAGCTGTACATCACATGTAGATTTTATTTTACACTTGATCTTAATCTAAAATAGAACTTTAAAAAAATACAAGTACACTGTCAGTAAAAAAATAAAACAAATGGCTTCATTTTACTTGAGGTATTTGAAATATGACAACAATACATTTATCAAAACAGTGCTTTAAGCCTCAGAGCCTTATTGTTAATTTTGATAAATAAACAATAAGAAACAAAGAATTGCTTTGACCTGTAATGCTTTAGGACAGATCAGAATACAGCTAAATGTGTAAATCACACAAATACCTCATCCAGAAACATTTCCAGCATAATTCTTTTGTCGTAAAGAAATAAAAAAAATTTCACCTTTGCTAAAAGTAAGTTTCACTTCACAACACAGCCAAATAAGAAGACCATTAGCATTGTCATCGATCATGCATCAATCTAATTCTAAATATTTGATAACTTTTAATACTTTTGACTAAATTTAGTCAAGGAGCAAAGATAAATAATGTTTGCTTTAATAGTGGAGAGATCGCGATTGTATTCAATCTGAGCACACAGGCGATCATGAGAGGTCTTGCAGTTCATTTGAAAAAAGCATATTTAAGAGCTCGCATATCTGTTTTAGCGATTTGCGTACATGAATGCGCTCTCGTGTTAAAATAAAGCACTCGCCGCATTTGCAGAAATGAATAATTGCGCAATACCTCAATTCCCGCGCCGCCATTCAGAATGTGTTTGGAGGAGTGACAGGTCAGACTGGCTGTCGGAGAGCGAAACGTGTATGTAGATCATCAAAAAGGCAGGACATATGTCCGCGGTTTAATTACTCTGTTGAACATATCTACAGTGAAAACATCCGAGAAGCATTATTCCAACAAAACATTTGTTTTTAAGTTGTTTTTTCTGTCTCTGCAACACAGAAAGCATTTGTCCCGCCCTTACGTTTCACGCAACTAGACAAGGTCGACTGTGATTGGCTACTTTTCATGTCAGTCAAATCACGCTTCAGAATCAATTCTTAAACTTTGGAAACTGATTTTCAGCAGCTTATGACACAGTGCACTAAAATAAACATTCTAAGCACAGCGTTGTGATCGTACGCTTCACTAAACAGCCAATGCTGATCACATCAATGTTATATGACGCATTAAAGGATTAAGTGTTAATTGTTTCTTTCATTATTCAGCGGTTCCTCCGCGTACCACTAGGAGGAAGCCCGCGTACCACTAATGGTACGCGTACCACAGTTTGAGAACCACTGGTTTATAGTATACTATATAGTTTATAGTTTTTAAAGTTGAAATGCAAAGAAATACATTTGTTATTTGTAATTTCATATACACATAACCACAATTTATATAATTATAAAGATAATCATGTTCATATAAACACTATAAATGAGGACATTTCCCTCAATCCCCGGGTCTGAATGCAGACTCAGCGCATCAGGTCTCTTGCCCTGTCTATTTTACCATTAGCCCTGCTGGTAATCTAGAGGATTTAGGCAAACACAGCAGCACGCCGATGTGTCTAAATGTAAACAAACTCCTGATAAAAGACAACTTCCGCCATTTTCCGATCCTCGTACTGCTCTCCTGAAAAAAATGCTTGATGCACACAAACAGCTTTGCTGTATTGGCCCTGACAGCATCGCGAGAAAAATGCAACAAAAGTGCAACAAACCTTGTGGATCATGGAAACAAACACATACAACCTTTCTTGAACAGCTAAATACTGTGTGCCATGGGTCTCACCCAGTCATCAACTTGTCTCACAGCTTTGCACTGGCAGGTCTGCCTTGCCTTAGGAAAGCACATGTAGTCATGAATAATTAAGAAGGAGGGTTTTCTCATAGGATAAGAAAACTCAGCTATGAATAATAATGAGAAACCGACACATCATCATTGCACTTGCAGTTCTACGCTACGTCGCCGATTTTGATCCCGCCCCAAAAATCATTTTAAACCCGGAAGCTAAAATTAGCTGACAAAAGCTTAAAATTATCCAGTTTTCCCCACAGTTAAAGCTTACAGGAGCTAACATTGTCTTAACTGATGCTTGATGCTCAACACACAAATCTGTTAAAATCTAAAAAAAAAAGTACTTGAGAGGGTTTCGTGAACCTTAAAATATGGATATAAATATACTCCCCAACGGTCAAAAGGATTCGTAGTACACAAATGAGCCTGTGTTAATAGTTTCAGTGGTTGTTATGTGGTAATTACATACCTTAGAATGTTGTGACTGACCAATCAAAAGTATTCAGTAAATTAGAAAATTTCAATCAAAAAAGTAAATCAGAAAGTTGTGTAATAAGCTATTATGTAAACTTGTGAGGTAGACGTTTGCTGAAATAATAATGGGACTAGGATTGATACAATATAGGCAGGACATGGCTTATAGATGCAGAATAACCATGTTATACATTAAAAATGGATGATGAAATTAAAGGCATTCATGATTAAACAACTATGATTAAAGGCTTTGGCAGTATATTCTACAATCAAATGAATTTACACTTGATGTTTAGATGCAGCTGTATTCATATTAGGATTCATAATAGAACCATGTTCAAAAAGTGATGTGTATAATACTTTAGTAACTAAAAGTGTTATATGGTGCTGTTTTCCATCTGTTTTCAGGAGGGTTGTGGGATGCAGCCTCATGCTCAGAAATCTCAGGTTTATTCTCTGAATCCCAAACGCTCTCCTGACCTTAATCTTGCTGGTACAGGAGAAGTGGGAGTCGCAGGTGAGAAAAACATCAACTTGTATATTAAAACGTAATTATGATATTATAAATGTGTGAATAAAAAATAATTTTTTAGTGACGTGTTTATTCTAAATTTTTAGGATGAATGTGTTGTGTACTTCAATTAAATACAATCAATTAAATGCAATTTTAAAGACATAACGACTTGAAAAATGAACTTCAAAATCAGATCATAAACAAATAATAACAAATAAATGAACTAATAATTTAACAAATATGTAAATAATGCAAATTTGAAGAAGAAAATAATGCGATAAATAAATGGAGGGAAAATATATAGATAAAAAAAAAATAAAAAAAAACAAGATACTATCTATAAGTACTGAGTATTGATGACTAGGTAGACCAAAAAGAAAACAAAAAAGTTGCAATCTCTGGAAAAGCACACAGAAAAAAATGACTAGACATATTTGTGTATCTCGATTATTACAATAAAAGTCTAATTTCTAAATTGAAAATACTCAATTGAGCTAAATGTACTATTAAAATAAAATGAATTACAGTAAACCATGAGGCACCAATATTCAATGTTTTCAGAAATAGTTGTAAAATTAAATTGGAACTTCTTTTTTATTTGAACTTTTAGGATATTTCATGGATCATGCTGTAAATTTTAAGGATTTACCTGTCAGGTACTGTATAAAATAGCTATTGATTAATTAATAAATTGATTGTCTGAATCCTACAGTACATGAAAACCGTAGTTTTTCTATGTTGTAGGACAGTCTGTAGCAGCACATGCTATCGAGCAGAAACAGACACTGGCAGAGAGACCTGGGGGCTCTACAGAGTTCACCACTTTACCAAGGTGAGCAGAAAACACAGGAGAGAGCGTGGATTACGTAGAGCCTGAAAGAAAAAGATAAGCGAGTTATCACTTGCTCTCAATATCTGGATTATCAGAACATTTTTGTTGTTGTTATGTTTTACCATTTGTGTCTTTTAGAACTGTTATCAGGGATGGGCAGTATTTCTTTCTATTTTAAATACAAAATAGTATTTTGTAATTTGTATTTCATAAGGTTTGTGAAAATGGGTTTTAATATTTTGTATTAAAATACTTTAGTCTTGTATTTTGTGTTTTCAAAATACTGTAAAGTACTTGGTAAGAAGTCTATAATGACATCATAAAAATGCAGCCTCTGATTGGTGCTGTATTAATTATTTGCCTATTTGAGATCAGACCAGAAAATTGATTAAGAAGGTGGTCATTGCTTGGAGTATGGACGGAAATTATGCAATAACCATAAAAAATAACGACTGATAAATGGCATGGGTATATTTGGGAGCAAGTCAACAATCATTGGAAAAGTATACTGCACAATGCTAGGACCAGTCATAATTAATGGCAGTTTAGTGTACAATGCAAAAGCATATTTGCTTAAAAAATGAGATGGAATAAAATATCAGTCCTTAAGAACAGGATGCCTTCAGCACAAAATCATTATCAGTCTTAGTGCTGCAGGTGGAAAGGCAGAGGAACTTTAGAACTAAAAAACACCTAAAGACTGTACTGGTGTTCACTAAGAGGGTAAACTAAGACTCTTCCAGTTAAAGAAGAACTGAAATTATTTTGAGAAAATGAGTATACTGTACAAATAATAGTAGTTTTAGATGTATTGCTAATGTAGATGTGAAGAAAATAAGGCAAACAACATTAAAATAAGTCCTACGGTGGCGATTCCTACAATACTTCATTGCCTGTTTCAAATAACAGTAACTGATTAACAGGAAAGATGTCTGTCTAAAGATGTCAAAGTGGCACAATACAGTATATTAGACACACATATTTAATAATACTCCTGTCTATACAGACTGGTCAAAATCTCCAGACTCTCGTTACACAGCAGCAGCAGGATATATATGAAGAGTTTATTTGCAAAAAGTGATTACTCTATTTTTTAGAGAGGTCATGTTTTATGTTGTGCATTGAAGAGTACAATTGCAAAAAAACATGATTTATGGAAATGACTAAAACTGGAGATTTTAGTAGTTGTCAGAAATCATGTTATGCATTTGCTAGTTACATGGCAGATATTGTAAGTGGAAAAACTGAAAACTTCACTTGCGAGAAAACAGTTAAACGACCATCTGCAGCGCAAGAATGAGAGAACGAGCCTCCTCATTCTTTACTTTCTTTAAGGAAAATTGTTGTACGCACAGACATCTATTAGCCTATACATTTTTAATTTTGTTTATTAAGCGCAAAGGTTTGTTTCAAAACTATTTCTAAATTTAGTTCTAATTTTCAGCAAACTAATAAATGAACAAAAATAACGGAGTGTGCTCAAAAAACTGAGTTATATCCAAACACACATGCTATGCCTCATATGGTCTAAAACATAGCAGGTGGATAAATCTAAGGTTTTTAATAAAACAAATATATATATATATATATATATATATATATATATATATATATATATATATATATATATAATAAATACTACTACTAATAATAATAACATTATACAAAAACAAATTGTCATGAATAAACTGAAAAAGCTCCCTGAGATAAAGAAGGGATAAAGGCAGTATTTTTTTATATTTATTTTTGAAAATAATAATATTTGTAATATTTCAATCTTTTATTTATTTTTTCATTTTTAAATATATTTGTATATTGCTGTACATCCAGTGTGTATTAAGCAATGTTTAAGTGAGGCGCACAACTGACGCGCTCTGCACTGGACTTTAGACCTCTTAGCTGGTCTATTGTGCAGTCTATTTAAGTTCCTCAAAATAGCAACGCACCAGCAATGCGCCTTAACACGCCTCCTTTTTTAGACCTGAACACCTATATGCACACATATGAGCGCAAATGCATTTGCTATTTAAACAGCATGGTGCAGAACGTCAAAAGGACTTGCGTCGAGCTGAAACTTGGAAACAACAATTGCGTCACGCCTTGCGCCGCATGTATTTTTTTTTTAATACTTTTTGTGGCTGCTGTATTTTATAGTTTATTTTGATGCACGTAAAACGGATGTATTTGTATATATACACGTATGCATGCATCTGTCTGTCTGTTCTTAGAATATATAGATCTACAGATGTGCTTGTACACACAGTTGTACATTTTGCTTTATTAATTATTTTTTTTACATTAATTGGCACTAAAATTCTGATACAAACTTTTACATGTGTTTACAACAGTATTTAACGTCATGTACTGTATATGAGGAGATGTGAAAAAATTAATTCTTAGAAAAAAAAGAAAAAATAGGAACAAAGTTATCATATCAATACTTGTTGTTATTAACGAGACAAAAGGGGAAAATGCATAAATATGCTGTGCTGTTTCTGTTAGGGTTCAAGTACTGCTTTCAAAGTACTCAAATAAATAAGTTCCAAACATTCTTAGTTTTTTTTTTAAGGGAAAGCCTGAGCTTTTCAAGCTGCATGCAGGACATAACTTATTTTCCTTTTCAGCAGTGTGGAGGATTATTATTTTTTTGTTTCCAGTGAAGTAAAATCTATGTATGTGCTAAAAGTATTGCAAATCTAATCGCTGTATGCTGATCTTTAGATTGCGACAGATTTTGCTTTTAATAATGTTTTTAAAGTATTACAGTTTAATAGTTTTTTATCTTTAATTATTTGCAATGCTTCATAGGGTTGTCTTGTTACTTCGTATGCTTTTCAAACAATATTCATTCATTCATTTTCTTATTCGGCAAAGTACCTTTATTAATCTGGGGTTGCCACAGCAAAAATAACGGCACAGAAATGCCAACTGACCCAGTTGAGGCTCGAACCAGCAACCTTCTGGCTGTGAGGTGATTGTGCTACCCACTGTGCCATTGTGATGCCTTCAAACAATATTTAGCTTCAAATCAAAGTCACCTGCTTGGTTTTGTTGACTTAACACTGATAAATACTTTATTTATAATAAATTTAATGATAAATTTAATAGATAAAATTATGTTCAGAGTTATGCCTCTGAAAATGCACTCTATTATAAAAAAATGAACCAGCTATTTCACCCATACACTCTTACATTGACACACTCTCACACACAACGGCCAATTTTATTTACCCAATTCACAAATACCACATATCTGGACTGTGGCGGAAACCCACGCAAACACGGGGAGAACATGTAAACTTCACACAGAAATGCCAACTGGGCCAACCGGGACTCAAACCAGCGACCTTCTTGCTGTGAGGCGACAGTGCTAATCACTGAGCCACCTCGCCGCCCCATTAAAAAATCAAAAGGCTTTTATTTAGTAAAAAGAAAAATCTTAAAAAATCTTAAATGTGATTTTAAAAGGCCTGCAGATGCCCTGTTTAAGACTGTGCTTTCTTTCTATTCTCCCAGATTGAGATGTTCGGTGTGAGTGCAAATGAGACTGGGGAGGAGAGCTCGCAGTTGCTGGATCAGTTCGTCACGTTACAGAAAGAGATTTTCTCATCTCTACAGCTTCACTACAGGTGCATCTACAGTCCAACCATTGTTTACAGATTGCATCTAAGCATAGATAATAGAAATAGTGCACTCTTTAAAGAAATAAGACTTTCTTTTGTTGGAACCAACATTAATGAGAAATGGAATGGGTTGAAATCTGTAAATAATAAATTGTCTGAAATGAATCCATTTGTAAATGAAAGAAATATTTAGCTTTTTGAAAATATACATGTCCAGGTTGTACAGATGAGATGTAAAATTTCAAAGGGAGAACGACCTGTTTGTAACTTGTGTAAAGAATATTTTTACTTTAAAAACATAGTTTAATAGAATGTATGTTTTTAAATGACATTATAGAACATTTTTATTCAGGAAATATTTTAAGGTAAATGCTAAATGTGTCTTTTGGAGGAATTTTACAATATTTGTCATTGATCAAATTGAAAGATATTGTCTGACTTTTTAATCAGTGTTGTTATGTATGTTTTTGTATAATGCATGATTATTAAGAAACAATTATGATTGTAAATTATTTATTAAAAATGTTTTATCACTGTTTCCATGAATATAGCTAATGCAGCTGATAAAGCTGTGATAAAACATAAATAAATTAATAAATAAACAAACAAACAAACAAGCAAGCAAATAAACAAACAAACAAGCATACACTGCCTGAAAAACTTAACTAACCTGAGAAAAATCTTGTTGCCTATCAAGTTTTTCGAACAACAAATAATAACTTGACTTCTAGTCGATCGTTTGGTATCAGAAGTGGCGTATATCAAATGTAAAGGCCTCCAGATAATTGTTTTACCAAAATAGAATATAATCATGCCTTTATATTTAGTTTTTTAATTAGGACAGAAAGTTCTGACTTTGCCTAAACAAGTCTTGTCACTTAACAGAAATAATGTATAGTATAGAATATAAAGTCATAGTGTAGCGGAAAATAATTATTATTGTGTATGACTCCCATAAGTTTAGACAACTGCATCCATATATCTCTGCAATGACTCAAAGCGTTCTTGCAGGACTCCCAGAGTTCATCCAGATTCTTTAAATTCATCTTCAATGTCTCCTCCTTCATCTTACATCAGACATGTTTAATAATGTCCATGTTTGTTGACTGGGCTGGCCAATCCTGGAGCTCCTTGACCTTCTTTGTTTTCAGGAGCTTTGCTGTGGAGGCTGAAGTTTGAGAAGGAGCGCTATCCTGCTGAAGATTTTGCCCTCTCCTGTGGGTTGTAATGTAATAATGATATGACCCTTTTCCCCTCATAGGGTCTTGGATATGCCCACTCAAGAACTGGGGCCTCCTGCCTATCGAAAGTTTGATATTGAGGCATGGATGCCAGGCAGAGGCAGCTTTGGAGAGGTTAGAATGATATTGTAAATTTGAAGACTACAGAGCTAATATAATATAATGTTAGCTTTAATTCTGAAAAACAAGAAACTGATTAATGAAAGTAAATGGGAAAAATCTTAAAAGGTTATTTCACCCAAAATTAAAATAATTTGGTTTAAAAAGCTTTCCCCTGTTGAACACTAAAAAAGAAGATATTTTGAACAATGTTGCTGGCACCCATTGACTTCCATAATAGGAAAAAGAAAATACTATGGAAGTCAACGAGTTGCAGCAAGCACTGTTTTTTAAAAATATATATATATATTTTTTGGGAGAAATACTTGTCTGCTTTGCATCTTAGTTTATAATATCATCTTTCTTTCTTAAATAATAACAGATTTCCAGTGCCTCAAACTGCACAGATTACCAGAGCCGCCGTCTTGATATTCGATATGAGGGAGAAGATGGAAAACTTCAATATGCGCATACAGTAAGAGTGTTTCTAGTGTGGTAAAACCACCATGTTGAGGTTCATATTTCCATTTTTGTGCTGTGAAATATTAAGTTGGATCATAGTATAGAATAAAGAGCATTGTTTGTTTTAATTTTTTGTTCATTATTTCAGGTGAACGCTACAGCTTGTGCTATTCCACGTACCATCATTGCTATTTTGGAGACATACCAAACCAAGGTACCATTTAGAGAAAACTTGTATGAAACGCTTTTTTTATTGCCAATGTGTGAACAGCTTATACAAACAATATATTTAGATGGTATAATTTTGATGCTGATGCATCGTTAAAAGAAAAAATAAGTTGTCTGCAGTATATCTGTAAATATCATTCATAATCAAATTATATAAATCGATTTGATATCTTGCCATGCATTGCAGAGCTTGTGCAAACACATCCACATCCCTGTGATCAGATGAATTCTATATTTAGCCCTTTATCTATATATATTTATCTATATATACCTTTTTCAGTATTAATGCTATTAATTTAATCTTTCCCTCCGTTTGTGTTCCATCAGAAAGGAACAGTTCAGGTTCCTGAGGTGTTGCAGCAGTACATCGGCATGGAAGTGATAGAAAAGCCTAAATACACTCCTATAAAGTATATTGGACCAAATCAACCCAAGCGAAAATAACACTTTTATTGGTGTATCAGACTTCAGTGAAGTACTTTGATTTGCTGTGTTTCCAACAGCAAACAGAATGTTTATAGATTTTTGTCTTAATGTATCTCAAACCTCATGCTTAAGGGGAACTTATCTAATTTATGTGGCCTTTTTCAATAAAATGTCATCAGTGATGTTTCAGAATGTGCTGTTTGTTTAAAGAAGGCCCTTTATATACACATCTGTATCTGGAGTTGACAGACTTTGTCTGAAAGTTTCAGCTCAGAATGCTCCCCTGTTCATTTATGATACTATGCTAAAGATTTTTTGTTGAAGCGAAAACAAACTGTTTTCTTGAAATGGAAATGAGCTTCCAGAGGAAGGCGGAGTCTTTACAGCTTGTGTTTCAGATACTCTCTGGACAAAACATCTCTGTGCTTTTATCCTGTGGAACATAAAGGTAAAGAAACTCTGGCACTTTTCTTTGTTGACATCTGGTCTGTGTATTCAAGAGCCAAGACGATTCTATTAGTAAATGTCCTAAAAGCACCTATGATGAAAATCTAAATTTTCAAGCTGTTTAGACAGAACTGGGTGTATCTATAGTGTGTCCACTGTCATATTGGAGTTATAAAAACACAAGTCACTCTTTAAAATTTTTTTTTTTTTAATTTCCTGAAGTTACATTAGGACCTAAATTCCAGTGATTTTGAGGCCGACTGCAACAAAGTAGGAGTGCGGTTTTCCCTGCCTACCGAATTGATTGACAGGTGCCATGTTTCTATAATAACACGTATACACATTCGCAGAACATTATATGCAAAGAAACTAGGATTAAAATATTTGTTCCATTTCTGTGATTTTTAAGTGAAGTTTATTCATAAACAAATTTTGAGAGGATCACGTGATTATGATTGTACACAGCTGTTCCAACTTTAGCTAATGACTGATTATCCTATCAGACGATCCTTAACTCACTATAAATAACCAGACTTTTCTCATCTCAATGTCTTCGTCTTGAAGAAACGAACCCTGCAAACTAGCAGCATACCAACTCCACTACAATGGAAAACAACAACAACAACAACAACGGCAATAATCCTATCGACAATCCAGCTAATAACTACAACCCCTCAGATGAAATCCCTATCTCTGGATCACCAACAACTCAAGAAATCTCAGCTTCTTATGGCCCTAAAGCCGAGCCCGCATCTCAGACAAGAGGCCGCCGCCTGACTTGCTCAATAAGTAGAAGACGCCTCCAAGGATCACCAACTCCATCTACAGCTAGAATCCAAAACATCTCACCCACCACTTCATACGTCTCAGCCTCTTCATCCGTCCAACCAGCCAAAAGAATCACCGTTATCGAACTCTGAAAGCCCCTGTCCGATCTCGTCATCCACGCTCCACATCATCTGAACAAACCGGAACTCCTCAAACTTTACTCCAACGCCACCTCGGACTTGCATCACTCTCTCACTCCACCAGCAAGTCAAACCACCCAGAAAACCAGCTCCCGTTTCACTCCGTATCCTCACACCTCTCAACCTGGAAAGAAGAAAAACAAACAGAAACACACAGCAAGCCACACGCCTCCAAGACAACACCCTCAGGACACCCAGTCTCCACAAGCCACGCCTCTCACCGTCCATCACCAGGCAACCAGCCAAAACATTAACTCTTCCCTTCCTTTCTACCCTGCTCTATCTTGGCCTTCAACTCCGTTTTCTAACTCTCTGCCTAGCCCTCATATCCCATCTACGTCTGTATCCCATTTTCACCCTAATATTCCTACTACTCCAGCTCATCCTCAAACCCTATCCTTTTCCCTCCCTCCTCAACCCGCTGCTTCTCGCTCTATGCCTCAAAACCAACCCCCCTCCTTTCAAGTCCCGCCCTCCTCTTTGCCTCAGTCACTCCTCCCACACTCTAGCACCATTCCCATTCATAATTCCACCCTTCCTACACAAGCTTCTGCACCATGCCCCCCATTCACTCTTTCCACAGCCACGCCCCTTCCCATGCCTTCTAACGCTCTAGCAATGGAACCTCCGCCCATCTCTACTTCAGGTGCAGATATCGATCTCCTCACCCTCCTTTCACCCGTAAACAGTACAATTCCAATCGACGAATATTCATTACACTACCACAACATAGATCAAGCGATTTCACTCATCAAAATAGCCGGCCGTAACACGTGGCTTGCAAAAATAGACATTGCATCTGCATTCAAAATTATGCCAATTCACCCCGATTATTGGCATCCACTGGCGCTCCCAATTCTATTTTGCAGTCCGACTAACATTCGGCTGCAAAAGCAGCCCCAAAATTTTCGACATGCTCTCTGAAGCCGTATGCTGGATCTTATCCAATAATTACGGCATCCCTTTCCTCATCCACTTACTAGACGATTTCCTCATTATTTCTCCATCGTCATCCCCCCTGCTAAGCATCTAGTGATCACCCAAAAGGTTTTCGCTGATCTAGGAATTCCCCTCGCAGAGGAAAAAACCTCAGGACCAGGCACTTTTATTGAATTCCTGGGCATCAAGCTAGATTCCAATAAATTCGAAGCGTCTCTCCCAAAAGAAAAATCGACCTCATCATATCTTTATGTCAAATTTTCCTAGAAAGCCAGTCACACACTAAATGCGAGCTCCTTTCTATTCTTGGACATCTCAATTTCGCTATGCGAATAATTCCCCAAGGCCGCCCATTTATTACTCACCTCCTGCAGCTATCCACTTCAGCTTCCGGTTTAGAAGATACAATCCTTCTCTCTAAACCCAGCCGCGACGAAATCAGCTTATGGATTTCCTTCCTTAAGCAATGTAACGGCTGTTCCTTTTTCTACAGCGACCTGATAGAGTCGCTGGTAGATATTAAGTTATTCACCGACGCCGCCCCTTCAGTCGGTTTTGGGGCATATTACCGAGGTCGCTGGTTCGCTTCACCATGGCCCCCCCAAATGCTTGAAATCCCTCAGAGTAAATAATCATCCGCCCTTTTCGAATTATACCCCATCGTCGCCGCGGCCATCCTATGGGGCGATGAATGGGCAGCATCCAGCATCCAATGCATTAATAAAGGGTGTTCCCAAGCTCCGACACTCATGCCCTTTTTAAGACGCTTAATTTGGACCGCAGCCAAAAAACAGTTTTGTATAGTTGCTGAACATGTACCAGATTACAAAAATCAAATTGCTGACTCTCTGTCTCACTTTTCTTTCCAGAAGTTTTGGCGATTGGCTCCAGAGGCGGATCCCCATCCAACACCAGTCCCTCACTATTCAGAAATGATATTGCAATAAATCACCCGCTTTATCACCTACACACAACCTCCATATCCCTTATTCTCCAGGCGATAGCACCTAGAACCATCCAGTCTTATCTTACTGCATGGAGTTCATTCAAGCACTTCCATTCACTTTACAAATTATCATTTTCAGATTTCTCCCTTATCTCCATCACCTCATTTATCTCTTACCTACACATAGCAAAAAACATCCAAGCCAGCTCAATTTGAAGCTACCTCAGCAAGATCCAGTTTTTTCACAAACTGATCCATGGCTCCCCCTTAGACACTATCACTAATTCCCAAACCACCCTCCTCATTAAAGGTATCCAGAAAAATCACCCCTCCCCCCTGACCCCAGACAGCCCATTACCCTCCACATACTGTCCAAATGCATACAAACACTACGCAAAGGATACCTTTCCACACACACAGCCCGCACACTCGATGCCATGTTCACCCTGGCTTTTTCGGCTTCCTAAGATGTTCCGAATTAACAATAACATCTAATTTTGACCCCTCCATCCACCCCACTGGGTCCGATCTGACTTTGCAGAATAAGGAAACTCTTTCCTTTTTTATTAAGCAAAGTAAAACACACCAGACCGGGAGGGGGCACTACATTTACATTTTTGACATCCCCTCCCCCACTCTCCCTTTCCAAACACTCTTAGCTTTTTTACACTTTAGAAAAGCACATGAAGGACCCAACCCTCTCGCCCCCCTGTTTACTGATGACGCTAACCGTCCAGTAACACATTTTTGGTTCCAAAAACACTTAAAAGAAATACTCCGCCTCTCAGGCTTCCCGCCGGAACCTTTCTCCAGCCACTCATTCAGAATAGGGGCAGCCACCACAGCAGCTCACCATGGGCTCTCCCAACAACAGATCCAGACCCTTGGACGATGGTCATCAGACGCCTTCAAATCATACATCCGCCTCAGCCACTACCATCTCAAGGAAGCCCAGCTGATCCTCTCCAGCCGACACCCAACCACCAGAGTTCAAGGGCACGAGCACGACTCTGCCATTTCCTCCTATTTTCCCTCTAAGTAGCCTCTTAGCTACATTTCTTACTATCTTTTCTCAAGCGCGAGCTATACTCTGCTTCCCCCTCATTCCCTGCCCTCCACCGCTCCAACTCTCTGGAGTTACTCTTAACCTCTACCCCTCAGGGGTCCTGCCAAGCCCATCCCCAGCCCAACTCTTAGCAGCCACCCGCTAGCAAGAGCCCTCACAGCCCCCTCCTTCCTCCCATCTCTTGCTTGACCCTGCCTCCCCCACGCCTTTGATCCCCGCAGGGATCGCCCCGAGCTTCGACCCCCGCAGGGGTCTCACTGCCACCTCCCCCCCCTCACACAGCCACAAGTTCCCCCCCACTCCTTTACCTTTTCCGGCTTCAAGATCCTCAGCCCCTCTTTCTATCTCCCTTACGGCATTTAATAGCCACTTCTTTTCTACTTTCAGCGTTGAGTAATTCTGCTTTCCGTCCCCCCCTTTTTCTGATCCCCTTTTCCGTTTCCCATCTCTCCCCCCCCCCACCCGCATATCTTTTCAGCGTGAGTTCCTCCGCTTCCTTTCTCTTTAGGGACCAGTTCAGTTGCAATACTATCTTTCTTCTAGTGTTGAGTTCCTCTGCTACTCTCCCTCTTTTCTTTAGGCCATCATTCCCCAGCTCTAACTCCCGCAGGAGTGACTAAAACGAGCTTCGATTCCCGCAGGATTCACGCCACGGCTACCTCTCACTAGAGTCTTCACCAGCCCCCTCCCTTCTCCCAGACTCCAGCAAGAGTATGGCCGCCGCAGCTCTAACTCCCGCAGGAGTTGCCCTGAGCTTCGACTCCCGCAGGAGTCAATCACTTCCCCTCCCCGGCCACTAGAGAGAAAAAAAAAATC